GATATATATAATTGTTTGGGTTATAAGAGAGTTTCACAGGTACCGCGCCCAATGACATAATCAAGCGCTTTTAAATGTCGCAGTGGTAAAGGGACAAACAAATTTGGTAGCGTAATACCCTACCTGGTTGCATTATACAGACAGCAGGCAAACCATTCCTTACCGTCATCCACCAAGTCACATGATACAGACAACCATTCCTTACCGTCACCCACCAAGTCACATTATACAGACAACCATTCCTTACCGTCACCCAACAAGTCACATTATACAGACAACCATTCCTTACCGTCACCCAACAAGTCACATTATACAGACAACCAGTCCTTACTGTCACCCACCCAGTGACATAACACAGACAACATGATAACCTGTCTTATCGTCACCACCCAGTGACATAACACAGACAACATGATAATCTGTCCTTATCGTCACCCACCCAGTGACATTACACAGACAACATGATAACCTGTCCTTATCGTCACCCACCCAGTGACATTACACAGACAACATGATAACCTGTCCTTATCGTCACCCACCCAGTGACATTACACAGACAACATTATAACCTGTCCTTATCGTCACCCACCCAGTGACATAACACAGACAACATGATAACCTGTCCTTATCGTCACTCAACCAGTGACATTACACAGACAACATGATGACCTGTCCTTATCGTCACTCAGCCAGTGACATTACACAGACAACATTATAACCTGTCCTTATCGTCACCCACCCAGTGACATAACACAGACAACATGATAACCTGTCCTTATCGTCACCCACCCAGTGACATTACACAGACAACATGATAACCTGTCCTTATCGTCACTCAACCAGTGACATTACACAGACAACATGATGACCTGTCCTTATCGTCACCCACCCAGTGACATTACACAGGCAAGATAGTTTGTCCTAACCGTCACTCACCCAGTGACATTATATAGACAACGAGATAAATAGTCTATATCGGATACCTACCCGATATTTTTTTACAGACAAGGGACCAGTTACCGTCCAAGTCATGTGATACAAGGACGGGTTTTTGTTAGCTTCGTTCCATCAAAACGTCATGACATGCCTCATAACTGCAGTGTATGAACAGAGTAACATTGTATTGTTTTCCTGTGTACATTTTCTAATCGATATGAGTTTCATCAGTTAGATATAAGTTGGCTGATCTTAAACTAAACTATCAGAGAAAGACGAGAAGAACAACCGTTTCTTTTATTAAAAAGCTAGTAGACAATAAAACAAGAATATGCTACTATAAATACCTACACAAGCGGTGTTAGAAAAATGTATTTTAATAACATAAGCGAAATCGGAAACCATTTGTATATAGGAACAAATCAGGTTAGAAATTAGTAGTCTTATTGCAGTAATATAAGTAGTAAGGCGAACCATGTTAATCCGCTGCCCTGGGGATCTTCGTGACATCCGCAAATTTTACAACCAATTGAAGATAAACGTGGGAGCAAAGCGGAACAGCCGGGAAAACCCACGTGGTCGGGCAGGTGACCCCATACTCCTGCACGGGGAAATCAAACCCAGGTCGCCTAGGTGAAAGACATCTATTTTACCGCTACTAATACGCTAGTTTCGTTGCTTTCATTGGTTTATTACTAATTGTTTAATAACTGATATTTTGTTACTCGTACATGCATTTTTAGGCAAGATTACGTCAGTTTGCCAGTCATCAACTTGTCTTCGTGGTGTTTGTCGGTAGAGTAATTGTGTGTTATTGTGATATTACTATAACGCACTGCAATAATTATATATTCTATTTGCTGGAGTAATCCTCGTTAAGTAACATAATTACATATCATGTGGTTATATATGGGGATCATTTACAACCAGGTATAATGTTGACGTCAGCTATTATATGATCAGGTAATCCAGCTTCCGGTTTTAAAGATTGACTCTCTGTTCCAAAGGTGTATGTCATAATATGGAAGATCAATACTGGAGAGGAGCCGTCTTGTCAACACTTCTTTACTGTCAACCACAAACACCGCCGGTGTCACTTTACTGGTATATCATAGATACTTTCGTTTGGAAAATGTATCATGATTTCGTACACCCCGTTGTTAAGATGTCTAAATCAACAGATAAAAGAAAAGAAAACCATAAGATTGTACCATATCCTAATTAACAACGAATTAAGTATTATTAGGTACCAGGTGGATAACACAAGGAATGGGTGTAATGCTGATATTAGTAATTACAGGATCAAGTAATCCAGCTTCCGGTCACATAGATACATTTCCGGTTTAAGATGTGGATGTCATAATTTAGCAGACCAATATGGATACGAAGTCTGGTCAACAAATAAAATAAATATTTGTAACTACGAATAAGGAAATCTTCATACTAACTATCTCACCCCGCGTACTCAAAGATTAGTTAGATGTAACCAGTGGTTACTGGAAAAATGATATTGTTTCCACTGTAATACAGGCTGTTACTAGAAAAATTCAACTCAAAATTTATAAATCTCACCTGTCTAAACAAATCTAAAGCTGTGAAAGGATCAATAATATTCCCAATTTTGTTTAATTTATGATGGAATTTTTTTTTACAAACCTCTTGTTATCTCTAACCAGCCTGTGAACAACCGTTGCAAATAATCAGTCAGAATCACAGCCTTCACACCCATAACATAGTTCTATACACCAAGATAAACTGCCATCCTGCTGAATACTGAAGAGGGATCTTCTGTATCGAAGTGAATTTATTTCGGGTAACTACATATTCAAAACAATCACCAGGCAATGTGTACAAAAATCAAACTGGGTACACATCCACATATCATTTCCGGGGGGTAACGATCACTACATCCTCGATACTCCAAGGGTTACGATCACTACATCCTCGATACTTCGGGGTTTACGATCACTACATCCTCGATACTCCTGGGGTTACGATCACTACATCCTCGAAACTCCTGGGGTTGCGATCGCTTCATCCTCGATACTCCCAGGGTTACGATCACTACATCCTCGATACTCCGAAGGTAACGATCACTACATCCTCGATACTTCGGGGTTTACGATCACTACATCCTCGATACTCCGAAGGTAACGATCACTACATCCTCGATACTACAAGGGTTACGATCACTATTTCCTCGATACTCCGGGGGTTACGATCACTACATCCTCGATACTCCCAGGGTTACGATCACTACATCCTCTATACTCCTGGGGTTACGATCACTACATCCTCGATACTCCCAGGGTTACGATCACTACATCCTCGATATTCCAAGGGTTACGATCACTACATCCTCTATACTCCTGGGGTTACGATAACTACATCCTCGAAACTCCGGGGGTTACGATCACTATATCCTCGATACTCCGGGGGTAACGATCGCTACATCCTCGATACTGTGGGGGTTACCATCACTACATCCTGGATACTCTAGGGTTACGATCACTACATCCTCGATACTCCAAGAGTTACGATCACTTTTGCTCTCTACACCCCTGGAACCATCCTCGATACTCCAAGGGTTACGATCACTTTCGCTCTCTGCATCCCTTGAACATATCATTGCAAAATTGAAGACACAAAGTAATTTGATTGGTTCCATGAACAAAAAAAAGTGACCACTCACAGGCTGATACGCCCCTTTTGAAGACAATAAAAGAGCGACATGCAACTCCAAAGCCATTACAATATACCGTGACGAGATTCGGTTGCTTTATATCAAAGGATCACCCAAGTCCTTCAATTTTAGAGCGAAAGTGACCGTAACCCCTGGAGTATCGAGGATGATGAATTCCAGGAAAATTAAAATTTTGAAGTATTGATGTAAACGATTGATTTGAACTGAAATCTTATCAAGAAAAATCGGATAGCTTTTATTTGATTAATCTGTGGCTCTGTTGTACTGGTATATCGGAGTACTGACAAGGACGTGGTTATTCGATTTATTGATATTAGTGACATCAATAAATCGAACTAGAGATATGATATTTGGACATAATACTAAAACGGAGACCCATACGTGGTGATTTCGATACACATTTTTTGAAACAGAGGTTGATAGATATTTTGGAATAAAACTGAGACATTTTTTCAATTTTTCTAGCCTTCGCTACTTTTATGGTAGGTCTTGTTTTCAGTCCCTGCATATGTATGTCTCTGGTGTTGTATGTCCTTCATGGATACCTGGTCTAATCTTCTTATGTTCATATTTTGCTCTTGTTTCGTTAATTTTGAGTTTGAATTGGCACAAGATGTCAATATTTCAGCATTTTACTTCGTGTGCTTTACCAATCAACGATATTCATGTCCGTGGCAGAGATTTGCCACGAATTTCGGGCGACTCCTGATACATGTATATCGAGGGATTACCGAGATATCGAGACACTTTAATTTACCCACTGCTCTCGATTTAAATTCATAACTTTGTGTTTGTAATGTGATGTAATTTATGTAATATATGTGTCTTGATAAAGGGGCAGGTTGCCGCGAAAATTTTACAATGCGCTTTTTCGTATTGTCATTGTTATTTCATCGATCATATATTATAGTGACTAATATACATGCATATGGTCTGTAGTACGATATAATTATATATGTACATCAATTTCTTAAACAGTCACAAAGAGATGTAGTTTTTTTCTGTAACCAGTCTTTAAATCTGTTAAGAGCAAAACCACGGATTGCAAAATAACTCTCATATGTCCGTGGTACATATAGGATTCTGTTCGAAATATATTTACTATTCTGTCAACAGGTTGTAAGCTTATACTCTTAAATTGTTATAACTATTAATGTTTAAAGTAAAGTGTCGCTGTTGGAGTTTTCAATAATGTGTCGATGCCAATTCTTAAAAAAACCCACCAAAACCACCGTAATCGATTATTAAAGCAGGATTCGAGACGGAGATTTTTTGTAAATCGGCGTCACTTCAAGTCTTCATCGGTATGAGGTAGTATGCAGAATATGAAGCGTTAAACTGACAGCGATCATAAATAAAATGGGACGAAAGAAACCATAGAATATATTGGGATAGAATATTGTGAGAAATGCGAAATATGTCAACTGCCACAACAAAGGAAGTATGTTGTAAACGAATATTACTATATATTTAATTGTCGCGATCTGAGGCTCTTTGTTGGTAAAACTGTCGGTCGTTTCCATCAACTTTCAGTTTCGACCACAGAGTGTACCAAGGTATATTTAGCAAACATCGTAGATGTTTCAGGAACCTTCTACTGAACTTGTATAAAAAAGTTCCTGGTTTCTTGTTCGATACTTGTGTACCATGACGACATGACCTTAATGCCAAACAGAAAATCTACATATCAGTAGACGATGTCATTTGAGAGTAAGATTTCACAGTTTGATATAACAAATTTGCCTGTATAACTATTTGATCTATGAATATGTTTCTTATTCTCGCAGCATATATATATATATATAAAGATTTTAATGGTTACATTTACCTGAAACAGATATTCATCACTGACGAACTATTTATTTTTGATGACATCTGCACTGGAACATAAATTCTAAGATAACCTAAAGCTAGTTTCAGGCAATTAGAAATTTAAAACCTTAACATATTTAAGTTTAGACTCATCATTTATCAGAAGTAAGCAATGTTGAACATGGTTGTAGTACAGATGATTTAATCAGAGGTCCAAGGCTAGCAAAAGGATGTGTATCCTTCCAAAAACTAACCAAAAATTATTGGTCACTTCCATCCTAGAATGGGGTCAATGTGGCTCGAACAGGATGGTAGGATTTTATGTCGTGCTTGTTGGGTGATAGGACATGCCTTCTCTAAAGCACTCATTCACTTGTCCTGACAAGTAGATTTGCCAACAGACGAGTGAATTTTATTGGCAACTTGTCTATCGGACAAGTAGACATTTTAATTTAATTCCATGTACTTTGAAAATAAAAATGTTTGCCTTACATCGTTATGCAAATTTGCAAAATTTCAGAACATCAGAAAAGCAGATCACTTCTTCTTCCTCTTCTTGTGCCTCATGAAAAATGATCATAAACGCAGTGAAACAAATGTTTCTTTGACCATGACTGTGGTATGTACTGTTGTGGTAGCATCCAAGTGTTCCAAGTTATCTGTACATTTAATGGAGAGGCTTGAGGCAACTATTTTCTTAAAGTAGTACAATGTCTTATATAGGTTAATAAAAGAAAGTCTTACAATTTGTCAGTAAAGTTAGCTTGCTCTGCAATATTTACACTAACAGGTGCAGTATCACATTCTCAATATATTGTCTATCTAGGAACAAACAAGACAAGGCATGATAGACACGGCTACCAAGTTATTATATTCACCATTGGTAATAATAAGTTAGATTCAAATCTCAAGTAAAACGTCACTTTCAAGACAAAATGAAAGAGAAACATAACAGTGATTATGTTTACTATTGAGACAGATAATGTTTTTTTATCTACATTTTGAAGGACCCCAACGGAAATAAGCGTATATTATTACGCTTTTTGGGTTATCCTTGGATAGATTTGTTTAACATATATCAGCTGTCTTTATTGTAATTTTATGTTCAATTTGTATACATTTGTGCAAATCTTTCCTGAATAAATTTATTATTATTATTATTAATACATTGATATGGCATGAACAGCTGAACTTGACTGAATTAGAGCCAAGCTGGTACACAATGTGTGAGTGTTCAGCTTAGTTTTGAAAATTTTCCAATTAAAATCATATCCTTTGCTTCAAATATAACATTCTCCTTGTAGTCAAATTCATACTAATTTTATTGGGATGTTGTCTATTCATATTTTTCAAACAGGTCATGTAATGAATATACATTTACTTATCATATATGCATATTTATTTATCTAGTTTCAAAATTTTATAATTAAATTATATGTATTCTTAATTGTTACAACTGAATTAAGTTCTAGGTTAGTTATGTTTTAATCTTCTAATTATTTCATTGTTATATGTATTGTTTTTGACTTTGATTGACTTGATTTAAGGGTAACCATTTATCTTACAATACGTATGTATATCAATGGGGTAGATAGTATATAGATATATATAAGTTCCTGATTGGTTGTTAGTATTTGGTTATGATTAATCGGTTGGGAGGGTCGTGTGGAAGATAATTATACTTGTATTAGTTATGTCACTTTCTGAAAATAAAGAATAATTATTATAGGGCAATGTGTAAAAGTGCACAATTTATAGAGAGTGGACACTTAATTTTAGTACCTACACTTGAACAGAATGTGGTTTGTAACATGTGTTACATGAGGGGTTTACCCAGGTGTACACTTGCTCCATGTTTGTGTACTATTGTTATGTATGTAACAAATCAGTTTCAGATTGAATTGTATCTTGATGTTAAGTGTAGACTTGAAAATGGAGTGTGGAAACAAAGACATTCAATAAGAATTAATTAGCATTAAACAATAGTAACCCATGAGCGTCCTATACATGTATCAAAGCAGGAAACCTATATTACATAAAAATGTTGGCACATTCGTGGTATCTAATGGAGGGAAAGAACAAGAGGAAAAAAAACAAGTTACTTTGTAATACACACCACAGTAAATGCATTGTGTTCACAATACAAAAATAATGGGTTTTGAATTAAACAGCTGAAAACTAATAAGTATTAACTTGAATACCATGTTATTTACAAGTGTCATATTTCTTACCAGGAAGTGTGATGCAATATACTTTATTTAGCTTTGTGCTGAATAATCACAATAATCTTCAGACATATGAGTCTGTACATTTATGGCCACATGTTAGGATATATAGACCTGTATATTTATAATAACTTATTAGGTTCTATGGGCCTGTATATTTATAATTACTTATTAGGTTCTATAGACCTGTATATTTATAATTACTTATTAGGTTCTATAGACCTGTATATTTATAATTACTTATTAGGTTCTATAGACCTGTATATTTATAATTACTTATTAGGTTCTGTGGGCCTGTATATTTATAATTACTTATTAGGTTCTGTGGGCCTGTATATTTATAATTACTTATTAGGTTCTGTGGGCCTGTATATTTATAATTACTTATTAGGTTCTATAGACCTGTATATTTATAATTACTTATTAGGTTCTATAGACCTGTATATTTATAATTACTTATTAGGTTCTATAGACCTGTATATTTATAATTACTTATTAGGTTCTATAGACCTGTATATTTATAATTACTTATTAGGTTCTATAGACCTGTATATTTATAATTACTTATTAGGTTCTATAGACCTGTATATTTATAATTACTTATTAGGTACTATAGACCTGTATATTTATAATTACTTATTAGGTTCTATAGACCTGTATATTTATAATTACTTATTAGGTTCTATAGACCTGTATATTTATAATTACTTATTAGGTTCTATAGACCTGTATATTTATAATTACTTATTAGGTTCTATAGACCTGTATATTTATAATTACTTATTAGGTTCTATAGACCTGTATATTTATAATTACTTATTAGGTTCTATAGACCTGTATATTTATAATTACTTATTAGGTTCTGTGGGCCTGTATATTTGTATATTTATAATAACTTATTAGGTTCTATAGACCTGTATATTTATAATTACTTATTAGGTTCTATAGACCTGTATATTTATAATTACTTATTAGGTTCTATAGACCTGTATATTTATAATTACTTATTAGGTTCTATAGACCTGTATATTTATAATTACTTATTAGGTACTATAGACCTGTATATTTATAATTACTTATTAGGTTCTATAGACCTGTATATTTATAATTACTTATTAGGTTCTATAGACCTGTATATTTATAATTACTTATTAGGTTCTATAGACCTGTATATTTATAATTACTTATTAGGTTCTATAGACCTGTATATTTATAATTACTTATTAGGTTCTATAGACCTGTATATTTATAATTACTTATTAGGTTCTATAGACCTGTATATTTATAATTACTTATTAGGTTCTATAGACCTGTATATTTATAATTACTTATTAGGTTCTATAGACCTGTATATTTATAATTACTTATTAGGTACTATAGACCTGTATATTTATAATTACTTATTAGGTTCTATAGACCTGTATATTTATAATTACTTAATATGTCATATGGGCCTGAATCTATATATTTATAATTGTTTATTAGACTTGTAATTTTTGTATAACAAAACAAAACAAATCATTTGCTTTTAATTGATGTTCTTGTAGTCCACTAACTGTTATGTATTGTTTAAGAATGTAAGATATTGTTAGTTAACCTGTGTCTTTTATTGACAGGGTTGAAGTTGGCTGTGCTGGATTAATGCAGATTTTAAAGTAGTATTGACTGTAAAGTGCAATGATGAAGCAGAAAATTCTTGGTTGGGGAAGTTCCCAGCATGGACAGCTGGCTGTTGGGGCCTCTGACGAGTATGTGGTGTCTACCCCAACTTATATCCCATTACTTTCCAATGAGCAGTTTTGTTTGTCAAAGATCAGCTGTGGAGAAATGCACTCACTCTTTGTCACAACTGATGGCAGCATATTTTCATGTGGAAATAATGACTATGGCCAACTGGGTCGAGAACACCGCAGATCCAAACCAGGTTAGCAAATGCTTTTTAATTAGCAATATTTCAAAATTTTGGTGCAACCTGGGGCATAGTGTTTCATAAAGTTAAACAAAACAGTTTTGAAGTGAAAAATAATCTAAGTTGTTTAGCACACAATGAAATGGTTAGATCTTCATTCATCTGTAGTCCTTAGTCAATCCATCTGCTCATACTTCTGTCTGTCCTTTACCATTCTTCGTATAACTATTTCTGTAAAAGTGCATGATGAATTTTTCCATATTTTACGTGTACACTCTCCTTAGTCCCAAAAATTCAATGTTCTATTTTTGGGACAGTAGACTGATAGAAAAAACAATATAGTGGTGTATATGTTGAATATTGGGACTGATTGAAAATGGAAAATGGTAGACAGGTGGCAATATTAGATTTTAACTGTTGAAGATTTCTGCATTTTTTGTGAAGTTTGTATTCTAGAGGGATCATTCTCAAATATCATACATATGTGGTACCCAGGAATCATATATGATATCTCTAAATTTCCATTGGTCCATAGTTTGGCTGTTCAGGTTTTGGACTGATAGGAAAGAACAAAATGAGCACAGCTAGGTCACAATCCTGGATTTAAAGAAGATTATTATTGCTATTTCTTTTCCCCATATTTATGCTCCCTGAAAAATATAATATAGTTGCTGCCTTGTCTGTCCATCTGTCGTCTTGTGTCTGGAGCACAACTTTGAATGCAATTAAGCAAAGATCAGGGAAGTTGGTGTATACATTGATCATACTAAGACAATGTGCATGTGCCAAAATTCAGGGCCCTTGACTCCTCAATTACATAGTTAATGCCCTTTGTTAAAAATTTCTTGTCCAGAACATAACTTGCGTGCATTTGAGATAGGATAATTAAACTTGGTATAGACATTGATCATACTAAGATGATGTGCAGTGTACCAAATTTAGGGCCCACAACCCGATAATTACAGAGTTATTGCCCATTGTTAAAATTTTGTGTCCAATAGGGGACCATTCATCAGTTTCATTGAGAATCTTGGTTAATTGTTGAAGCAGTCTTTTTGCAAATTTTAAATGTAAACTAATAAAAGTATTGTGACTGGACATTAATGAAAATATGACATAATGTTTAGTCAGTTTTCTTTAGATAGCTCTAATTGGATACATATAGTGTAGGTCTGATATGTAGTTATTTCAATCTTTGTCCTGTTTTGATTTATCAGCCATAAAGGTATTTTATTGCAATGCAAGGTGTGAATCTTCCTGCCTGTCTTTGTCCTCTTATGAGCAACCATTTAATCCACATCATCTTTGATACAGTTGAGAGCTCAAGTATTTGACTTCGTGCATTAAAACACATTAAGATTCTAATATACTCCAGTTCCTTTTATTTCAGCATTATATTATTATTTTTGTTTCTTGGTAATTTATTGCATAATTGATAAGACTAGATGTCAAATTTCAATGGCTCTTGAAGCCTTGAAGCATGAAAGCAGTGACATAGTCATTGTAAATTACTGAGGATGGAATGCTTTAGAACTAAGATTTAATTACCATCCACAGAAAAAATTGAACAGCTTGGTAAAATGGTGGTAACGCAAGCTGCTGCTGGCAGTCATCATAGTTTGGCTTTAACAGCTGCTGGGGAGGTGTTTAGCTGGGGCGACAACAGCTCTGGGCAGCTGGGGAGGGGCCAAGTTGATGAAGCTGTACAGAGGATCCCAAAGTAAGTTCTTACATCTTCTCACTTTAGTATGATGTTTGTGCCCTACAAGCAACTCTGTCTGACCATTGCTTACTTATCATTCAGGTTCATTAATATTTCTGAATATTTTGAATTAAAAGGGTTAAACATCTGAAATGCAGATCTATGTTAAAACCTGTCTTAACTTTGGCAATGTTTGAAGTTACAAACCTGCTGCTGCCTTTCAAAATACTTGTTTACATACAAGAGGAGATTCTAAAATCTAAACAAGGATCTCAAACACTATTTTCTGTTATGTCTGAAGAAGTAGAACAAAAATATATGATATCACATAAATACTGAATAACACTTTTATACGGAAAATCCTAGGATTTTGTAGAGTTCATCATTGTAGTTATAAGATTTGTATAATTTTCAGGTTGATCAAGGCTCTAGTACCGCACCCAGTTGTACAGATTGCCTGTGGGAGCTGTCATTGTTTAGTTCTTACAGATGGTAAGATACTGGAGTCTCCTTTTATCTATCGTATTGAAATTGATTTGTTCTTATTTGTTTAATCAGTGAAGTTTCGCTATCTAGATATTGTATCTGAAAATGCGTGTAATTTCAGATAGTGTATGAGCATGTTGAATGTTCCTGTCAGTATTAGGCTTCTTTGTGAAAGGAATCTGGAGCAGGCTCTGTTGATGGTGTCATACAAAAGATTGTTTAAAATCCTAAGTAGAGCTGTGGTAAACACTTCGATACATATATCATGTGATATCTTGAAGTCAAACTTTAATGCTAGATTTGGATACAAACAAATTAATGTTATAATGGAGGACAGTAATTCATTAAAACTTGATCCAGAGGTTAAGTGTGTGTACCATGATAGTTTATACAGGTTATATCTAATTTTGAAAAATTCTCTTCAGGTTGGTAATCTTGATAGTATAGAACATAACACAACAGTAAAAGAGAAGATAATCCATAGAAGGCAATCTACTACAGCCTTTAGTGGGTTATACTGGTTCCCTTCGGTGAAATGTCTCCAGGTTGTCGGAAGACGCAGTAGTAACGCACTCACCTTTCACCAAGCCATCCAGGGTTTGATTCCCGGAATTCATGTGAAAAGGTGTTGGGTCACCTGCCTGACCAAGTGGATTTTCCCCAGGTATTCCGGTATCCTCCCACAGTAAGACCCCTCACATGCTTCCATCCAGGCCAATGGTAGTGATTAATATAAGCTGGAAAACTTGCTTCAAAATTGTCGTAAAATAAATAAAGCTTAATGTCTCCAAGTCGCTAGCAGACATTCTCTGACCCTTGGTGGGATAATCTGAACATCATGTCAAAATCTCGAAAGACCTTGCAGGAAGTATGTTTCTGGTACTTATCCAAAATGATCAGGAATTCATTTCACATGACGTGGTGTCTCTTTTCACCAAAGCAGCCACTGACAAAGCACTTGGTATCAGTCAAAGCTGCCATAAGCAAGACTGGTCATGGCGAAAGTACACCTATCTCCATATTAAAGACCTCGTGAATTTACTTGAATTTGTGCTTACAACAAGATACCATCTACCAGCAATGGTTTTGCCAACTTATTCATGGAACACTTGGAGACAGAGGTTATAGCTTGCAAGCCCAGTCTGTGGAAGAGGAATGTTGATGACATATTGGAGATAGTGATAAAAGTGTCACATAAAGATTTGTATAGCAACACCGTAGATACCACCAACAGCATCAACTTCACCCGTGAGGAAGAAATCAATGGCACCATGCCATTCCTTGTCACCTTCGTAGAAAAGAAAAATGACGTTACTATCAAAGTATTGGTCTATAGGACAGACGCACAAAGACCATTACCTCAACTTCCGATCACACCACCCCTTACACCAGCAGTTGGGTGTCGTACGAGCCTTGCTCAACAGATGTGAAATGAATGTCAAGAAGAACAAGACAAGAAGCAAGAAGAAAATCACAACCATAGAGCCTTGAAACCACATGGATAACCTGATTGGGCATTCCAGAAAGTTGACAATGAATTTGATACAAGCAAAAAGACCAAGAAACACAACACCAAGGAAAAGAAAAAAACAAAAGGAAAAGTTGTTGTCCCTTACATCAAAGGATTGTCATAGACCGTTTGGAGGATTTACCGTGGTCATGGCATTGCACAGACTCTCGCATATCTATGACCAAGTGTTAAACAAAGCGCAGCTGAATTGACTACAGTACATTGTTATCTTATGGTATATCTTTTGGTCTATAATCTGTTTACCATCTCATCACACAATTTTCGACCTTTGTGTACATAGGATTATAGTACAGCCAAAAAAGTTGGTCAATTTCATACCATCTTGTACACTATGTACGTCAATGTTATTACACTCCACACTGGTCATTTGTCTGATGCAGGTGACCCTGTAGATCTCGTACACTACATACGTCAGTACTAGTACGCTCCACACTGGTCATTTGTCTGATGCAGGTGACCCTGTAGATCTCGTACACTACATACGTCAGTACTAGTACGCTCCACACTGGTCATTTGTCTGATGCAGGTGACCCTGTAGTTATTGAAATGCCTCACTCTAATCCTCTACTGGTTGTGTTATAAGAACTTCTTTTCTATGTTATATTTCAGTATTTTGTTTACCAAATCAAAGTTACATAAGACTTCGCTATAGTTCCTGTGCAATGCTGTTTGAACCGAATCATATTTATTAAATTGTATGCAGATTTGGAAACATATCTTGAAGAAATTCTCTTGTGATATAACATTCCATTTTGTTGCAGTGGTGAATCATACACTACATGTTTTTATTGAGATTTAAAGGTTACCTACACCTGGTAACTTAGACACTTACCCTTAGTATACATTTCCTCAGATGGACAGGTGTTTTCCTGGGGTGGTAATAGTCATGGTCAGCTGGGACAGGGTATAAAACACAGTCACTTGGACACACCAAAGCCCATCGTCAGTCTGAAGGGCATCCCTATTGCCCAGGTGGTGACAGGGGGCTCCCACAGCTTTGTACTTAGTATGTCCACTGCTGTTTTTGGATGGGGCAAAAACTGGTAAGTTTTTAAAGTAATATATTTATTGTTAAATTTTCTTTTAGGAGTAGAGTTATCATTGGAAGTCACTTTGAATTACAGCATGTACAGAATTTATATAAATTGAGAAAATAAAGAGCTGTGCTATCATTCTGATGCAGTTTTTATGTTTTTAGTGAAATAGTGACATAATTCCAGTCCTAAAGCTTGCAAACCATTGAAATTTGATTAGAATGATAAATGAACAGTGTTATTCTGACTCTATTTCAGTTTTGGACAGTTAGGACTGAATGAGGAAGCAGGTTGGTATATCTCTTATTTTCTTGAATTCTCTTGAATATGAATGAATGGTTTCAGATAATATAACAGATTGTACACACAATAATCATCATCACTTCCACTGTGGGAACTAATTTTTAGGATCGTACATCGTCCATTGTCCTGCGCCGTCAGCTGTCCGCTGTCTATAAACATTTCCTTAAAAACACTACTTCTGCATACTACCTGGGCAAGAAACATAAATGAGAGTGGGGAATCATTTCATAAGTTCAGAAAGTTGATTTGATCCCTAGGGACTTGAGAAATTAGACAATATTTTGCTTTAAAATGGTACTCTTTCTTTATGTCTGGGTAGATTTCAACCAAATTTGGTCTGAAACATCATTGTACATGCGTTACCAAACATGCATGAAGTGATCTTGAGATTAAGACCAAATCTTCTCTTTTCACTTTGGTCCAAAATCCAACATATCTCATCTAGAACAACTAGTCTACTTCTCAGGTTTCATTTACACCAATGAGAAAGATATATGGGGTTTTATAATTTGTTGTTATGTTTCAGCCTATCCAAAACTACAACATGGTAAGCACACTAGTCATCTGTAACATGATTGTACAACTGTTTTTCATGAACAGAACCTCCCCTGTATGAGTCACTGATACTTTCAAGGAATGGTCAAATTTGAATTCATCAGATTTTTCAGACCACTAATAGCGAGTACTTTGGCTTGTCCATCCATTTGTCGATTGTTAGAAGACTGTTAAGGGTCATGGTCCTCTTATTTTATATAATTTTCATGGAGTTAAAATTTTGGTATTTTTTTGGCTTTTATTTGATATCCAAATTATATCTTGAAGACAATGTTAAGAGATGTCTAGTCATCCTTTAAATGTTTGTTTGCTTGGTTGATCATCAATTGAACAGTCACGGTCATTGTAAGATGGGGTTTTCTTGTACATATAGTAGCTAGTTGCTAGCTCCAACTGAAGAACGTGCTGGATGGTCACTGCATACTCATTTGGGATAAAGTATCTTGCTCCAGGATGCAAAAAACAAACTGTCCAATGTAGGGAAAAGTGCACACATTCAGATAGTTTACCTGAGATACATAATTTTTTCTGGGTAAGGACAAACCTCACACCTAGGATTTTCCCTGAGAAACACAAGCCACTTGGGAGGGATCAAATCACATGTCTTTACCTAAGAAACAAAAAAAATCTTGTTTAGGGATCAAACTACACACCTCTGATCTTTACCTGAGGAACACAGACCATCCCAGGTAGGGATCAAACTACACACCTCTGATCTTTACCTGAGGAACACAGACCATCCCAGGTAGGGATCAAACTACACACCTCTGATCTTTACCTGAGGAACACAGACCATCCCAGGTAGGGATCAAACTACACACCTCTGATCTTTACCTGAGGAACACAGACCATCCCAGGTAGGGATCAAACTACACACCTCTGATCTTTACCTGAGGAACACAGACCATCCCAGGTAGGGATCAAACTACACACCTCTGATCTTTACCTGAGAAACACAGACCATCCCAGGTAGGGATCAAACTACACACCTCTGATCTTTACCTGAGAAACACAGACCATCCCAGGTAGGGATCAAACTACACACCTCTGATCTTTACCTGAGGAACACAGACCATCCCAGGTAGGGATCAAACTACACACCTCTGATCTTTACCTGAGGAACACAGACCATCCCAGGTAGGGATCAAACTACACACCTCTGATCTTTACCTGAGGAACACAGACCATCCCAGGTAGGGATCAAACTACACACCTCTGATCTTTACCTGAGGAACACAGACCATCCCAGGTAGGGATCAAACTACACACCTCTGATCTTTACCTGAGGAACACAGACCATCTGATCCAGGTAGGGATCAAACTACACACCTCTGATCTTTACCTGAGGAACACAAACCATCTGATCTTTACAGGTCACAGGGATCAAACTACACACCTCTGATCTTTACCTGAGGAACACAGACCATGATCTACACACCTCTGATCTTTACCTGAGGAACACAGACCATCCCAGGTAGGGATCAAACTACACACCTCTGATCTTTACCTGAGGAACACAGACCATCCCAGGTAGGGATCAAACTACACACCTCTGATCTTTACCTGAGGAACACAGACCATTCCAGGTAGGGATCAAACTAAACACCTCTGATCTTTACCTGAGGAACACAAACCATCCCAGGTAGGGATCAAACTACACACCTCTGATCTTTACCTGAGGAACACAGACCATCCCAGGTAGGGATCAAACTAAACACCTCTGATCTTTACCTGAGGAACACAAACCATCCCAGGTAGGGATCAAACTACACACCTCTGATCTTTACCTGAGGAACACAGACCATTCCAGGTAGGGATCAAACTACACACCTCTGATCTTTACCTGAGGAACACAGACCATTCCAGGTAAGGATCAAACTACACACCTCTGATCTTCACCTGAGAAACACAAACCATCCCAGGCAGGGATCAAACTACACACCTCTGATCTTTACCTGAGAAACACAGACCATCCCAGGTAGGGATCAAACTACACACCTCTGATCTTGACCCTGGTAGAAACACAAACCATCCCAGGCAGGGATCAAACTACACACCTCTGATCTTTACCTGAGAAACACAAACCATCCCAGGCAGGGATCAAACTACACACCTCTGATCTTCACCTGAGGAACACAGACCATTCCAGGTAAGGATCAAACTACACACCTCTGATCTTTACCTGAGGAACACAGACCATCCCAGGTAGGGATCAAACTACACACCTCTGATCTTGACCTGAGGAACACAGACCATTCCAGGTAAGGATCAAACTACACACCTCTGATCTTTACCTGAGAAACACAGACCATCCCAGGTAGGGATCAAACTACACACCTCTGATCTTGACCCAGGAAACAAAAACCATCACAGGTAGGGATCAAACTAAACACCTCTGATCTTTACCTGAGGAACACAAACCATCCCAGGTAGAGATCAAACTACACACCTCTGATCTTTACCTGAGGAACACAGACCATTCCAGGTAGGGATCAAACTACACACCTCTGATCTTTACCTGAGGAACACAGACCATTCCAGGTAGGGATCAAACTACACACCTCTGATCTTTACCTGAGAAACACAAACCATTCCAGGCAGGGATCAAACCACACACCTCTGATCTTTACCTGAGAAACACAAACCATCCCAGGCAGGGATCAAACTACACACCTCTGATCTTCACCTGAGGAACACAGACCATCCCAGGTAGGGATCAAACTACACACCTCTGATCTTTACCTGAGAAACACAAACCATTCCAGGCAGGGATCAAACCACACACCTCTGATCTTTACCTGAGAAACACAAACCATCCCAGGCAGGGATCAAACTACACACCTCTGATCTTCACCTGAGGAACACAGACCATCCCAGGTAGGGATCAAACTACACACCTCTGATCTTTACCTGAGGAACACAGACCATCCCAGGTAGGGATCAAACTACACACTTCTGATCTTGACCTAGGAAACAAAAACCATCACAGGTAGGGATCAAACTACACACCTCTGATCTTTACCTGAGAAACACAAACCATCCCAGGTAGGGATTAAACTACACACCTCTGATCTTTACCTGAGAAACACAGACCATTCCAGGTAAGGATCAAACTACACACCTCTGATCTTTACCTGAGAAACACAGACCATTCCAGGTAGGGATCAAACTACACACCTCTGATCTTTACCTGAGAAACACAGACCATTCCAGGTAGGGATCAAACTACACACCTCTGATCTTTACCTGAGAAACACAGACCATTCCAGGTAGGGATCAAACTACACACCTCTGATCTTTACCTGAGAAACACAAACAATCCCAGGTAGGGATCAAACTACACACCTCTGATCTTTACCTTATTTACTTAGTCTGGTGTACTTCTGGCTGACCTATGGCAGTACCTCTCTTGTAAGTATTGGGGCGTTCATTATTAACAGCGATAATATTTCAATATTGATTTATTACATACATGTTTTATTTATTGCAGATCAGTCTCATCCGATGCTGTGTAAATCATTAAGAGGTCAGAGAGTGAAGTATATATGTTGTGGGGCTGACCATACTGCTGTTTTAACACAGGTACTTACCACTTACACAGTCTACTGTCCTCCTTTCCTATAAAATCCAATTTAAAGCATATCAAAGAAAAAAAGCTATACATTCGCTACAATCAGGTATCAATGTAGGAAAATCAGATTATTTTTTATCATGTGCTAATTACTGGTCCTATGCCACCTGACTAACATCTCCACTTTTGTATACCTGTGTGTGTTTGGTAAACTTATGGTGGTTTGACAGTGCTCCTATAGTTGGCACCATTTTGTGTCACTCCAACTGAAGGCTGAAATGACTTATTGCAATATTTCTATTCCTGTCTGTAACCTTCTAACTTTTGACCTTTTGACATTTTTCCAGGAATACCAATAGCCTAATTGACCTGAAAGTAAAAAAAGGGTAGAGGGCTGTCAAAATTGTGGAAATTATTTACCATTACATTCAAGATTTCAATTACATACAGATAGGGTAGTAACCCATTTGACATTTGAACTCTTTGACATAAAGAACAATACCTTTTAATTAAAAACAATATATCATTTACTTTAACAATATTCTCCAAAAATATGAAAGTAATTTTAGAATGTCTTTATGCCACTTTGCACTTGTTATGGCAAAAGATTATACAAAAGACACATGACTGAATAGGACCTTGTAAGAATTTAGAATCAGATACAGTAGAGCTAAACAATGAATTAAACATGAACAAAATTACATGTGTTCAGTTTTGAACTGGTTTGTAATCACTTCAACGCTAATATTTACAAACAATGAAAATTCAATATATATCTTGAAAAAATCCATTGGATTTAATTATAGTGTTTTTAAAACTGAGATATTTTATTGATATGCTTATGTATACAGGAAGGTATTCATTGGATTTAATTATAGTGTTTTTAAAACTGAGATATTTTATTGATATGCTTATGTATACAGGAAGGTATTCATTGGATTTAATTATAGTGTTTTTAAAACTGAGATATTTTATTGATATGCTTATGTATACAGGAAGGTATTCATTGGATTTAATTTTAGTGTTTTTAAAACTGATATTTTATTGATATGCTTATGTATACAGGAAGGTATTCATTGGATTTAATTTTAGTGTTTTTAAAACTGAGATATTTTATTGATATGCTTATGTATACAGGAAGGTATTCATTGGATTTAATTATAGTGTTTTTAAAACTGAGATATTTTATTGATATGCTTATGTATACAGGAAGGTATCCATTGGATTTAATTTTAGTGTTTTTAAAACTGAGATATTTTATTGATATGCTTATGTATACATTATGTAACGTAGGACAAGCGTCAGATTAAGATGTTTCGGCAAGAAAGCAAGAACTCAAAATATTGTATAGAAAACAATCACAATTTATTACATACAAGTATATAATCACACTAAATCACATCCACACTCACTCTCACTTCCTCTAACAAGCACACAAAGTTCCAAAAAGACGTCCAACACAGCACGGCACAACACGGTCACAGAATACATCTAAGTCCTTTACACAACAAGAAACAAGGTAGCAGCTGAACCGCAGCCCAGCTGAGGCTCCCATGAACAAGAGTTCCACACGGGTGTCTATCAGGGGGACTTCCAAGCCTTCCCCACCACATACAACACCAGAGACGTAGTGTATGCTCTACCACCTAGATAGTGTGCTCCAAACTATCCCCGACAGTTGAGGACATGTCTCCCTACGACGGAGATTCTCTACGGCGATGAAAATGCCATCAGTGCCTTGACCCGACTGTACCGACCAACAATCTTCCTGTGGCTGACCTAGGTCTATGACCGGCCCCGTTGCCGAAGCTGTGGTTCCTCAGGTCCAGATAGGCGTATTTGTAGACTCTCACTCTGGCATGGAAAGCTTAAACAACAAACAATACACACAAACATTCACTCCGATAACCATCACAAAAATGACAACATATCGTCCATACAAAGTACACTACATACGTTAAATACCTAATTATTCATTCCATATGGGAATAAATACACAATATTTGCTTTGATTCTCAAGCAAAGTCGTGCGGTGGTCCATGCTTACGCTATAATTTTGACAAACAAAGTAACGCATATGGCGACTAAAGGCTTCCATACTTTTTTTAAACCGGCGATACTCAGTGGACTATAGTTCACCTGTACAGGGACATTAATACAAAAGTTATCATTTAAGCCCTACTATATACTACAAATGACATATGATAAACATAATATCAAGACTTCAGCGATCAAAACATGGAAATATTAATATATCAACAAAACATACACGCTTACAACTCTAATAAATTGCTACGCTTGATTGGACCGCACGCTAAGATATATATATATTAGAAATACATTTTTTCCGGAAAATAAGACACTCTAACAGACAATTAGTAAAGAGAAAGAGATGTAACAATATTAGTTACTCACCACAGTCTGTATTCCGTGCCTGTATCCATGAGAATCGGAAAAATTGACTACAGGTAAACACTACACAGCCATTAATATCGGCATACCTTACCTGTAGTGACGCTCGCCAAATTCCGCACGTGCACTTCCGTTTTAGCCGTACTTACACTCGTGCCATACGGACTTATGTATAAGAACAGACGAATCATAGAAAAATCTATACAAATAATTACATGCGAACGTGACAGTATCCATTGGATTTAATTTTAGTGTTTTTAAAACTGAGATATTTTATTGATATGCTTATGTATACAGGAAGGTGGCGTTTTCACATTTGGTGCTGGCGGGTATGGACAGCTTGGTCACAACTCCACCGACAATGAAATCCTGCCGAAGAAAGTTGTTGAGCTCATGGGGAGTAAAGTCACACAGATTGCCTGTGGCAGGTACATATCTCTGTTCGGTAGTAGTCAATCATTCTTGATTCTTTTCTTGTCTCCTAAACACTTCATATTTGATGAGTAATTCATTTAAACATTGCGCCATGTTGCTCATCAAAATTTACATAATAGGGTTGTTGAGAACTCTGACTCTGTGGTACTGTTTATATATCCTAATTATCTGATATTGTGGCACTATTCACCCATTCACCTGAATCAGAAAGTTACTTGATCTGATTTCCAAACACTAGATCGTTCAGATGCTGAAGATGAGTCAATCTTGTGGAATTGTTTGTTACAGACGGCATACCTTGTCCTACGTACCTAACAGTGGGAGAGTGTATGCTTTTGGTCTAGGTGGAAGTGGACAACTAGGAATTGGAGTTCCTGGCAATAAAACCATTCCCTTCCCTGTACAGGGAGCATTCATTTCAGCAGAGGGAAAATGCTCAGACGTGATGGACCATGACCAACCATTACTAGTCAAGGAATTGTATGCTGGCGGTGACCACTGTTTTATCATCGCTGCTTTTCCATCGGTAAATATCGCTATTCAGAGTTTGATGAATCATTCTCAAATTTCATCTATGAACTCACCTTGTTCCCTAGTTTAGCAGTTCTTTTAGAAACTGATCTGAAAACAAAATGGCAGACCAATGGCCATCTTGGCTTTTGACAGTCAAAATTTGTTATTTTCATGTCTTGAGAAGTACTGGTTGAATCTTTCTCAAATATTATATGAAGGTTCCTCTAGGTCATTAGCCGTGCCCTATAGATTTTTGGGTTGATAAGAAAAACAGAGATTGGAAGACCATCTTGATTTAACAGTCAAAGATTATTATCACTATTTCTTAAGAGGAATTCTCGAATTTGATATCCTGCAGAGCGAAAATGAAGAAAAGAAGGTAGGGAATGATCCAACTGTTAAAAACCAAATTAAGATCAAAGAATGGTGAGCTCCAAGATGCCTTAGAAATCTCTTGTGTATTTTGTTATTTTTAGATTGTGTATTTTGTTATTTTTAGAGTGATGTTGGACCTACAGATTACAGAGAACATGAGCCCACCACACAGATAGCTCGCCTTACACCAGAAATGATTACAAGAATATCAAAGCTTGAAGAAGATGACAATCCATTAGTTTTCTTTGAGTATGTTGATAATATTATCGAAACTCACTTAACTGATCACAGGGGTTTGATTGGTCAAAATGATTTAGTCTATAACATCTTGAGGTTTATTGTAAAAGGAGAAGTTGTAAAGTTTCTAGATACAATTCCAAATATGAACGTTATGAGACCTGACCCTTGGTGTGATGGAGGATGACATATAAAACTGCATTAAATGAAACAAAATGATTGAATACAGGTCTCTGTTAGTCAGGATTTAGTCTTGGCAGTGGATATGTGTGCAGGGGTTCAGAGTGATTATAGTTACAACAACACTTCCAATTACAATAAACCACCATTTGTAATGCAGATTTCAATTTGTTGTTTAAGATCAGTACCTGTAGGGTGTATTATTATCCTGGTGATGACAATTTTAGTGTAGTGTATAGGGGAACTCAATTTCATTGAACTTTTGGACAAACAAGTTAAAACATTGATAACTTACCATATGCTTGTTGGGAGTAGCTGTTTTAGCTGAATATTTGAATGTCATGGATGGCTGAATATATAAATGTCATGATTGGCTGAATATATGAATGTCATGATTGGCTGAATATATGAATGTCCTGCTTGGCTGAATATATGAATATCATGATTGGCTGAATATTTGAATGTCATGATTGGCTGAATATTTTGATGTCCTGATTGTCTGAAACGTTGTTACTGATATGAATTTAGATTTAACGGATTTGAGGTTTTTTAATGTAAAACCAATTTTCATGAGGTAATACTTACCATAACTTTAGTATGCAAATATGGTACCTACACCCATCTTTGTATCCCAAAAACAAAAGATTCAAAAATCCCGCCCTCCCTACGACCATGAGCCTTCACGTCATGAACATAGAGTTATCTCCCTTCCTCTTAGCCTTTATGGGGCACCCGCAGAGGGGCAGTCAGGCAGATAGGAAGAGGGGAGGATAGGGTGGGACTCCATAAAGTTATGGTAAGTATTACCTCATGAAAATTGGTTTTACATTAAAAAACCTCAATTTTATTTCAGTAATAATTACCATAACTTTAGTATGCGAATTCGTCTTACCGTAGTGGTGACTAGCAGCCAGGCAGCCCATCTAGCACAACTGAACATGGTACAGAGTGCATAGAAGAAGGAGGGGCAACCTCCCCGTGAGCAGGTAACCCACGTGCCGCCGAACGGAAAAGACGAGCCCCGGGGCTAACAGGGGGCACAGCCACAGACTGTGCAACCACCAGAGGTCCCAAAGAATACAAACCTTCTGAGTGGGAAGCCAGGGATCTCAGATAAAAATCTGTAAACATATCCCTGCCCCGCCAGAAGGCAGCAGACATGACCTCCTGAAAGGAGGACCCATTAAGAAGGGCCCAGGACGCAGCGAGGGCCCTTACCTAGACCCGACTCTCACCCTCGCCCGAGCCTGGTCATCAGAGTGCTCATAAGCATACTTTTGATAGGCATACCCAAGACACCGACGGGGAGGAGATGTCTCGCTGTCCCTGTTTGATAGGCAAAAACAGACGGGATCTGGAGCCCCCCCCCCCCTCTGGTCGAGAGTGTGTCGTCCTGGACCGAGGCTGACGCAGGAGATTCGGTCTGGTGGGGAGAGCTAGTGGCTCCTCCACCAGAAACGACAAGAGCTCCGGAAACCAAGGCTGCCTCGGCCACAGGGGGGCTATCAGAAATAAGGAGCAGTGATGCAGGTTGAAGGGAGGGAATGCATAAGCATGCATCCCGTCCCAGTCCAGAGAAAGGGCGTCCACAGCCCAAGTCTTCGGATCTGGGACCGGAGAGACGAAGGTTGGCAGCTGATTGTTCAGAGAAGTGGCAAACAGATCTATCAAAGGTCTGTCCCACACCTGACAAATTCCCCGGAAGACAGAGGGACACAGCTGCCATTCGGTCAACACCGGTTGGCAGCGCCTGGAGAGGGTATCCGCCAACACATTCAACCTGCCCGGAAGATGCTTGACCGTAATGGACAATTGCATCTCCTGACAGAGAAGAAGGATGTGGATGGAGAGGGCACACAGGACGTGAGACCTGGTGCCCCCTTGTCTCTCCAGATACGCGGCAACTGTAGAGTTGTCGGTAGCCACACAAATCGCCTTGGACTGCAGGAATCCCCGAAAGGATTGCAGTGCCAAAAGGTCTGTCCTCATCTCGAGCACGTTGATGTGCTCCGAGAGCTGATCCCCAGACCACTCCCCCGAGCGACAATGGCCGTTGAGGTAAGCTCCCCATCCTGTCATGGAAGCATCCGTGAACAGGGTCATAGAGGGGACAGGCTTGGTCAGAGGAACCCCGCGGAGAACATTCTCCCGAATGGTCCACCAGCGAGCGAACTCCCTGACCGACTGAGTGAGAGTTATCCAGGCCTCCCACTTCCTGGATGACGGAACCCAGTTGGACAGGAGGAACATCTGGAGAGGTCTGATGTGAAGTCTCCCTAGGGGGACCACATCTGCCAGGGCGTTGAGATACCCCAGAAAACTGAGGAACCAACGCACCTGGACCTGCGACCGTTCGATGAAGGACAGAGCTAGAGCCCTGGCCTTCTCGAACTTCTCCACCGGTGGTAGGGCTATGCTCAGAACCGTATCGAAACGATTCCCCAGGAAGACAAAGTCCTGAGATGGGGAAACCTCTGACTTCTCTCTGGAAGGAATGAAGCCGACTCTGAGCAAGACTTTCAGGACCAGCCGGGTATCCTTCACTAACGATTCCCTCACCCTGTGAAGCATGAGGGAGTCGTCGAAATAGATGTGGACGTCTATTCCGCGAGAGTGAAGGAATCCCACGACTACCTGCAGCAGCTTGGTGAACACCAAGGGAGCTGTCGTCAGCCCGAAGGGCATGGCCTGGAATTGGAAGACCTTGCCGTTGCACGTGAAACGGAGGAACTTCCATACCAATTTCTTGATGGGGATATGGAAATAGGCATCCTTCAGATCTACTGAAGTTGCCCACATCCCGTCCCTCACGAAGGCCATGATGCCCCGTGGGGTCTCCATCTTGAAGTGAGGAGAATCTACGTGCCTGTTGAAGACACTGAGATCTATGATCGGGCACCACTCTCTGGACTTCTTCTGTCTCAGTCAAGGAGAAGAAAGAGTCAGGAGCCCTTCTTCTTGCCCCCAGGAGGTTTCTTACCCTTCTTACCTTTCCCCTTATTGCCCTTTAAGTGTGGCTGCGATTTGGGTTGGGCAGACGCCTGCCCAGCCGAAAACTTAGCCCTCTTCTTGGGAGGCGCTGACCCCTGCGAGGCGCTGGCCTTCTCGGAATGAAACCTCTTCACCAAGAGTGCTGAGGCGACCGAGTCCTCCTTCATATCCTTCTGGACAGAAGGGAGAGCTCTCCCGAACAGGGTAGAGCCAGTGAAGGGGGCAGTCAATAGACGGGAAAGATAAGGTTCCTCGACTGGGCGATTTTTTAAGATTGAAAATCGCCTAGCCAACACGACATTGGCGAGCAGGGAGACCTGTAAGGCTGCCGATGCCCTCAACGCCGCGTTCAGGGCAGCTGTAAGCCTGTCCTGAATGTCGGCCTACCCGACCCTCAGGCAAGTCGGATACCTTGTATAGACTCACAGTCAGGAAGTCTATGTAAGACAGAACTTGGATGGAAAGGCGAAACATCCTCTCCATCCTGTGGTGCTCTTTAGCATCGAGCACCACCTGGTCCACCGATTTGCTGGGCCAGGCAGCCAACTCCCTCGACTCCAGCTTTGCTGGTTGAGAGGCCAGTTGCCCGTCATGTGTAGCGTAGTCAGCGGTAGAAGCCTCTGACAAATCGCCAACACCGAGCTGCAGACCGGCAAAACCTGGGGTGTGGGCAGATGAAGAATTCTTCTCCAAAACCCGTGCCCGGGCGGTGGCCAGAGCCGAAGACACAATGGTGCCTTCTGGCAGAGTCTGATCAGTACGCACAGAAGCCCAAGGAGCCACCAAAGAACCTAGAAGGGTGGTGGACTCGGGCACCGATGATGCAGAAGGGGGTGGGCAAACCTCCGCTCCGAGAATCCGAGAAATGTCGGCCCATAGGGCCCGCATCCCCGAAAGAACATGCTGAGCCTCGGTTTCAGCAATCTCGGAGCTCCCTACCTCCTGGGAACCCTCCTGGTCGGAAGGGTCATCTGCCGATGACTCGGACGGATCAATCGCCGAGCACCCAGGAGACAGATGGATAACATCGTCATCCTCTGCCAAGCCCACGCCCTCAGCGTCCATCTCCTCCTCGCTAGCGACCGAAGTCGCCCTGGGAGGAACAGGGGCCGCCAGAGGAGACCTCTCTGGAGAGGGGGACTCCTCTATACGGCGTTTAGACGTAGAACGTCTAACAGCCGAAGCTGTAGGCTTAGAAGCCAACCCCTGAGGACAGGAGACCGACGAGTCCGCGCGGGAGGCGGAAGTCCTAAATGTCCGGTGAACCTTTTTAGGACCGGCCGAAACGGCCCCCGAAGTAGCAGAGCGTTGGGGGGATTCAGCACTGCTAAAACGTCTCCTAGAGGGAGAGACCATACCCCAAGGGTTCCATGAAGGAAGACCCATGGGGTTGAACCCAAACCCCTGAGGGAATGGGAACAGTCCCGCGGGCTGGGAGTGACCCCAGAACTGACCAAATTGGCCTGCCTGAGCCTGGGGCTGGACACCCTGTCCAAAGGACCAGGATGAACCTCCACTCCCACCAGGTGGAAACCCAGCCATGTACGGGCCGAGCCCGTAACAGCTGGGTAACTGTTGGTACCCATGACCATCCGCAGGTTGGCCTGGGCGGCCCGGGATTGAGTGCCCGCAGGCACCCCTACACCCCGAGCCCGGGGGAAAAGGCGACCGGAAACCGGAAGCCTGACCTGGGGCCCCAAATCCCTGGGGGAAACCCCCTGGGAAACCTTGCACCGGAAAATCTGGACTAGAGCGAAAAGCCCCAGATCCAGAGACCTGTGAGGGTAGGAACCCAGGCCCCGCACTGACACTAGGATTAGTGAACTCAGTGTCACTAATCCCCGTAGCCACTGACAACCCTGACAAAAAATCAGTGACCCCTGACCCCATACCCGAGGGTACCGGTCCGGCGTCAGGGCGGCCCCCACCAACGACGCCACCTGGCGTGCCGAGGTCCCTGAAAGACTCAGAGACCTGTGACCGGAAGTCCCTTTCCGACGGTAGCACCGCCGGCTGTCGAGAGCTACCGGCCGATTCGACCCTAGACTTCGCCGAGTCAGGGTCGGGTTGCTCCCCCCCTATACCAGGACGCGCCTGGACAGGGGGAGCCACCCCCTGCTCGAGGGCGGAGCTCAGTGTGAGAACACCCCCAGCAGTGACAACCTCACCCCTCGGCTCAGGGCCGGGGGTAGAAAACCTGGATGGCTTACCTCTCTTACCGGAAGATGAGGACGAATCCCTCTTCCGGCGAGAAGTTCGCCGACTGGGTAGGGGAGCCTTTACAGCGGACCCGGCGTGCAAACAAAGTTCGCACGGCGAGGCCTCGCTGCAAGGTCGGCATAAGGGACAGGCATCATGGGGGTCCTGCTCTCCGTAGAAGTGAGAACACCCATGTGCTGAACCACGACGCATCCCTGAATCCATAATTGTTACGAAATAAATAATCAAATAACAACAGTTATTAATACAAATAAACGTAACAAAAATAAATGGAGTGAAAAAACACAACTCCAACAAACAAATACGAACGAAAGCAAAAGCTAACGAAACGTAAAAAAGCAAAGCAAAATATACGGTCGAATAAATAATACGACCGATAAAAAGCGAAAAAACTTCACGAAAAAACCGAACAGCGCAAAACACGTAGATACGCGCTCGGTGCGTGGAGTATAGCAAAATGGCCGAACAAAGGCCGAACAAAGGCCGGCCGATTAAGGCCTAAAAGCAGGATATATTAACTAAATAAACGTCTGCAAAGACTGTTACAGTTAACGATGGGTTAAAGCAATAAACCGATATATAAATAATCGGCTATAAGCTAGACTTAAGCTAAAAGAAAAGGAAGGCACTCAGCTGAATATAGCACGTCCGCCAGCTCCGGTAGCCATAAAGATAAGAAGAAGGGAAATAACTCTATGTTCATGACGTGAAGGCTCATGGTCGTAGGGAGGGCGGGATTTTTGAATCTTTTGTTTTTGGGATACAAAGATGGGTGTAGGTACCATATTTGCATACTAAAGTTATGGTAATTATTACTGAAATGAAAAAGTACTTTTATTTACTGCATACAGGGGAACATCTCCTGTGGTGTCATTACACTTCGTCGGGTTTGTTCTTCTTTCCATAAGATGAAAATATTAGTTGGGTTGTAATTTGAAGTAAAGGCTGATATGTTTTTTGATGTATTTTAAGATGAATTTAATAACACTGAATGAAAATGGAAAGTTTTCTGCAAAGTTTAAAAATACTTGGATGATTTTTTCCCTTGTACAATATTATGTGTCGCATTGTTAAGAGTGAATGAACTTTATTGCGTGTCATACTTCATTTGGACTGTTGATTTACATAATCTGACACAAAATCTTACATCTTTATTACAGTGAAGTGGTAAAAATATTTTCTACTGCATCCTGCTTGAATGCATCATTCCTATTAGAGTGAGTATTTCCTTTTTAAACAGTTACTGTAGCAATGTTGTTGGTGATGATTTTGTATACTCACAAACCTGAACACTATGTCTGTATTGATTTCTGTGAAGTAAAACTGTGGCAGAGTGATATATAAAGAGTATTTGTGAACAGGTCTTAACACTATTTTTAAATGTTTTCAGACAGGAACACTATGGCTGCAGCAGTAAAAATCCTGGGGTAGACATGACTTTGGTCAGGGAGTGTATGCACAAACTGGGAATGTCCAAAAATACAACTGTGATACAGAAGGTAAAACAAAATTCAATGACACTATGTTATGATGCAGTGGTTGACATTCTTTTTATACCCCACACTGAAGTTAGGGTTATACAGGTGGGCATTTTTGTTATAACCCACAATGGTGTGGACATTCTTTTTATACCCCACACTGAAGTTAGGGTTATACTGGTGGGCATTTTTGTTATAACCCATAATGGTGTGGACATTCTTTTTATACCCCACACTGAAGTTAGGGTTATACAGGTGGGCATTTTTGTTATAACCCACAATGGTGTGGACATTCTTTTTATACCCCACACTGAAGTTAGGGTTATACTGGTGGGCATTTTTGTTATAACCCACAATGGTGTGGACATTCTTTTTATACCCCACACTGAAGTTAGGGTTATACTGGTGGGCATTTTTGTTATAACCCACAATGGTGTTTACATTCTTTTTATATTCTACAATGAATGGGGTCAGATAGGTCAGATGTGTATGAACTAAGAGGCCTAGTGCCATGTTATTTGGCTTGAGGCATGTTGGAATCATATTTATCATTGAGCAAGTAGCAGATTGACAATACAGATCCATCATTGTTTTTTCAGCCCACCTTGTGCAAAGGACGCTTTATATCTTTATATCTTTATATCTTAATATCCATCATTGATTCATGATGATTGGATGAGGGAAACTTTGTTGTATAAAGGAAGGTCAAAGTGACTTGTGTTGTATAGAAGAGGGTTGTTTAATGTATCTTTTTATTTTCTCTGTAGATAACTCTAGCGATAACCAGATTGCTGTCTTCACTACCTCCGTCCCCACCTGATGTGGAAGCCTTGCGGCTCTACCTCATCCTGACTGAGTTTCACCTGTTTGATCTGCCAAAACACTATTTGACGCTTATTGCACCCTTTGGCAAGTGTATAATGAGCCTAGATAAGGCAGCATCTAAAGTATTAGGTATGTTTGTTCTCACACATATATCACCATGATTATCTTTATTGATAGTGAAATATAAGATATGTCTATTCTTCCTCTTATATCAATCCAAGTTTTGTATAAGTAAAGCTGAATCAAATGATTGACATGGAGAACAACATTATCAGGTGATAAACATGTGGTAAAACTTTATCAGATGATAAACATGTGGTAAAACTTTATCAGATGATAAACATGTGGTAAAACTTTATCAGATGATGAACATGTGGTAAAACTTTATCAGATGATAAACCTGTGGTAAAACTTTATCAGATGATAAACATGTGGTAAAACTTTATCAGATGATAAACATGTGGTAAAACTTTATCAGATGATGAACATGTGGTAAAACTTTATCAAATGATAAACCTGTGGTAAAACTTTATCAGATGATAAACATGTGGTAAAACTTTATCAGATGATAAACAAAACTTTATCAAATGCTAAACCTGTAAAACTTTATCAGATGATAAACATGTGGTAAAACTTTATCAGATGATAAACCTGTGGTAAAACTTTATCAAATGCTAAACCTGTGGTAAAACTTTATCAGATGATAAACATGTGGTAAAACTTTATCAGATGATGAACATGTGGTAAAACTTTATCAGATGATAAACATGTGCTAAAACTTTATCAAATGATAAACCTGTGGTAAAACTTTATCAGATGATAAACATGTGGTAAAACTTTATCAGATGATGAACATGTGGTAAAACTTTATCAGATGATAAACCTGTGGTAAAACTTTATCAGATGATAAACATGTGGTAAAACTTTATAAAATGATAAACCTGTGGTAAAACTTTATCAGATGATGAACATGTGGTAAAACTTTATCAGATGATAAACATGTGGTAACATGTTGGCATGTGGAAGGAAACTGGAGTACCTGGGAAATACCAATATTTGACCACTGCACCATATGACCACCCTTTGTGGTAAATATTTATCACATGATAAACCTGATAAACATGTTGGGATCCATTGATAAAGGATGAATAATTTTCTTTACAGATATTTGGTGGTCAAGATTAAAGAATTCATTTTTTAGTAAGATTGTGTATGTAAGTATAACTTTTCACACGCAAGTTATATTAAGACTATTAAAATGACGGTCTATTCAGATTACTATTCATCTGTTTTGCATTTGTCCATGAACTTTGTCTGAGATTTCTCTAGACAATACTTCATCTGGTGGTATGTGTCTGTCCATGAACTTTGTCTGAGATTTCTTTAGACAATACTTCATCTGGTGGTGTGTGTCTGTCCATGAACTTTGTCTGAGATTTCTCTAGACAATACTTCATCTGGTGGTGTGTGTCTGTCCATGAACTTTGTCTGAGTTTTCTTTAGACAATACTTCATCTGGTGGTGTGTGTCTGTCCATGAACTTTGTCTGAGATTTCTCTAGACAATACTTCATCTGGTGGTATGTGTCTGTCCATGAACTTTGTCTGAGATTTCTTTAGACAATACTTCATCTGGTGGTGTGTGTCTGTCCATGAACTTTGTCTGAGTTTTCTTTAGACAATACTTCATCTGGTGGTGTGTGTCTGTCCATGAACTTTGTCTGAGTTTTCTTTAGACAATACTTCATCTGGTGGTGTGTGTCTGTCCATGAACTTTGTCTGAGTTTTCTTTAGACAATACTTCATCTGGTGGTGTGTGTCTGTCCATGAACTTTGTCTGAGTTTTCTTTAGACAATACTTCATCTGGTGGTGTGTGTCTGTCCATGAACTTTGTCTGAGTTTTCTTTAGACAATACTTCATCTGGTGGTGTGTGTCTGTCCATGAACTTTGTCTGAGTTTTCTTTAGACAATACTTCATCTGGTGGTGTGTGTCTGTCCATGAACTTTGTCTGAGTTTTCTTTAGACAATACTTCATCTGGTGGTGTGTGTCTGTCCATGAACTTTGTCTGAGTTTTCTTTAGACAATACTTCATCTGGTGGTGTGTGTCTGTCCATGAACTTTGTCTGAGTTTTCTTTAGACAATACTTCATCTGGTGGTGTGTGTCTGTCCATGAACTTTGTCTGAGTTTTCTTTAGACAATACTTCATCTGGTGGTGTGTGTCTGTCCATGAACTTTGTCTGAGTTTTCTTTAGACAATACTTCATCTGGTGGTGTGTGTCTGTCCATGAACTTTGTCTGAGATTTCTCTAGACAATACTTCATCTGGTGGTGTGTGTCTGTCCATGAACTTTGTCTGAGTTTTCTTTAGACAATACTTCATCTGGTGGTGTGTGTCTGTCCATGAACTTTGTCTGAGTTTTCTTTAGACAATACTTCATCTGGTGGTGTGTGTCTGTCCATGAACTTTGTCTGAGTTTTCTTTAGACAATACTTCATCTGGTGGTGTGTGTCTGTCCATGAACTTTGTCTGAGTTTTCTTTAGACAATACTTCATCTGGTGGTGTGTGTCTGTCCATGAACTTTGTCTGAGTTTTCTTTAGACAATACTTCATCTGGTGGTGTGTGTCTGTCCATGAACTTTGTCTGAGTTTTCTTTAGACAATACTTCATCTGGTGGTGTGTGTCTGTCCATGAACTTTGTCTGAGTTTTCTTTAGACAATACTTCATCTGATGGTGTGTGTCTGTCCATGAACTTTGTCTGAGTTTTCTTTAGACAATACTTCATCTGGTGGTGTGTGTCTGTCCATGAACTTTGTCTGAGTTTTCTTTAGACAATACTTCATCTGGTGGTGTGTGTCTGTCCATGAACTTTGTCTGAGTTTTCTTTAGACAATACTTCATCTGGTGGTGTGTGTCTGTCCATGAACTTTGTCTGAGTTTTCTTTAGACAATACTTCATCTGATGGTATGTGTCTGTCCATGAACTTTGAGATTGCTCTAGACAGTACTCCATCTGGTGGTCTGCTGGTCATAGCTCTACTGGACATAATTCTACTGGTCATAGCTCTACTGGACATATCTTCTGGACATAGCTCTACTGGACATTGCCTTACTGGACATAGCTCTACTGGGCATTGCCTTACTGGACATAGCTCTACTGGACATAGCTCTACTGGACATTGCCTTACTGGACATAGCTCTACTTGTCCTAGCTCTACTGGACATAACTCTACTGGTCATAGCTCTACTGGACATATCTCTACTGGACATAGCTCTACTTGTCCTAGCACTACTGGACATATCTCTACTGGACATAACTCTACTGGTCATAGCTCTACTGGTCATAGCTCTACTGGACATATCTCTACTGGACATAACTCTACTGGACATAACTCTACTGGTCATATCTCTACTGGACATATCTCTACTGGACATAACTCTACTGGTCATAGCTCTACTTGTCCTAGCTCTACTGGACATAGCTCTACTTGTCCTAGCTCTACTGGACATAGCTCTACTGGACATAGCTCTACTGGACATAGCTCTACTTGTCCTAGCTCTACTGGATATAGCTCTACTGGACATAGCTCTACTTGTCCTAGCTCTACTGGACATAGCTCTACTTGTCCTAGCTCTACTGGACATAGCTCTACTGGACATAGCTCTACTTGTCCTAGCTCTACTGGACATAGCTCTGCTTGTCCTAGCTCTACTGGACATAACTCTACTGGTGGAAGATCTACTGGTAATTTCTGCACACAGATATTCATTTATATTTATTGATGTAGTTCGAAAAACCTTATTTAGCAAATACTGGTAGTGAACTTGTTTGGCTCGGGTGCCTTCAGATGCTCGAAAAATAACTGAGTACTGTCAACTCCAACAATGTTGGAAGTTTTACACAGGTGACATGTAGTTGGCACAATAATAACAGATAAAACAGCTGACCAGCAGCATCTTAGGTTATAGGAGTGTTGTCGTACTGGTGTACTGGTACGCTTCCCAGTTTTATTAGCCATCATCAGATGGTGGGCTATTCAAATTGCTCTACATCTGTGGTCCGTGGTCCGTGGTCCGTCCTGCCATCCGTCCGTCCGTCCGTAAAAACAATACTTGTTACCGCTATTTCTGGAAAAGTGCTGGATGGATCTTTCTTAAATTTCATATACAGGTTCCCCTTGGTCCCTAGTTGTGCATTGTACCTTTTTTGGACTGTTCTGAAATCAACATGGCTGCAAACTTGGATTTTGGAAGTAAAAGTTTGTTACCGCTATTTCTTGGAAATTACTGGATGGATCTTTCTCAAATTTCATATGCAGGTTCCCTTTTTGTCCCTAGTTGTGCATTATACCTTTTTGGACTGATCCGAATTCAAGATGGCCACTTGTCGGCCATCTTTTATTTTGAAAGTAAAAGTTTGTTACCACAATTTCTGAGAAAGTACTGGATGGATCTTTGTCAAATTTCATATGGAGCTTCCCCATGGTCCCTAGTTGTGCATTATACCTTTTTGGACTGATCCGAATTCAAGATGGCCACAGACGGCCATCTTGGATTTTGAAAGTAAAAGTTTGTTATCGCTATTTCTGGGAAAATACTTGATGGATCTTTCTCAAATTTCATATGCAGGTTCCCCTTGGTCCCTTATTGTGCATTTTACCTTTTTTGGACTGATCCGAAATCAAGATGGCTGACAGGCAGCCATATTGGATTTTGAGAGTAAAATCTTGTTACCTCTATTTCTCAGGAAGTACTGGATGGATCTTTCTGATATTTCATAGGTATTGGTTTCCCTTGGTCCCTAGTTGTGCATTGTACCTTTTTTGGACTGATTTGAAATCAAGGTGGCCCACAGGCAGCCATCTTGGATGTTGACAGTTATACAGTAGTTTGTTTCTGTGACAGAATCCTTTTCAAATTTCATATTTAGCTTCCTCTTGGTACCTAGTTAAGCATTGTCCCATATTTAAAATGATCTGAAAAACAAAATGGCCTATAGCTCTCCATCTTGGATTTGAATAGCGAGTGATTGTTTTATGGCTATTTCTTACCTACATGATCAGTCATTCTCAAGTATCAGATTTTCTAAATTAAGTAAACATTGATAAATACACTGTTTAGGGTATGTATACTAAACCATGCAAGGAATTGAGTTAATGGCATATGGGTTGACACATGAGAAGTAACAGAAGAATTGATTTATTAAAAATGTCAATAATTCCTAATATTTAAGTGTTGGTGTTACAAAAACATTAATGTAATAAAATAAACTTTAAAATTTAAAAAACAAAAAAAAACAAACAAAAAAATAGTTTTAAAAAAACTTTTAACATTTATTATACTTGTTTTGCTCTTGTACATGTGCATCATTTCATCATCATCATCATCATCATCATCATCATCATCATCATCATCATCATCATCATCATCATCCATTTTGAAGTATACAACTTAATAAAGGGTGTTCATTTTATCACTATATCCCTATAAAAATATCTTGTGCCATCATTGAGTACATTCAATGAAGACCAATTCATGAACATTTACAACACCTGCAACAAAAAAAAAAAAAAAACAAATCTTCAAGAACTGAAAACAGATCCTGAAATGGTGGGCGCCAAGATCCCACTGGGATCTCTTGTTTATTTTCATCCCGCTGATTGTTTTGTCATCATATAAGCCACACCAGTGTATAAGCCACACCAGTGTATAAGTCACAAGCCAGACTCACCAGGAAAATAAGTGCAGCTTATAATCCAGAAAATACGGTACATGTTGTGTATATTTATAACCTTCTTTCCTTTTGTAGATTTACAAGCAAGTTGTGATTTATGTACTCCAGCTCAACACTACTACTTCAGAAAATGAGGTAATTAAATGTAGGAATCTGTTACATATATAGTGAAATGTCATATGTTCTGATTAGTGAAAAAGATGATTGTAACACACTGTGTTATTTAGCTGGTGAAGTGGAATAGATGGTTGCTATACACAGTGTTATTTAGCTGACAAAGTGGAGCAGATAAATATATAGGGTAACATATCACTAAAGCCTGAAGGTTAGACATGTTTGAACAGCTGTAGATATATGTAGACTTGTTACTAGGGCTATTTGCTTGATTAATATAGGGTAACATATCACTAAAGCTTGGAGGTTAGACATGTTTGAACAGCTGTAGATATATGTAGACTTGTTACTAGGGCTATTTGCTTGATTAATATAGGGTAACATATCACTAAAGCCTGGAGGTTAGACATGTTTGAACAGCTGTAGATATATGTAGACTTGTTACTAGGGCTATTTGCTTGATTAATATAGGGTAACATATCACTAAAGCCTGGAGGTTAGACATGTTTGAACAGCTGTAGATATATGTAGACTTGTTACTAGGGCTATTTGCTTGATTAATATAGGGTAACATATCACTAAAGCCTGGAGGTTAGACATGTTTGAACAGCTGTAGATATATGTAGACTTGTTACTAGGGCTATTTGCTTGATTAATATAGGGTAACATATCACTAAAGCCTGGAGGTTAGACATGTTTGAACAGCTGTAGATATATGTAGACTTGTTACTAGGGCTATTTGCTTGATTAATATAGGGTAACATATCACTAAAGCCTGGAGGTTAGACATGTTTGAACAGCTGTAGATATATGTAGACTTGTTACTAGGGCTATTTGCTTGATTAATATAGGGTAACATATCACTAAAGCCTGGAGGTTAGACATGTTTGAACAGCTGTAGATATATGTAGACTTGTTACTAGGGCTATTTGCTTGATTAATATAGGGTAACATATCACTAAAGCCTGGAGGTTAGACATGTTTGAACAGCTGTAGATATATGTAGACTTGTTACTAGGGCTATTTGCTTGATTAATATAGGGTAACATATCACTTAAGCCTGGAGGTTAGACATGTTTGAACAGCTGTAGATATATGTAGACTTGTTACTAGGGCTATTTGCTTGATTAATATAGGGTAACATATCACTAAAGCCTGGAGGTTAGACATGTTTGAACACTAAAGCCTGGAGGTTAGACAGCTGTAGATATATGTAGACTTGTTACTAGGGCTATTTGCTTGATTAATATAGGGTAACATATCACTAAAGCCTGGAGGTTAGACATGTTTGAACAGCTGTAGATATATGTAGACTTGTTACTAGGGCTATTTGCTTGATTAATATAGGGTAACATATCACTAAAGCTTGGAGGTTAGACATGTTTGAACAGCTGTAGATATATGTAGACTTGTTACTAGGGCTATTTGCTTGATTAATATAGGGTAACATATCACTAAAGCCTGGAGGTTAGACATGTTTGAACAGCTGTAGATATATGTAGACTTGTTACTAGGGCTATTTGCTTGATTAATATAGGGTAACATATCACTAAAGCCTGGAGGTTAGACATGTTTGACAGAGCCTTTATATTGATAAAGATTATGATGTTAGTCATGTCCTGTATTATAGATGAGTGTTCAAGTGCTGAAGGTATCATTGGAGGTGCTGAAGAAGCTGAATGCTGTGAATGAGCAGCACGGTCAGATCATCCCGTACCATCAGTTCTATGTGTCAGAGCTTCGTGAACGTGTTGATATTGAGAGGGACTATCTCAGTTGGTTGTATCAGCCCAGACTAAGAATGCCCCCCGTGGTTTGTATTTGGTTTTGGGGTGGAACTGTCTCTGCTATAAAGAAATGCTGAGATGCACAATGACATTTTCGGTCAAAGTTTTTCTTTATATATTTCAGAACATTTTGTAGATTTGATATCAGATATCAATTTGAAATTGACAGATGAAATTCATGTGCATAGTTTTTAAAAAGACATGGTTAATAGATTTGCCATGAAACAGTTCTACAAGTGATATGGTTAACTGTGACTTTGATTTGTCCAGAAACAGTTCTACAAGTGATATGGTTAACTGTGACTTTGATTTGTCCAGAAACAGTTCTACAAGTGATATGGTTAACTGTGACTTTGATTTGTCCAGAAACAGTTCTACAAGTGATATGGTTAACTGTGACTTTGATTTGTCTAGAAACAGTTCTACAAGTGATATGGTTAACTGTGACTTTGATTTGTCCAGAAACAGTTCTACAAGTGATATGGTTAACTGTGACTTTGATTTGTCCAGAAACAGTTCTACAAGTGATATGGTTAACTGTGACTTTGATTTGTCCAGAAACAGTTCTACAAGTGATATGGTTAACTGTGACTTTGATTTGTCATGTTGTAGCCCATCCTGTCTTTCTGTGACTACCCATTTGTGTTCGATGGTGCTGCCAAAAGCTTGTTGATGCAGACGGATGCCAATATGCAAATGAGGGTAAGTATTAAATAGCTGTTGTTTCTAATTTATTGTCCTGCTGGATCCTTCAGAGCTTCCATCAGAGATGGATGTCATGGGATATTTGTTATCAAAGAAGGATGATATTTAAATGTATCTGAGCCTACCTCAGTACTACTGTTAATTACATTGTCTGTATGACAATTCACCATTACGGAGTGTGGACATTATAAAAGTGTTAGGTCTATTAGAACGGGTGTAGATGATAAAGAAGTATATATGACATTCCTATTTGGGGACTTGGTTTTGTGTCGTGTTGCCATCTCTTCTTGGATCTATCTCCTACGCTATATGTGACTGGGAACTTCATAGTTGGGTTTTGGGTTCACCTTGGTGAGGTAGCGTGACATGTATCAAAGAAGATCACTCTGACCTACATATTGACCTTTAACATACATCAGAGAAAAGCATGTCCAGTCTCTATCTTTGGCTCGGTCTCCTACACTAGAAGCCACTGGAACTTCATAGTTGGGTTTTGGGTTCACCTTGGTGAGGTAGCGTGACATGTATCAAAGAAGATCACTCTGACCTACATATTGACCTTTGACATACATCAGAGAAAAGCATGTCCAGTCTCTATCTTTGGCTCGGTCTCCTACACTAGAAGTCACTGGAACTTCATAGTTGGGTTTTGGATTCACCTTGGTGAGGTAACGTGACATGTATCAAAGAAGATCACTCTGACCTACATATTGACCTTGGACTTGCATCCAAAAAAAAAGGTCATGGCTCTTATCTTCTACACTACATTACTAGTTACCAGAACTTCTTACTTATTACATCGTCTTTTACAATGCACAGACTGCTTATGAAGAGGTTCATCGTCGTAACATCCAGAGCATCCTGTTACCAATGACAATAGATCCAGTAAGTCCTTGTCTAGTGCTCTATGTCTCCCGTACCAATATCGTGGGGGATACCATTGCTCAAATTATGATGCAAGGAGCTGCAGATTTCAAGAAGCCACTGAAGGTAAAAAGTTTTATTATAATGAAGGAGTACATAAAATGCCAATATCTGCGTTGTACCTTCACTTAAAATGTACCTGTATCTATATTGTACCATTTCTGATAAAGTAACAATATTCCTGATAAAGAACAAATATTTATGCTTAACACCAAGTCGAGTTCCTATCGCATCAATACAATTGTTTTTGATTATTATATGGAGAAGTGTGTACCTTACAGGTCATGTTTGCTGGTGAAGAAGCCATTGATGCTGGTGGCCTGAGAAAGGTAACGCTGTATTACCAGAACTGTTATGTGCTTGTTCAGCTAACTTTCTGCTTGCTCTTTTTTTGCAGGTGATATTTGTAGGGGAAGAGGCAGTAGATGAGGGTGGTGTCAAGAAGGTGGGCCTCTAGTGTTTTACACTGTAGATCTTCTAAAAGCATTTGTGGATATTCTGATCAGAGTATGCTGTAGTTCAATAGAAAGTACAGTACTCTTTAGGATACCATATTGTGTTGTCATATGAAGTTCATCGTTAAACGATTTCAAATGATTTTTGGAAATATTTATTGATATGATTATAAGAAAACATCCTGGGAAAGATTTGCTTACCCATCATATATATATCATGTACTGCTGTCCAAACAGAAAGAGTCCATGTAGTATCCACAACTGTGTTGGGGTCTCTGCTGTTGTAGAGCCAGTTCTCTTTGTGAATTCTTATTTAGTTATGTTAAAACCTAGACATTTTCTGTCATTGCTATATATTTTACCAAAAAATGGAACATGTATGTTTTCTGTCAAACCTGATTCAGGTTTGTAGTTTTCTAGCAGAGTTGATCGGGCTTTACACAAATATCAAGTTTGAGAGTGTTTCTGATTAGTTCAGGGTACAGGGTACCCGAGTCAATGTTACTACTCACAGAAATCATCAGCCCATTTAGTGCTCAGTTTTAAGCATCTGTACATCTTGACAGATTTTTATCAAACTTCACTGGAATGATTCCTTTTTGCAGAATTTTTATAGAATTTGTTCTTACTTCTATTTCATAACATTTTTTGATAAAGTTCACATTGTGAAAGTGAGGAAAGATTCAAGGCCATATGAACAACTTATCAAACTGATCCAGTTTAACATAATGAGTTATTGTGACAATCTGCCGTCATCAACATCCACATGGTAACTTAGTCAAACTTCTATGAATTGAACTGTGATGATTCCAATTTTTCCATGTATTGAATATTTTGTTTGGACTTGAATTTTATTCCTATTACCACTAACTAATCACTTCTTTATAAATCCAAATTTTGTAAATTGAACTTTTTGATGTATCAAAGTTATCACAGTCATTGGCAAAACATTAACCTGTATGGTACTGTACAGGTTTTTTTTCCCCGTGGCAAAATTTCACCCATTACAGCAAAGAGTGTACTTGACAGTGGGATAACAATAGATTGGTTCTTCATGACGTGGTTGATTAACGACTGGACACAGATAAAAGTTTAATTGCTTACTAACAAATCAAAGATAATGGGGCGATGTGTGATGGTTACTGCCGCCACTGCGATAATAGCATATAGCTTGGTCAAATTTACAGAGTTGTGAAAACAAAGGAAATCCTAAACATAATGATTTCACTCACTCCCAAAACATTTCTTTTTATTTTCAAGAATATTAGCATGAGAAACAGATTTTTCTGTCAATCATACATTTACTTATTGATTCAGACTAGCCATCAGCATACACCCTTGTAATTTTTACGACATTAGATGTGTGATGTTAGTGCTGTCGTTTCTGGACATCTACTGTGCTCAGGAATATGAAAATGTTGATATAACCCATCATGAAAGATTTGAAACACATTTGAAGCTTCTGATTGGTTGAAATTGGTTGCCATAGTGACCAAATAAAGACCTCTTGGAGGAATCTTGTTCTGACAACCCCTCTTAAACTATTGTTGATAGGGGGTGAGGGTGGGGTTGGGGGGTATTAGTTGGCCATCCTGGCGACAGTTCTAGTTCACATGTAGGTTCCTCTTGGTCTCAAATCTTGTTCTTTGACTTAGGAACTGATCAGAAAAAGGTAATGGCTGACAGGCAGCCATCTTCGATTTTGACAGAGAAAGAACTGGATGGATCTTCCTCAGATTTCTTATGCTGCTTCTCCTTGGTCCCTAGCTTTGCTCATTTGATTTTGGAAATGATCAGGAAAACAAAATGGTCGACAGGCAGTCATCTTAGATTTAGTCTGGATTTTAAGAAATAAAGACCAAATGATGCCGTTATCCTCTTGTGATCTATTGTTTTCCAATAACAGACAGGATTTAATATTCCAACATTTAGAAAAATTTTCAATTCTGTAAATCTGAGCTGTGGGAGAAGGCATGTTTTCTTCCATAAATGTTGGCCAGGAGTACAGAAAACCCTGCCATGCACTAGTAATGGCTTTAAGTATAGTCTCAGGCACTTCCCTCTCAATCCTGCATGAAACTGAATATTGCATTTATGAAGAACAACTGTTATTAATCTTTGTTTCATCCAGAAGATATCAGTTTAGTTTTGACCAACAATAGATATTTCCTTAACGATGAAAGTTTTTTTTGTCCAGAAATATTACTGAATCTTGGTATATTTGTTACTTACCTAGTTTTTAATTTAAAACCTATTTCTATTCAATGTAAATTTATTATTGTAATGCGACACCTTGTCATTGCTCTGACCCTAACATTTCTCTGTTGGTTGTAGTATTAACTTGTATACCACATATACTGATCAACCTTTATCTTGTTTTATGATATACATATATGTATCACAAGAATTTAATTTAATATCATTGTATCTTGCTGTATTATGCCATACTAGTCATTTATCAATCAAAATTTTTTTAAAAGCATTGTAACTTGTATACACTGTATTTTAATCAGCAAAATAAGAAATGATATTTAACAACCCAGAATTCTTCCTAACTACATTATCTCATTAACACATTACACATATGATTACCATCTGACTTTCAGTATGTGTGAAACGGTCACCTACAGAATCAAGAATAACTTGATCATATAATGATATCCTTTCCAGCCTGTGTTAAACAGTTACATAACTCTGACCTGTTGTATTCTCACTGATAACTTTAATAAATAACATCTACCAAATTATGAACAAAGTAATGTACAGTTTTTTGCAGTTAAAGTGAATATATCAAATATTCCTGACTCTCAACTTTACATAAGTAAATTTGATTTTTATCTGAATTTCTGCTTACCAGTGACTGAGAATTTAAATGATTTGAACATAATTTTATCAAATATTTACATTTATTAATTTGAATATAAGTTTTTTTCCCCAAATGTACTTAGAGGAATATAATTCTCTATAAAGGGTACATTACAGATAATGACGACGGAATATAATTCTCTATAAAGGGTACATTACAGATAATGACGACGGAATATAATTCTCTATAAAGGGTACATTACGGATAATGACGACGGAATATAATTCTCTATAAAGGGTACATTACAGATAATGACGACGGAATATAATTCTCTATAAAGGGTACATTACAGATAATGACGACGGAATATAATTCTCTCTAAAGGGTACATTACAGATAATGACGACGGAATATAATTCTCTATAAAGGGTACATTACAGATAATGACGACGGAATATAATTCTCTATAAAGGGTACATTACAGATAATGACGACGGATATAATTCTCTCTAAAGGGTACATTACAGATAATGACGACGAAATATAATTCTCTATAAAGGGTACATTACAGATAATGACGACGGAATATAATTCTCTATAAAGGGTACATTACAGATAATGACGACGAAATATAATTCTCTATAAAGGGTACATTACAGATAATGACTCTATAAAGGGTACATTACAGATAATGACGACAGAATATAATTCTCTATAAAGGGTACATTACAGATAATGACGACCCTGTATGTGTATCCACATGTAAAACCAATATTCTGTAATATTTCAGGAATTTTTCATGTTGTTGCTGAGGGAAGTCCTAGACCCCAAGTATGGCATGTTCAAGTATTATGAGGAGACTCGAGTATACTGGTTCAATCCTATGGTGAGTCACATGTTCAAGTATTATGAGGAGACTCGAGTATACTGGTTCAATCCTATTGTGAGTCACATGTTCAAGTATTATGAGGAGACTCGAGTATACTGGTTCAATCCTATGGTGAGTCACATGTTAGTTTTTTAAACATGTATTTTCTTGTTTTGCTTTCTGTGATTCTATTGTTCCCATGGTTCTGTTGACAGACCTTTGAGGGGACTGAAATGTTTCACATGATTGGATGTTTGTGTGGCCTTGCTATCTACAACTCGACCATCATACAGCTTGACTTTCCACTGGCCCTCTACAAAAAACTCCTCAAAAGGTATGTGCTGTGGTAATAGAATACTAGTACACGTTACTATGGGGATGTGGTATTCTGTGGTAACTTACTGGTCACATGATGTTCTGTTGGAGCAGATTATGTTGGTCACATGATATGTAGTAACATTACTGTTGGTCACATGATATTTTGTGGTAACATAAGCACTAATCATGTGATATTCTGTGGTAACATAACTATTGGTCACATGATATTTTGTTGTAACATTACCATTATTGTGGTTGATATAGGGAAGTCCTGTTGAGTTTGAATTGAGCAGTAACTTGTATTGTTGATATTTCAGGCCAGTAAACATTGAGGACTTGAGGGATATGATGCCTACAGTTAGCAGGTAATATACTAACATCTTACAACAGAGATTTCTGTTGGAGTATTCATATCTTTATTGTAAGGTTTATGAGCTCAAGAGATTCTAAATTCTATTTTTGATGTCTATGCAAATTGCATGAAATTCGATTGTTGCAATATGTTATTGTAAAGCTGTCAATGATTCAAATTTTCGTGGTTTAAATGAAAGAGCAAAGCATACAGAATGTATTTTACGTGACAGTAATGCAACAGATATTGGTCTTCTCGAAAGCTTATTTCAATGGTAGCTCTTCTATTTTAGCCATAATAAGAAATAAACAAAATTAAAAGCCCTTTGAAATACCAGTAAATAACAGAGTAATTTTCATGTGATTTATCACATAATGTAAGGATTATTGATGCAGGGGTATGGAGGATCTACTGGATTCTGAAGACGAGGATATTGAAAACACATTTTGTTTGACATTTGAGGTAAGTTTGACAGAATAATTAAAATGGTTGTAATTACATGTTTTTTCACAAAGATGTTACTATATCTTTTAAAACAAACATGAGAGCAACAAAGGTTTATGGATAAGGTGAACCAGAGTTAAGGCTAGTTGAAATGGTAATTCTGTCAAAAACTGAATGATGCCAATAAGGCTATTTTTAGCCACCATCATCAGATGAGGGGCTGTTCACGTCGCCCTGCGTCAGTGGTCCATTTGTCTATCATTTGTCTTCTGTTGTCCATCCGTCCCTCAATCATCAGTACATAATTATGGTAACGACTCTTTCTTAAGAAGTATTGGATGGATCTTTCTCAAAATTTATTTTGTAGCTATGTCATGATCCCTAGTGGTGCCCTTCTGGTTTTGGGACTGGTTAGAAACAGTTTTTTTCCATGTGTCCATCTTCAGTTTTGACATTGATTGTTTTCCATGACCGTTTCTTGAGAAGCCCTGAATTAATCTTTCTTAAATTTCATATGTAGGTTCCCCTTTGGTACGTAGTTGTGCATTTTTGGTTTTGGAATGATCTGAAATAGAAAATGGCAGACAGGTAGTCATCTTGGATTTTAACATTGAGGGTCTGTTATCGTCATTAGTTGAGAAGAGCTGGATGGATCTTTCTCAAATTTTATATATAGGGTTTGCATTTCTCTTTAGTTGTGCCCTTTTAATATTGGGACAGAAAAGCAAAATGGATGATTAGTGGCCATCTTGGATTCGACTGTTAAAGATTATTATTACTATTTCTTCAGAAAAATGAAATGATTGAAAGAGGACTCTCTGTTTTAACATTAAAAAATTACTAATGTACAGTAGTTTAATTTTGCTGAGATAATATCTTGTAGTTGTCCTTGTTTTAGTTACTAGATTTTAGGATATCAATGAACTGGTGTCCAGATGTACAGACATATCATTCTAGTTACTAGATTTTATGATATCAATGAACTGGTGTCCAGATGTACAGACATATCATTCTAGTTACTAGATTTTATGATATCAATAAAGTGGTGTCCAGATGTACAGACATATCATTCTAGTTACTAGATTTTATGATATCAATAAAGTGGTGTCCAGATGTACAGACATATCATTCTAGTTACTAGATTTTATGATATCAATAAAGTGGTGTCCAGATGTACAGACATATCATTCTAGTTACTAGATTTTATGATATCAATAAAGTGGTGTCCAGATGTACAGACATATCATTCTAGTTACTAGATTTTATGATATCAATAAAGTGGTGTCCAGATGTACAGACATATCATTCTAGTTACTAGATTTTATGATATCAATGAACTGGTGTCCATATGTACAGACATATCATTCTATGTTATCTTGAAATTATAGGGACTGTGGAAAATATTTCAGCTTATCAAAATTTTGACACAAACGAAGTGTATAAATGAAGTTGATGATATCAGTTTCGTGACGTTGAGTATCATCAGTTTTATGACACAAACGACATATCATTCTAGTTTATTTTATGATATGACCGTTGAACGAAGAAGGGCTACGATAGCACCCAAACAGTGTAGTTTAATCTGTGATTTGAAATGGCAATAAAGAAACAATAGATTTATTTTTACTTTCTCCTTTTATTGTATATACATCCGAACAACAAAACGTGTAATAACAACTCCAATCAAATACATTTGTACTCGTGTCATTCTGTTCCACACACATGTACAATAACCTTACTGTCTAAGCACATCTACATTATATATTTTACGGAATGACAATAAAACGAAATAAAAATTTGCTTTTTATACCCTACGAGAAATGATGTATGAAGCTGCAGATCATATCAATATGACTATATTATGAATAAATGAACATATGAAAACGCGGCACTAGAAATTGTTTACCTGTTACAGAAAACATTGTATAGACTTAACAAACCACACACAGATATAGACTTTATCAATGAAAACTACTTTCAGCACTTCATTGTCCAAACGCTAAATCTGACAAAGTGCCTGATAACAGTCCATTAGTAAACAAGCTCAAGATAAGTTTCTCTTGGAAATGTGAGGATAGATTTCGTCAAAAAGTTTCCTTTTTATCCTTCCTGAACTTGCACGCAACCAAGCTAAATGTTTTCATGTTTTGTGTGAACACACTACTTTTTTAAGATACAGGTAAGTCACTGCCACAGGATGGTGACAATAATTAAGAAGCCAACATTTAATTGGATAATTAAACTGGTAATTATTAGCCAGAGTCCAAGTGTTGTGTGTACCATGGACTGATATGCTGTAATTAGCCATGATTTATGCACTGGTGACTTTTTACTCTGTGTATGTATTGACCAATTTTGTCAGAAGACATGCCGATGTTTTGACAAAAGTTGATTTTGAATGACTTTTCCCTTGCTTTACAATTGGAGGGACTGAAAATCGCTTTGACTCTACTGAAATTTCACTTCAATGAAATTTGAGTCTTCTGAACTTTACAAAGATATAGGAGAAAAAAAAAATTGGGACTTGAAAATGATTTCAACTCAAACAGAATTTCAATTCAAGCAATTTTCAACCGGTAATTGATCTGTGTAATTAAATGTCTTAAATGATTATAACAGATAACAATGGAGAATTTTGGGGAAATACAAAGCAGGAATCTGGTGCCTGGAGGATCCCACAAAGCTGTCACTAAGGAAAACAGGTAAGGTCATCACCAAGGATAACAGGTAAGGTCGTCACCAAGGATAACAGGTAAGGTCATCACCAAGGATAACAGGTAAGGTCATCACCAAGGATAACAGGTAAGGTCATCACTAAGGTTATCAGGAGAGGTTGCTGCTAAGGATAACAGGAAAGGTCATCACCAAGGATAACAATCAAGCAATGAACTGTTACAAATTGCTTTTTGCTTTTACCTAAGTTGAATAAGTTTAACATATATGTAAATTAAATGTTTATGAAAAACTTTGATCTAGATACTACACTAGGTTGCAGTAGAAATTCAATGTCAACATGATCTAGATACTACTCTGAGATACACAAGGTACCTGAGGTGTTTACAGTGTTGTTTAAATGTTAGTGTTTGTTCTGATGAGAAAAAGAAATGTGATTTGAATTAGATAGTACATTTATATGTTTTATTGTTGTCTTTTAATTTACAGACAGGAGTATGTTGATGCTTACATTGACTTCATTTTCAACAAATCAGTAGATCAACAGTTTCAAGCCTTTTCGAATGGTTTCCATAAGGTGTGCGGTGGTAAGGTGCTGGTAAGTATGTTTGTCTGCCAAAGCAACTAGGATAGTAAAACTATCCTGAGCTTCTTAGATCAATGGGGCCTAATGTTATTTAATGATGATGCACCAATGGGCAAGTTTACTCAGGTTTGAGTTTTTCTCTTCTGAGATAGGAAAGTGTGTCGGCTTCATGTTAGTGTTTAAAAAGTGACATTTGAGAGACCTATTCTATCACTTAGCATGCCTTTTGATTTTCTCAAATGCATTGGAGTTGGGGAGTAACACTTAATCATTACTTTTCAAACTCTTAAAGCTCAAAGTTGTTCAACAAGATATATAAGGAAGAACATCTCAGCATGTGGTTTCACTAATGATTTTAGCCTAAATGGCCAATTAACTGTTAATTACCAAACCAACATTAAAGCTTCATTGAGCTAAATATCTCTAGATATTTTGTCATAACCAAACCTGGAATATACCTATATCTATGCATGGCTATCCAAACACACACTGCCAGCTTACTGTTATCTGGACTTGGCTAACTGATTAAACATGTTATAGTTAGTTAATCTCTACCTACAGGCAGATTTGGTAATTTGGGGAAACTTTACTTCTTTTATGTTTTTGGAGTGAAAACATTCAATTTTTAAGAAATTTAGCAGTAAAATCTATCAAAATTTGGTTTGTTAATTTTAAAAACAATAAATATTAATACAACATGTTTGATTAATCATGATATGTAAGGAAATAAGAGACATGGGAGATAAATAATTATGTTGTCCTGATGATATAGAGAAACAGTGGACAAATTAGATATTTAATTATGTTCTTCTTTGTGTATTTAAACTGTATGTAAACCAGCCGCCTTTATGTAAGAATAACAAATTAAATGTAAAATATATTTCCTTTAATCTAAGGAACTGTTCCATCCCCAAGAACTTCAGGCCATGGTAGTAGGCAATGAGAACTATGACTTCCATGAGCTGGAGAAGGTAAATTGTTATCAATATTTCTAAGAATATACTGGGAAATCTATTTTTAAGAATGTTTGTATCAAGTTATCTATTTCCAAGAGTGTACTAGGGGATCTATTTCTAAGGGTGTACTAGGGGATCTATTTCTAAGAGTGTACTAGGGGATCTATTTCTAAGAGTGTACTAGGGGATCTATTTCTAAGAATGTACCAGGGGATCTATTTCTAAGAGTGTACCAGGGGATCTATTTCTAAGAGTATACTAGGGGATCTATTTCTAAGAGTGTACCAGGGGATCTATTTTAAGAGTGTACTAGGGGATCTATTTCTAAGAGTGTACCAGGGGATCTGTTTTAAGAATGTACCAGGGGATCTATTTTAAGAGTGTACTAGGGGATCTATTTTAAGAGTGTACTAGGGGATCTATTTTAAGGATGTACCAGGGGATCTATTTTAAGAGTGTACTAGGGGATCTATTTTAAGAGTGTACCAGGGGATCTATTTTAAGGATGTACCAGGGGATCTATTTCTAAGAGTGTACCAGGAGATCTATTTTAAGGATGTACCAGGGGATCTATTTTAAGAGTGTACTAGGGGATCTATTTCTAAGAGTGTACTAGGGGATCTATTTCTAAGAGTGTACTAGGGGATCTATTTTAAGAGTGTACTAGGGGATCTTTTTCTAAGAGTGTACCAGGGGATCTATTTCTAAGAGTGTACTAGGGGATCTATTTTAAGAGTGTACTAGGGGATCTATTTTAAGAGTGTACTAGGGGATCTATTTCTAAGAGTGTACCAAAGGGATCTATTTTAAGAATGTACCAGGGGATTTATTTCAGCTTTCAAATACAGGCTCTTCTTGGTGATATGATTAAAAATGTTCAGCATTATTTAGATAATTAATCCTATTTTTGGTAGAGGTCCTCGTGATCCTCAGTTCTTCAAATGAATCAAGCTAGATTTTATATACTGTACTGGCTTGTCGTACTAGTATTACCGCTACAGCTGCACAGACCATATCTGAACCAACAAATTTTAAAACTCTTTATTCCCTAAAGATCAACCCACAACCACTGGATACTTCTTATCTTTTTCATAATGAGGTGAAATCTCGGATTAATACTCTGGATTTTGTATTAAATCTGCATGTTCTTTTCTCGGCAGAATACAGATTACAAAGGTGACTACCACCGGTATCACCCGACCATTAAACTTTTCTGGGAGGTGTTTCACGACCTTTCTCTCGAGCTTAAGAAGAAGTTTTTATGTAAGTAGTGTATACTGAAGAGATGTTAAAGGGAATATCTGTTGTTGTTTCCCCGCTATGACTCATTTGATTCACAATAGAATTTATAAGAAATTAGTGACACCATTCATCTTGTAAAGACAACACACCATTAACTTGTTGATTTGAAAACTTTATATGATATAGAGTATAAGAAGAATGTTTATCTATTATTACAATTCCAAATCTATTAAGAAATGTGGTGAATATTTATTGATTATGTTCAACAATGTAATGAGTTTTTTTAAATTTAAATGCAACATGATATTTTTTCAGTGTACCTGACAGGCAGTGACAGAATTCCAATTCTTGGCATGAAATCAATTAAAATGGTGATCCAGCCCATGTTGGGGGCAGAGAACCACCTTCCTGTGGCACACACATGCTTCAATGTGCTTGATCTTCCCACTTACAATTCAAAGGAGGTGATGTTACATAAACTCCAACAGGCCATAGAACAAACAGAGGGATTTGGCCTAGTCTAGGTTCACCTGTAGGATCTGAAATCTTCATGTGAATCCTTTGAATATAATGTAGGATCTGAAATCTTCATGTGAATCCTCGAAATAAAATGGAGGATCTAAAATCTTTTTACAGAACTAGTATGAAGCAAAGATTTTGGTGCTGACTACATTACTATGAAAAAGGAAGCAATCGTGAATTTATAATGTGAAGATACTTATTTACAGAAATGATGTGTTAGCATGTGAACAGAGCATAATGATGACTGAATTATAACTAGTTCAGGTGTGATGGATACTGAATAGAAACTCTGTGTTGTCTCATTAAACGTCATCATATAAATGGTCTGATGGCTAGAAAAGAAAAAGTGCTGTATGGGACATTTTATGTATGTTAAGTTATTTTTCATCTATTTGTCAAGATGGTAAGACCAAAATACTGTCACTGAGTCGAGCTGTCTGTATAACATGTGAAGAATTGTCACTGATTCCTTGTCACTGAGACGAGCTGTCTGTATAATATGTGAAGAATTATCACTGATTCCTTATCACTGAGTCGAGCTGTCTGTATAACATGTGAAGAATTATCACTGATTCCTTATCACTGAGTCGAGCTGTCTGTATAACATGTGAAGAATTATCACTGATTCCTTGTCACTGAGTCGAGCTGTCTGTATAACCTGAAGAATTATCACTGATTCCTTGTCACTGAGTCGAGCTGTCTGTATAACATGTGAAGAATTATCACTGATTCCTTGTCACTGAGTCGAGCTGTCTGTATAACCTGAAGAATTATCACTGATTCCTTGTCACTGAGTCGAGCTGTCTGTATAACATGTAAAGAATAACTGTTTGCACTGGAGAAGGTCACTGATCAATGCAGATCAAGGATTTACTACGGATTAAGATTATATTCCCATTTAAGGTCATATCTACAGGTCAAGGTCATTGCTACATATCAATATCATAGCTAGAGATGAAGGTCATAGCTACAGATGGAGGTCATGGCCACAGACCAATACAACAGTAACAGATCAATATATTACTGATATAAACATCACACAGCTCATAGGGCTACTCATATTATCTCTGACACAAAGTCCGGACTAGAGCTTACTGTTGGACTATCACAATGTATTTGTATCAATTCTGCAGAACAGCAATAGATATGGATGTGATTAGCAACATAAATGGACTTATTTACAGATAAAAAAATTATTATGTTTCAGTTTGCAAACATTTTGATTTATTGGTTTTCAAGGAACTATTTTTTAAAGCTTTTTCAGTGTAGTTGTAGGGAGATATTACAATGGACTCAGTGTCGAGGGAAGTTTTACAGTCAGTATCTAGGATACAGGGATTACCTAGTATACTACTGATTATAACGAATAGTGGTGTAAACAGAATGTAGGATGTGGATGCTGATTGTGACCTTCACTTCATTGTTTGATGACATAGCTCATACCCAAAACATTTAATACATTTACACAGTCTATATATGGAAAGTTCCCTGAGCAGAGAGCACAATTGCTGATGGTATCTTCTTGTTTACCAGTATTTGGTTTCTTGGGATTTTTTTGACAAACATCTTTGACACTAAGTGGGTGTTTTATCATTAGATGTAGTTAAGGTACCAATTAGATTTTACGATTTTTATTGTTATATTTTGATATTATCATTCATTTTGATAAAATAGTGATGTATGTCTTTGGCGTCAGATTGGGATGGGTATATATTGTTCTGCCTTGCAGTGCCGTTCTCTGTTTGATTACTTTGTTTATTAATAACTTCAGTTTTGCCTGGTTTATTTACACATCTGTTTACATCATTACTCATTATTTGCCAAACAACTCTGGATCAAATTAAACGTTTCTTTTACTGAAGTTAGATGTACACTACCTTCAACTTATCTTTTGGACGTCGTCAAAGCATATAATCAGTTGATGTGAAAATTGAAACTATTGCAATTTCTTAGAAATATTTAATGTGTTAGCTACTGGGAATTGCTTCAAAAAATCTTTTCTTTCTTGAGGTAACAGGGAGGGTCAAGGGAGTGACTTTTTTTGAAATGATCAAAAACGGTTTCAATAATTATGATTGTGCTATGAGATTATAAAGATAATAGTGGTTACATTACTCCAGAAATAATCTTCTGCAGTGAAGAAATTCTTTCAAATCATTAAAATTCTTGAAACACGTATCATGTTGCAAAAATGTCACATTTGAGGAATTCTATCTTTCAATCAAACCAGAGACGTATATGATCAAACCCAATTACACTTTTGAAGGACAAAATTTACGTAATTAAATGAAAAAAGTCCGCTTTGAAATCATTTGTACTGAATATCAAAATCTTTGTCTTTAATTATGTCATTTGGTTTTATAGTTGATAGTATATACATGTATAATACGGATTGTAAATTGTGCACTTAACTACTCAATGAAAACTGTTAATACTTCCAAACTGAGGCATGTACCCTTACTCTGAACATTCCCGACCTTATGAGCTAATCTGTTTATCCTGACATCTGGTTCTTTAATCAAGTCCTACTAATTTCCACTCACCACTACATCTTTCTGTACATGCCAGTGTTGGTATGTGTTTTGACTGAGGATGTTTTACCATTCTCCAGAGCACTGTTAAGTTGTTATTGTGATGTTTGTTTACTTATGTGATGTATATGCTTAATGTGAGAAAAAAATTGGAGAATGCTTTGTAATGCTGGTTGTGAATGAAGAATAAAATTTATGTTGAATTAAACTCCTTGTTACTATTGACCAGCAAACAGTATTTTCAATGAAACCTTCCTGAGAGTAAATGATAATACTGGATTATACTGATATCAATGATACCTGACAATCGCAGTATGTCCAAAAGGACGTCATGTAAACACAAGATTTAGTCAGGAGACAATGATTTATATAATATCAGGTGTGTATGGTGACATCATGTAAACACAAGATTTAGTCAGGAGACATTAATTTATCTAATGATATCAGGTGTGTATGGTGACATCATGTAAACACAAGATTTAGTCAGGAGACAATGATTTATATAATATCAGGTGTGTATGGTGACATCATGTAAACACAAGATTTAGTCAGGAGACATTAATTTATCTAATGATATCAGGTGTGTATGGTGACATCATGTAAACACAAGATTTAGTCAGGAGACAATGATTTATCTAATGATATCAGGTGTGTATGGTGACATCATGTAAACACAAGATTTAGTCAGGAGACATTAATTTATCTGATCAGGTGTGTATGGTGACATCATGTAAACACAAGATTTAGTCAGGAGACATTAATTTATCTAATGATATCAGGTGTGTATGGTGACATCATGTAAACACAAGATTTAGTCAGGAGACAATGATTTATCTAATGATATCAGGTGTGTATGGTGACATCATGTAAACACAAGATTTAGTCAGGAGACATTAATTTATCTAATGATATCAGGTGTGTACGGTGACATCATGTAAACACAAGATTTAGTCAGGAGACAATAATTTATCTGATCAGGTGTGTATGGTGACATCATGTAAACACAAGATTTAGTCAGGAGACATTAATTTATCTAATGATATCAGGTGTGTACGGTGACATCATGTAAACACAAGATTTAGTCAGGAGACAATAATTTATCTGATCAGGTGTGTATGGTGACATCATGTAAACACAAGATTTAGTCAGGAGACATTAATTTATCTAATGATATCAGGTGTGTATGGTGACATCATGTAAACACAAGATTTAGTCAGGAGACAATAATTTATCTAATGATATCAGGTGTGTACGGTGACATCATGTAAACACAAGATTTAGTCAGGAGACAATAATTTATCTGATCAGGTGTGTACGGTGACATCATGTAAACACAAGATTTAGTCAGGAGACAATGATTTATCTAATGATATCAGGTGTGTACGGTGACATCATGTAAACACAAGATTTAGTCAGGAGACAATAATTTATCTAATGATATCAGGTGTGTATGGTGACATCATGTAAACACAAGATTTATTTAGTCAGGAGACATTAATTTATATATCAGGTGTGTACGGTGACATCATGTAAACACAAGATTTAGTCAGGAGACAATAATTTATCTGATCAGGTGTGTATGGTGACATCATGTAAACACAAGATTTAGTCAGGAGACATTAATTTATCTAATGATATCAGGTGTGTATGGTGACATCATGTAAACACAAGATTTAGTCAGGAGACAATAATTTATCTAATGATATCAGGTGTGTACGGTGACATCATGTAAACACAAGATTTAGTCTGTAGATGAGGGCTGTCATTCTCCACTCACATCATTAACACTGCCTATACTTCAAGTTACATACATAAATCTATCTTGTTTTTCAGGATAGAAGGTATTGTTCAAATTTGGTCTGAAGCATGCTTGAGTGAGGGGAAATAAGTTTTTTATGAACAGTAAGTCTGCAAAATAACAGAAATAGAGTTAATTCTTTAAAATCTGTCTTTTCCTGTAGTTTTATTAAATCAATTTCAGCAAACCAAACCAGGCGAGTAATACAAACTGTGCATTAACATTATGTACTCACCCTCCTCTCACAACTACACAAAAACCTGGCAATCTTCAATCTATCAAGTAAGAATGAAACATTAAGTGCAAAAGTTCATTGATAGGAAGACTCTCCGCCCACAAGTAATCATACTTTTCAGTAAATATGTACATCATTTCAAGCTTTACCCGTACAATTTTATCATGGACTTAGATCAATATCCTACACTTTTTCACACACACTAGATTATAAATCTTCATTGTAACATTTGCTCATACCATTTTAGCTTTGACAACATTCACATTAACAAAACCAAGAACCAGCTGGTGTACCCTGGGGCATCGTTAGATAGCCAGAATATGTGTCATCACTGTTGTACCCTGGGGCATCGTTAGATAGCCTGAATATGTGTCATCACTGTTGTACCCTGGGGCATCGTTAGATAGCCAGAATATGTGTCATCACTGTTGTACCCTGGGGCATCGTTAGATGGCCAGAATGGGGCATCGTTAGATGGCCAGAATACGTGTCATCACTGTTGTACCCTGGGGCATCGTTAGATGGCCAGAATACGTGTCATCACTGTTGTACCCTGGAGTATTGTTAGATAGCCACAATGTTGTACCCTGGGGCATCGTTAGATGGCCAGAATATTTGTCATCACTGTTGTAACCTGGGGCATCGTTAGATAGCCAGAATATGTGTCATCACTGTTGTAACCTGGGGCATCGTTAGATGGCCAGAATACGTGTCATCACTGTTGTAACCTGGGGCATCATTAGATGGTCAGAATACGTGTCATCACTGTTGTAACCTGGGGCATTGTTAGATGGTCAGAATATGTGTCATCACTGTTGTAACCTGGGGCATCATTAGATGGTCAGAATATGTGTCATCACTGTTGTACCCTGGGGCATTGTTAGATGGTCAGAATATGTGTCATCACTGTTGTACCCTGGAGTATTGTTAGATAGCCACAATGTTGTACCCTGGGGCATCATTAGGTGGCCAGAATATGTGTCATCACTGTTGTAACCTGGGGCATCGTTAGATAGCCAGAATATGTGTCATCACTGTTGTAACCTGGGGCATCATTAGATAGCCAGAATATGTGTCATCACTGTTGTACCCTGGGGCATCGTTAGATGGCCAGAATATGTGTCATCACTGTTGTACCCTGGGGCATCGTTAGATGGCCAGAATATGTGTCATCACTGTTGTACCCTGGGGCATCGTTAGATGGCCAGAATATGCGTCATCACTGTTTACACCGACTGCATTATCCTAAATCAAATAGATATGATTTAGTGGTTATGTGTATGTATTTTACTCTGATGTCACCATTACTTATCAAAAAACATTGTTAAGGATATACATGTAAGTGCGTCATCTTGAATTTTAAAATCCCAAGAACTTACTCATGAGCCATGTGTACGCCAGTAAGATGCCAGTGACTATGGAGTTGAGGAGGTCTAGTGGCAGTTTACTTACAACTGACCTAGCCTCAGGTCAATGAAGTAAAGACTCCGGTAATACATTGTATGTTTACTTATTTAATTATTTTTATATCTACTACTGTCAACTAACACTATCAAACCACTGATATCAATCCTACAAGTACTCTGTGACATTTCTTTACAAAGGTACTGATCCCTCATCCCTTGAAAATAGGACCATTCTCAAGCTCAATCCACCTCTTTGGCCCGCCCTTCTATTTTCACCAATCACACTATCCTATGTTATAAATCCCTCTTCCAACTCTACCTAAATGCCAAAACCACCCTTTAGCACCCATTCTGCCCAAATCAACTGAGTTGCAAATATACATTTTCCAATAACTATTTGATTATCCCAATTACACCAAATTTTAGCATATCAAAACTAACCTCCTCATACCTGTAGTGTACTCCTTATAAAGGGACAGAATGTGGAGAGGTGTATGACAGCAATATCTCAGGAATTGTAGGGACTTTGTTATTGAGAACAATTCAAAGTGGCAGGTATGGAGTGATGTCCTCCGTGCAGCCACTAAAAATAAACAAGAGGCCCATAGGTCTTAACGGTCACCTGAGGTCTTCAGGTCTTTGGACAGTTTTAGAACCTGTTCATCAGCCCCAGCATTGAGGCAGACAGAACAGCACTGATATAAAAGTTTTCATTGTTTCTAAGTATAAAGGCTTAATTTTCAATTAAACAGAACTGATAACACAGATTGTTGTTGTAGTCTATCATATTTGACCACTGTAATTGACTGACCAGTGACAGATGGACTGTATGACTTACCACAGACTTTATCCAGTATCCCTTTCTACCCGCCTGTAACCTTTTCTAGGGTCCGCATATCTAGTAGTCCACATATGGAGCTCAACGTGAGGACATCACTCACATGGATGGTGAACCGTTTGGGGGACCTGGTAAGTGTACATGTGTGAACAGTTGTATGTATACTTTTGTTTTCAGTTTAGTTATAGTCTGTTCTATATTGGTGACTGTTGTATGTTGTAGGTTTTTGTTACACATCATTAAAACATCTGTTTAAGAATTCGCATTAGAGGTCTTGTCCGTCAATCACCCTGACCAAACATTGAGAAGAAGTTGTTAAAAGATTACAACACATTTGACCCCATGACCTTGAAAGGTGAAGGTCATTCATTTGAACAAACTTGGTAGTCCTACATTCCAGCATTTTACTGGCCCAATATAAAGCTGGACCATTTGGTTATTAAAAAAAAATCATTTACAGATTTCAACACATTTTACCCCTGTGACCGTGAAAGTAGGTCAAGATCGTTCACCCCAACATGCTACTGGCCCAGTACCATGACCCTAGGCCTTTTGGCTATGGAGAAGAATTCGAAAATGTATATTGTTTACATCGTACCACAGAAGCCAGACAACATGGATTGCAATAGGTTTGATATATATATATATATATATATATATATATATATATATATTTCTACACTTGTCCATTCTGTTGGTTGGGACTTTAAACAGTGTCTCGTGTGAGAATATCCTACTGGCATGATATAAAGATCCCTCTGTGTAATGAATGTCAACTAAGAGCTCAGGTGAAGACATACCAAGACAATTGGAAATAAATCATCTTATGGGATTAAACAAACTTCAAAACTGCTATCTCATGTTGTAACACCCACTCCTCGTGTATGAGCTAGTCAAGTTAAGAAACATATATAACGCATGTTTCGTACATATACCGAGCATTTAGTTGTCACGTGCCAAGATTTCTGTTCTGTTCCACATGGTACTTGTGGATTTTTTTCTTCTTCTTCCTCTTCTTCTTATTATTATTAAATATGGTAATTTAATGGAGAATGAACCAATTTATAACGTCCAGACAAATCAATAAAATATAAACGTTCGCTACAATATATAACAAGTATACAGATATCATTAGCACGTGGCTTGGTCGCGTGTTTGTTTATGTGATCTATTTATAAAGCTTGACCTTTGAACTACTGCAGTATGAAACACAAGCATGTGACTTGGGCCAACACTGGGTATTTTTTCCTGGTACACCAATTCATACTTGTATGTAAACAGACCTAGACTACATTCATTGCGCTCGTAGGAAATCTCGCCGGTGCAGAAATTGCAGTTTGGATTTCGGACAGCTTGTAAAACCGAAGATCATGTAAACGTGTCCAGTATCAATGGAAATGAGGTGGTGTATGTTCTTTGTTTACACCCTGATTGGCGTGTCACATGTTGAAGGAGCTAACACTAGAGTCCCGGGGTGTTCTCAGAACCATGTTCGGATACGGAACAGCAAGGTCTGGCAGAAGGGACCTGAGGCGGAAACGGACGAAATGCCAACCAGTAGGTATCATTTTCAGGGATAACAAATTAAGCTCAGTTGATAGCTGAAACTCGAAAAACGAACTCTCCCCACTCCACCCACTCACTATAGGCTTACACAGAGTACATGTAAATATGTTTGATGGTACCAGACATCAATCGGCAAATTAGAAGATATGTTTGATCTTCACATATGTCTAGATATATGTCAGGAATATTTTGAGTGTACATATGTATCGTATAGTGTCTCTGTCCCTTACATATATGTATAATTAGCTGACGGCGTATCAGTTGGTAGAGCAGCAGAGACCCAGGTTCGATTCATGTCGCGATAGGCTGTATGTCTTGTTTTATACATGTTGTGTCGGATGGAAATGCAATTCTTTACTGTATTGCAATTGAATGCCATGCATGGTATAGCAGTCTTGAGTATGATATGGCAAGCGTTAAGTGTACTTTGATAATGTCTTTTAACTTGATGCTAGAGGGACTTTCCCTTTAGGTAGATCGGTAGCAGTGGACTTACAAGCCAGAGGCTGTGGTCTTGGTCCTTACTGAATATACTGATTTCTGTTACAATTTGGTAAATGTAGACCACTCAAGTGCAAGAGACTCGAGGAGAGTGAGAGGGTATCTTGGAGCAGAGATGTGATATATACATCTCTGGTTGGAGTCAGTGAAACTGGATTGATGTGTTGGGGAGCGATATTAGGATTTTGAAGTTGTGCGACAAGTTTTGGATGTACATATGGTTAAACCTGTAACATTCTACATGTAGAGCAGCAGACTTGTAAGCTAGAGTCTGCATGTTTGATTCCGGGCAGAAACCAACTTTTCCTGTATTGTATATGTGCCTAGTACCAGGGACGTATATTAACGATATATACATCCCTGCTAGTACATTAAGTTTTGTCTCTTACAGAAGTCTTGATATTGAGATCAAGATTTAACAGGTCGAAGTAAAATTTATGTAGCTTTGTATTAATAATAGTCCTGGCAGTGAAGTCATACTCTTCGTGTCATCATCCAACTTGTCTCTTTGAACCTGAAGAAGCAAATTGTGAGGAATGAAACCAGCTTCAGAAGGCTATGTCTTACTACAAAGTACAATGTTATTTTCCCTAAAACAATGAGAAATATTCCACCACTACATGTAATGTTACAACCCAAACAAGCAGCCTCTGGTTTTCTAGGAAATCCCCTAAACTTATGGAAATACCTTGTAAGTGCAGCAAGTAAGGCAACAGTGTACACCTGACCTTAACTGACATATCAGATATATACACCTGATCTTAGCTGACTGATCAGATCTGTAGCCCTGACCTTAACTGACAGATCAGATATATACCCCTGTCCTTAAATGACTGATCAGATCTGTACCCCTGACCTCAACTGACAGATCAGATATATACCCCTGACCTTAACTGACTGATCAGATCTGTAGCCCTGACCTTAACTGACAGATCAGATCTGTATCCCTGACCTTAACTGACAGATCAGATCTGTATCCCTGTCCTTAAATGACAGATCAGATCTGTATCCCTGTCCTTAACTGACATATCAGATATATACCCCTGACCTTAACTGACTGATGAGATCTGTATCCCTGTCCTTAACTGACAGATCAGATATATACCCCTGACTTTAACTGACAGATCAGATCTGTAGCAGTGGAAGAGCCTTTACAATATGTAAAATTGATATTATGTTCACTTTTCTAGGTGGATACAGGTTAGAAGTAACAAATACCGGTCCTGCAGTTTTGGATTCAAAAATACAGTTTTTGGCAAAATTGTTCAACAAGACGGGACACCTGGCTGATTCTACATTATTCCTGTATGTTTGGAACAATAATGCAGATTTTCAGGAGTTAAGGAAAGAAGATAACTTTGAAGCAAATATGACACAAACCTATAGCTTTGTTATACCCACAAAGTACAAGATGCAGGTGTGTGTGTATTCCAAAGAGGAGAAATTAACTCATACTAAGTACCACTTGGTGGCCAGAGGGGACACTCATTTCATACTCACATGTAAGTTGGTTTAACCTCTTTATATACAGTAGAGTATGTAGTAAAACAGAACACGTCATAAAACAGAACATGCCATAACACAGAACACATCATAACACAGAACACGTCATAAAACAGAACACGTCATAAAACAGAACACATCATAACATAGAACATGTCATAACACAGAACACATCATAACACAGAACACATCATAACACAGAACATGTCATAACACAGAACATGTCATAACACAGAACACATCATAACACAGAACACATCATAACACAGAACACATCATAACACAGAACACGTCATAACACAGAACACGTCATAAAACAGAACACATCCTGTCATGAGTAAGAAAACAGGTAAACAACCATCCTATATTGTTTAATATAATTAATAGGATTGATATAATCTATATAGATCTAAGTTTTACAGCCTCATTCTCCAAATCAATTAAAACAATTAAGTATTTTATGTTAATTTATTCATTTAATCCTCTATGTAAAAAGAACTATCATTGGCCGATTTTTTATGTTATCACCCTATCATATGAAAAAAAGATGTAATTTTGTAACATCATCTTGATTGGTCAATGTGGAGAAAAGATTCCATTGTTTGTATGGGAAAAATATTGCTATCTGAGATTAAATCATAAGGATTAAGTTTTATCATGTTTTTTTAAAGTTATTGATCCATAAAAATGGTGGGTACTCTTAGCATCAACTTCTTCAGTGTTTATATAGAGTTCATACTTCGTTAATGGATTAGCAATGCTTTTATGTACACCCCTATAGTAGGTCACCTCAACATCGATGACATGAACACATACTTTTATATACACCCCTATAATAGGTCACCTCAGCATCAATGACATGAACACATACTTTTATATACACCCCTATAGTAGGTCACCTCAACATCAATGACTTTTATATACACCCCTATAGTAGGTCACCTCAACATCAATGACATGAACACATACTTTTATATACACCCCTATAGTAGGTCACCTCAACATCAATGACATGAACACATACTTTTATATACACCCCTATAGTAGGTCACCTCAGCATCAATGACATGAACACATACTTTTATATACACCCCTATAGTAGGTCACCTCAGCATCAATGACATGAACACATACTTTTATATACACCCCTATAGTAGGTCACCTCAGCATCAATGACATGAACACATACTTTTATATACACCCCTATAGTAGGTCACCTCAACATCAATGACATGAACACATACTTTTATATACACCCCTATAGTAGGTCACCTCAGCATCAATGACATGAACACATACTTTTATATACACCCCTATAGTAGGTCACCTCAACATCAATGACATGAACACATACTTTTATATACACCCCTATAGTAGGTCACCTCAACATCAATGACTTTTATATACACCCCTATAGTAGGTCACCTCAACATCAATGACATGAACACATACTTTTATATACACCCCTATAGTAGGTCACCTCAACATCAATGACTTTTATATACACCCCTATAGTAGGTCACCTCAACATCAATGACATGAACACATACTTTAATATACACCCCTATAGTTGGTCACCTCAACATCAATGACATGAACACATACTTTTATATACACCCCTATAGTAGGTCACCTCAACATCAATGTCATGAACACATACTTTTATATACACCCCTATGGTAGGTCACCTCAACATCAATGTCATGAACACATACTTTTATATACACCCCTATAGTAGGTCACCTCAACATCAATGACATGAACACATACTTTTATATACACCCCTATAGTAGGTCACCTCAGCATCAATGACTTTTATATACACCCCTATAGTAGGTCACCTCAACATCAATGACATGAACACATACTTTTATATACACCCCTATAGTAGGTCACCTCAACATCAATGACTTTTATATACACCCCTATAGTAGGTCACCTCAACATCAATGACATGAACACATACTTTTATATACACCCCTATAGTAGGTCACCTCAGCATCAATGACATGAACACATACTTTTATATACACCCCTATAGTAGGTCACCTCAACATCAATGACATGAACACATACTTTTATATACACCCCTATAGTAGGTCACCTCAGCATCAATGACATGAACACATACTTTTATATACACCCCTATAGTAGGTCACCTCAACATCAATGACATGAACACATACTTTTATATACACCCCTATAGTAGGTCACCTCAACATCAATGACATGAACACATACTTTTATATACACCCCTATAGTAGGTCACCTCAGCATCAATGACATGAACACATACTTTTATATACACCCCTATAGTAGGTCACCTCAACATCAATGACATGAACACATACTTTTATATACACCCCTATAGTAGGTCACCTCAGACATGAACACATACTTTTATATACACCCCTATAGTAGGTCACCTCAACATCAATGACATGAACACATACTTTTATATACACCCCTATAGTAGGTCACCTCAGCATCAATGACATGAACACATACTTTTATATACACCCCTATAGTAGGTCACCTCAGCATCAATGACATGAACACATACTTTTATATACACCCCTATAGTAGGTCACCTCAACATCAATGTCATGAACACATACTTTTATATACACCCCTATAGTAGGTCACCTCAGCATCAATGACTTTTATATACACCCCTATAGTAGGTCACCTCAACATCAATGACATGAACACATACTTTTATATACACCCCTATAGTAGGTCACCTCAGCATCAATGACTTTTATATACACCCCTATAGTAGGTCACCTCAACATCAATGACATGAACACATACTTTTATATACACCCCTATAGTAGGTCACCTCAGCATCAATGACTTTTATATACACCCCTATAGTAGGTCACCTCAACATCAATGACATGAACACATACTTTTATATACACCCCTATAGTAGGTCACCTCAACATCAATGACATGAACACATACTTTTATATACACCCCTATAGTAGGTCACCTCAGCATCAATGACATGAACACATACTTTTATATACACCCCTATAGTAGGTCACCTCAACATCAATGAATGACATGAACACATACTTTTATATACACCCCTATAGTAGGTCACCTCAGCATCAATGACTTTTATATACACCCCTATAGTAGGTCACCTCAACATCAATGACATGAACACATACTTTTATATACACCCCTATAGTAGGTCACCTCAGCATCAATGACTTTTATATACACCCCTATAGTAGGTCACCTCAACATCAATGACATGAACACATACTTTTATATACACCCCTATAGTAGGTCACCTCAGCATCAATGACTTTTATATACACCCCTATAGTAGGTCACCTCAGCATCAATGACATGAACACATACTTTTATATACACCCCTATAGTAGGTCACCTCAACATCAATGACATGAACACATACTTTTATATACACCCCTATAGTAGGTCACCTCAGCATCAATGACTTTTATATACACCCCTATAGTAGGTCACCTCAACATCAATGACATGAACACATACTTTTATATACACCCCTATAGTAGGTCACCTCAGCATCAATGACTTTTATATACACCCCTATAGTAGGTCACCTCAACATCAATGACTTTTATATACACCCCTATAGTAGTTCACCTCAACATCAATGACATGAACACATACTTTTATATACACCCCTATAGTAGGTCACCTCACATCAATACTTTTATATACACCCCTATAGTAGGTCACCTCAACATCAATGACATGAACACATACTTTTATATACACCCCTATAGTAGGTCACCTCAACATCAATGACATGAACACATACTTTTATATACACCCCTATAGTAGGTCACCTCAACATCAATGACATTTTATATACACCCCTATAGTAGGTCACCTCAGCATCAATGACATGATATACACCCCTATAGTAGGTCACCTCAACATCAATGACATGAACACATACTTTTATATACACCCCTATAGTAGGTCACCTCAGCATCAATGACATGAACACATACTTTTATATACACCCCTATAGTAGGTCACCTCAGCATCAATGACTTTTATATACACCCCTATAGTAGTTCACCTCAACATCAATGACATGAACACATACTTTTATATACACCCCTATAGTAGGTCACCTCAGCATCAATGACATGAACACATACTTTTATATACACCCCTATAATAGGTCACCTCAACATCAATGACATGAACACATTTTTATATACACCCCTATAGTAGGTCACCTCAGCATCAATGACATGAACACATACTTTTATATACACCCCTATAGTAGGTCACCTCAACATCAATGACATGAACACATACTTTTATATACACCCCTATAGTAGGTCACCTCAGCATCAATGACATAAACACATGCTAATTAACATACAATCTAAACATTTATATACACCCCAACAGGTACTGAAAAATGACATGAACACATGGATATATATGTCTAAATCACCATCAATCTTTTATATACACCCCTATAGTGAACATCTTGTTGAACACATACTTTTATGACATTGTGTGTTGAATTGTTTTATATACTTATATGTTGAGGTTATTCAGATATGACATGAACACAGATTCTATAATTCAGTATAATCAACATGGAAAAAGGATGAACAACATGAGTTGTCATACAGCTAACTTTACATCAAATCTGGAAGATATCAGCGCTGATGGAGCTTGTTATACATTGCATATTTTGTATTGAGATTGTTTATTTACACTGTGTGTTGATTGTTTATCATTTGTTTTTTATTGTTTATTTGTATATTGTGTACATAACAGAAAACTTTCAATATTTATGACATTGTAAGTTAATGTTTGTTTCCATCTTTTTAGCAACATTGAATGGAAAGATGGATTTGAAACAAAATCTAACTCATCAGAAAAGTAAGAAAATACTAGCGACAAATACCCCGATTTATTTCACTATGAATCTGACTGACAAGTTCCAGACAAAACCAACATCCTCTTTCCACTGGTTTAGCGGAAAAAAATTACTGGGTGAGACATCAGTACCAAAATTTGAGTTCATATCAAAGAATGCAGAAACAGTGGAGAAACTATCAGTTTCTGTCAGTACATCTCTGGATGATTTCATTGAAAAGAAAGGAGAATGGTCTGAAGATGTGCAGATGAAAAGTAAGTGTTTACAAAGATGTTAAGACAAAATCAAAGATAAACATGCTAACCTGTAGTAGGCACTTCCATTGTCGATATAGGGATATCGTAATTGGATAGGAATGTAAGTAGAAATGTTTGCTAAAGTCAGTTTGGCCTGAAGAACATATGTGGCAAGCAAGTAGATTGTAGCTTTTTGAGGTTTTTTCCCCTATTTATAAACAAACTTACAGAGTATCCTAATAATACCAACTATATTAATTGTATGACAAACACCAGTTTGTTGGCATACTAATTATCTGTGTTTAATTGTCAAATGTTATATGTTTAAAAATAGTTACACACACAGAAAATGTATCAGGACCATAAATTCATCCTTTGCATGAATTTCATTTGAACTTTGTCAATTATTGTAACTAATCATAGCATATAATATGATTTTAGATGTTTCCAAATCTGTGACCATGGAAACATAATGGCACATTCTGATTGGTCACAAGTGAAACAATTATCTGATTTCGCTAAAAATTGATATTGAAAGGTTTGTTTGCCTATAACCAAATGAAAGATAATGCCTGGAGGAATTTTGTCATGACAAGTCTTCCTAAACTTGTGAACAAATATCATTTTATCATAGAGAGAGAGACTAAAAATGGGTATATAAGAGATTGTCATACATGCATGAGAGAGAGAGACAATCCAGAATGTGAAGATATCACAAGAGAGAGACAGCAAGTAAAACTGTGGTATATCACACAGAGAGAGACAAAATCAAGATAAACATGACAGAGAGAGACAGTTTTGTTCCAACCTGTGGTATATCAATTCCAGAACAGCAACCATATTGTGGTATATCACAGAGAGAGACAAAGCACACTTAACTGTGGTTAAAAATAAGAACAGAGAGAGAAGTAGATCTGTGGTATATTCATCTGAGAGAGACAGCAAGATACTGTGATATCACAGAGAGAGAGACCTGTAAACATGTATATATCACAGAGAGAGACAGCAGATTGGCACTGTGGTATATCACAGAGAGAGAGAGAACAGCTGTAATATCAAACTGTGTATATACAGAGAGAGAGAGAGAGATCAGAAGATAAGTTACTGTGGTATATCACAGAGAGAGACAGCAAGATAAACTGTGGTATATCACACAGTGAGACAGCAAGATAGACTGTGGTATATCACAGAGAGAGACAGCAAGATAGACTGTGGTATATCACAGAGAGAGACAGCAAGATAAACTGTGGTATATTACACAGAGAGAGAGAGACAGCAAGACAAACTGTGGTATATCACAGAGTGAGACAGCAAGATAAACTGTGTTATATCACAGAGAGAGACAGCAAGATAAACTGTGGTATATCATAGAGAGAGAGAGACAACAAGATAAACTGTGGTATATCACAGAGAGAGAGAGATAGCAAGATAAACTGTGGTATATCACAGAGTGAGACAGCCTGACAAACTGTGGTATATCACAGAGAGAGAGAGACAGCAAGATAGACTGTGTTATATCACAGAGAGAAACAGCAAGATAGACTGTGGTATATCACAGAGAGAGACAGCAAGATAAACTGTGGTATATCACAGAGAGAGACAGCAAGATAAACTGTGGTATATCACAGAGAGAGACAGCAAGATAAACTGTGTTATATCACAGAGAGAGACAGCAGACAGCAAGATAAACTGTGGTATATCACAGAGAGAGACAGCAAGATAGACTGTGGTATATCACAGAGTGAGACAGCAAGATAAACTGTGTTATATCACAGAGAGAGAGAGACAGCAAGATAAACTGTGGTATATCACACAGTGAGACAGCAAGGTAAACTGTGGTATATCACAGAGAGAGACAGCAAGAAAGACTGTGATATATCACACACAGAGAGAGAGAGAGACAGCAAGATAGACTGTGGTATATCACAGAGAGAGACAGCAAGATAAACTGTGGTATATTACACAGAGAGAGAGAGAGACAGCAAGACAAACTGTGATATATCACAGAGAGAGACAGCAAGATAAACTGTGGTATATCACAGAGAGAGAGACAGCAAGATAAACTGTGGTATATCACAGAGAGAGAGACAGCCTGACAAACTGTGGTATATCACAGAGAGAGAGAAAGAGACAGCAAGATAGACTGTGGTATATCACAGAGAGAGACAGCAAGATAAACTGTGGTATATCAAAGAGAGAGAGATAGCAAGATAAACTGTGGTATATCACAGAGAGAGAGACAGCAAGATAAACTGTGGTATATCACAGAGAGAGACAGCAAGATAAACTGTGGTATATCACAGAGAGAGACAGCAAGATAGACTGTGGTATATCACAGAGTGAGACAGCAAGATAAACTGTGGTATATCACAGAGAGAGACAGCAAGATAGACTGTGGTATATCACAGAGTGAGACAGCAAGACAAACTGTGGTATATCACAGAGAGAGAGACAGAAAGATAGACTGTGGTATATCACAGAGTGAGACAGCAAGATAAACTGTGGTATATCACAGAGAGAGACAGCACGATAGACTGTGGTATATCACAGAGAGAGACAGCAAGATAGACTGTGGTATATCACAGAGAGAGACAGCAAGATAAACTGGTATATCACAGAGAGAGACAGCGAGATTAACTGTGTTATATCACAGAGAGAGACAGCAAGATAAACTGTGTTATATCACAGAGAGAGACAGCAAGATAAACTGTGGTATATCACAGAGAGAGACAGCAAGATAGACTGTGGTATATCACACAGAGAGAGAGACAGCAAGATAGACTGTGGTATATCACAGAGTGAGACAGCAAGATAGACTGTGGTATATCACAGAGAGAGACAGCAAGACAAACTGGTATATCACAGAGTGAGACAGCAAGACAAACTGTGGTATATTACAGAGAGAGAGACAGAAAGATAGACTGTGGTATATCACAGAGTGAGACAGCAAGATAAACTGTGGTATATCACAGAGAGAGACAGCAAGACAAACTGGTATATCACAGAGTGAGACAACAAGTGGTATATCACAGAGAGAGAGACAGAAAGATAGACTGTGGTATATCACAGAGAGAGACAGCAAGATAAACTGTGGTATATCAAAGAGAGAGAGATAGCAAGATAAACTGTGGTATATCACAGAGAGAGACAGCAAGATAGACTGTGGTATATCACAGAGTGAGACAGCAAGATAAACTGTGATATATCACAGCGAGAGACAGCAAGATAGACTGTGGTATATCACAGAGAGAGACAGCAAGATAGACTGTGGTATATCACAGAGTGAGACAGCAAGATAGACTGTGGTATATCACAGAGAGAGACAGCAAGACAAACTGTGGTATATCACAGAGAGAGACAGCAAAATAGACTGTGGTATATCACAGAGTGAGACAGCAAGATAAACTGTGGTATATCACAGAGAGAGACAGCAAGACAAACTGGTATATCACAGAGTGAGACAGCAAGACAAACTGTGGTATATCACAGAGAGAGAGACAGAAAGATAGACTGTGGTATATCACAGAGTGAGACAGCAAGATAAACTGTGGTATATCACAGAGAGAGACAGCAAGACAAACTGGTATATCACAGAGAGAGACAGCAAGATAAACTGTGGTATATCACAGAGAGAGACAGCAAGATAGACTGTGGTATATCACAGAGAGAGACAGCAAGATAAACTGTGGTATATCACAGAGAGAGACAGCAAGACAAACTGTGGTATATCACAGAGAGAGACAGCAAGATAGACTGTGGTATATCACAGCGAGAGACAGCAAGATAAACTGTGGTATATCACAGAGAGAGACAGCAAGACAAACTGTGGTATATCACAGAGAGAGAGACAGCAAGATAGACTGTGGTATATCAGAGTGAGACAGCAAGATAAACTGTGGTATATCACAGAGAGAGACAGCAAGACAAACTGTGGTATATCACAGAGAGAGAGACAGCAAGATAGACTGTGGTATATCACAGAGAGAGACAGCAAGATAAACTGTGTTATATCACAGAGGAAAATGACAAAATTTGTTATTGCCAAAATATCAATGCACAGTAGCATAATCAGCGTCTCATTACAGATGCAATTCAGTGGGTGAAATGGAACATGTCAGGAGGTTGTACTGTGGATGTAGATGACCTATTGAACCTGACTGTGTTCTACCAGGCAAGGTCAGTATAACAGCTTTTCTAACCTTTGTGTATAAATTTTGTCTCCATTTTTATACCATATCTGTTTTAAATGTTCATTCATTTGAAATTTATTTGCTACATATAATAAAAGTGTTCTCCTGATCAGATTAAAAAAAAAATCCCTTCTTTGGTATGTGGTTTACATAAATCATTGTCAATAGAGCAGGGATATCAAACAAGGATCACAGTATTTATAGTACAGTCTGTTAACTTGTTTTGTTGTGGAAATCACCAAAATTTGTAGCAAGGAAATAGATTTACTGTATGTTAAATATGACAGTTTCACAATGTTCTGACCATATTTTCCTACAAGCTAGAGGTTGTAAAGTTGATGTGGTGATTCAGTCTGTGTATTGTATCACAATGTTCTGACTATATCTTCCTACAAGCTAGAGGTTGTAAAGTTGATGTGGTGATTCAGTCTGTGTATTGTATCACAATGTTCTGACTATATCTTCCTACAAGCTAGAGGTTGTAAAGTTGATGTGGTGATTCAGTCTGTGTATTGTATATCTACAGCAATCCAACAGTGATTTGCTGGGAAGTGTGCAAGGCTAATACAAATTCAAGTAACTGTAGCAACACAACATGTGAACCTCCAGTGACAGGAAACAGGAAGCAGATTAACATTCAAGTCGGATTCTCCCATGTCGGACTTTACCATATCCACTTGCGACTAGAGAACGATGTTAGTCAACAGCACTACAGGACACGTGCGGTACATGTGTATGATGCAGGTAATTATAGATGTGTTATAATATCAGAAACACACTGACACTGTGGAGAACAAAGATGTGGGGAAATTTAGCAAATTTTCAAAAATCCATCTCCCTCAAAAAGAATGATTTTGAAATCCATCCAGATTTGGTCTGAAGCATTCTTAAGTGAAGGGGATTAATTTTTGGCATCTTTTATCCCCCTTAGGCAGGAGGGATGGAGCCCAATAGAAGAAATAGCTCAAATTCCTTTAATATCCTTATTCTTCTAAAGAAATTAGTTGAAGCTGTCCAAATTTGGTCTGAAGCATCCTTAGGTAAATGTGAATAATTTTTGTATGAATTTTGAGTCTCATCCTTCTGAGGGAGGGGGATGTGTTTCTTGGCCTTCTGGGGTTGAGGATGTGATTCTTGGCATTCTGAGGGAGGAGGATGTGATTCTTGGCATATGAGGGAGGAGGGTGTGATTCTTGGCATTCTGAGGGAGGAGGATGTGATTCTTGGCATTCTGAGGGAGGAGGGTGTGATTCTTGGCCTTCTGGGGGAGGAGGGTGTGATTCTTGGCCTTCTGTGGAAAGAGGGTGTGATTCTTGGCCTTCTGTGGAAGGAGGGTGTGATTCTTGGCCTTCTGTGGAAGGAGGGTTGGGGCCAAATATTGAAAATACAACACATTCTTCAAATCCTTCTTTATGGAAATGGGTAGATTCTGTTTAAGTTTAATCTGAAATATCCTTGATTGAAGGGGAATCAGTTTTGTATAAATGGTAGGGGTAGGAGGGATGGGGCTCAAAAGGGAAAATAAAGCAAAGTCTTTAAAGTTTTCTTTTTCTGTAGGAATATGTGGAGTATGTCAGTTTGGTCTGAAGCCCTTCTGGGTGAAGGGAAATCAATTCTGAATACACAATGTGTCTCAGCTCATATAAGGGAAAAGATCTTGGAAATCCTTCCTTTGTAGGGATGTCAGGATTCTGATTTGGGGAAAGCCATTTTGTATAAATTGTTCGGCTGCCACCGGGGAAGAAGGTTGGGATACATATATAAACCTGTAGATTACCTTTTCTTTTTCAATTTCAGTCATAGCTATGTGAGTGATAAGGTTTATGGGTCTCCTGTATGATGTTATGTCAGTTTGTTGGTTTTTGAAATATGTTGCCTTTCTGTCTTTTTCAGATAATTACAGTTCCCATGGATTAGCTGTGCCCATCGTCTTCAGCTGTCTTGGTGTGTTCATTCTACTGGTGTCGTCTGTATATATGGTGCGATTGAAGAGAAAGCCACATGTGGAAACTGCTGATTTTGATTTCCACCCGTCCTTAAACAGGGACCAGCCCCATCCATTTGTAACAGGGATTAAAAGAACTATTAGTCTGGTTTTTCAGCCAAAGCATTCCTATGGTTCCTTACAGCAGCCCACAACCACAGCGTCGAAATACGGATCCACAAGTGGTGACTATTCCCCGTTGTAGTGATGAATATTTGTTAAAAATAAAGATTTAATCATAATTTTTTATACTGCTGTTCAAGACAACAGATTTTAAAATTTTACTGAATTAAGCCATATGCAGGAATATAATGGCTCATTCTACCATTTCAATTCTGTTTGTAAAAATTTTTACTGATTTTGATATCTGTGATGAACTGGTGATGGCTGTGTCCTATACAATGTTGTTGTGACGCAATGCAGAATACCTTTTGTAATAAAGACTTTCAATATAACACATATGAACAGAACAAACTCTTGCCCTGGTGTTAGTTTCGGGCCTGTCACATGCTATATACAGCAGCTAGAGTTAGGTGACTTGCCGTTTTAACCACAAAGATCAGTCTTAGCTTAAGATTTCCTATCAACAGAACTACTGAATGGTGTATTTCTTTCAAAGAATACAAAGATGCTAATGTCAATGTTTCTACTAAAGTTTAAATTTCAGTGAACTCTTAAACTGCTTCTCGATATCTAGATACTGTACAATTTACTCCACCAATATCAAGTTTTAAAGAGAAAGTTGTGTGTAACAGTTTACTAAGTATTCAAATTCATCTTTTGTAATGCATGGAAGAATTTGAAATTTCCTAATCAATTCAATACTGTTTTGAATTTCTGTATTCACAATGTAATAGATTTTTAAATAGACTACTTTTCCAGTTTGTATTTTTTGCTTGCCCTGTGATACAAAGTTACTTCACAATAAATGTTAAATGATAATTTGCAATATTTGTGTAATTGTCAACCTAGTGTTAGTTGTGACCACTGATATATCAATGTCTCTTCATAAAACGGTATTGTAGTCGTAACCCATTTACTTGAATCAGTATTACATTTTTGAAACTCTGTAATACATTTAATGTTGTTTACAGCTTCTCAGCTTTATATCATGGTTATACATTATTTTATCACATTCCTCATTCATTGATCAACTCTTTTATGCAATCTTGATTTTTTTTCGAACACATGTATCATCTTCCTCATCTTTCACAAATTACAATTTCATTCATTCATTCATTCATTCAGTTATGGATTGATCAAGTGAATAATTTTATCCTCGATAGCCTCTAACATGCTATATTTTATATTTGATGTCTCATAACTCTTATACAGGTACTAGATGTTGTACACAAGTAGTAGATGTTGTACACAGGTAGTAGATGTTGTACACCGGTACTATATGATGTATACAGGTACAAGATGTTGTACACAGGTACTAGATGTTGTACACAAGTACTATATGATGTATACAGGTACAAGATGTTGTACACAGGTACTAGATGTTGTACACCGGTACTATATGATGTATACAGGTACAAGATGTTGTACACAGGTACTAGATGTTGTACACAGGTACTATATGATGTATACAGGTACTAGATGTTGTACACAGGTACTAGATGATGTACACAGGTACTAGATGATGTACACAGGTACTAGATGTTGTACACAGGTACTTGATGTTGCACACAAGTAGTAGATGTTGTACACAGGTACTAGATGATGTACACAGGTACTAGATGTTGTACACAGGTACTAGATGATGTACACAGGTACTAGATGTTGTACACAGGTACTTGATGTTGTACACAGGTACTAGATGTTGTACACAGGTACTTGATGTTGTACACAGGTACTATATGTTGTACACAGGTACTATATGATGTACTCAGGTACTTGATGTTATACACAGGTACTAGATGTTGTACAAAGGTACTATATGATGTACACAGGTACTAGATGTTGTACACAGGTACTATATGATGTACACAGGTACTTGATGTTATACACACACAGGTACTAGATGTTATACACAGGTATTATATGATGTACTCAGGTAGTAGATGTTGTACACAGGTATTAAATGTTATACACAGGTACTAGATGTTGTACACAGGTACTATATGATGTACACAGGTACTAGATGTTGTACACAGGTACTATATGAGGTACACAGGTACTTGATGTTATACACACACAGGTACTAGATGTTATACACAGGTACTATATGATGTACTCAGGTAGTAGATGTTGTACACAGGTATTATATGTTATACACAGGTACTAGATGTTGTACACAGGTACTATATGATGTACACAGGTACTAGATGTTGTACACAGGTACTATATGATGTACACAGGTACTTGATGTTATACACACACAGGTACTAGATGCTATACACAGGTACTATATGATGTACTCAGGTAGTAGATGTTGTACACAGGTACTAGATGTTATACACAGGTACTATATGATGTACACAGGTACTAGATGTTATACACAGGTACTATATGATGTACTCAGGTAGTAGATGTACACAGGTTATTGATGTTATGAGCTTTATAAGGTTTCTATACATATACATATCTTAAACCTATTTTCAACATGTCTTAAGTAATTTGTTTTGTGTGTGTTAAAAATAAACTGAGATAGAAAACTCTGAAATCTATTTACAAACATCAACATTTGTTTGGAAAGCAAACTGTGATAGGTTAAGACATTGTGAAATTGTGAAGAATATTTTTGATAAAATGCATATATATCTATGAAATCTGAAACAGATACCTTAGTCACTCTTTATTATGTATTACATTTATAAAATAAATACCAGATAAATGTTTTTACTGTCTTGTCTTGTACTATACTAGTGAAACATGACACCAAATCGTCCTTACTACACCATAACATAGAGGTAACACCATAACGTCCTTACAACACCATAACGTAGACATTGCACCATAACGTAGACATTGCACCATAACGTAGACATAACACCATAACGTAGACATGACACCATAACGTCCTTACAACACCATAACGTAGACATTGCACCATAACGTAGACATTACACCATAACGTCCTTACAACACCATAACATAGACATGACACCATATCTTAGACATGACACCATAACGTAGACATGACACCATAACGTAGACATGACATCATAACACAGACATGACACCATAACGTAGACATGACACCATAACGTCCTTACAACACCATAACGTAGACATGACACCATTACGTAGACATTGCACCATAACGTAGACATTACACCATAATGTCCTTACAACACCATAATGTAGACATGACACCATAACGTCCTTACAAAACCATAACGTAGACATTACACCATAACGTCCTTACAACACCATAACGTAGACATGACACCATAACGTCCTTACAACACCATAACGTAGACATGACACCATAACGTCCTTACAAAACCATAACGTAGACATTACACCATAACGTCCTTACAACACCATAACGTAGACATGACACCATAACGTCCTTACAACACCATAACGTAGACATGACAACATAACGTCCTTACTACACCATAACGTAGACATGACACCATAACGTCCTTACAACACCATAACGTAGACATTGCACCATAACGTAGACATTGCACCATAACGTAGACATAACACCATAACGTAGACATGACACCATAACGTCCTTACAACACCATAACGTAGACATGACACGACAACATAACGTCCTTACTACACCATAACGTAGACATGACACCATAACGTAGACATGACATCATAACGTAGACATGACACCATAACGTAGACATTGCACCATAACGTAGACATTGCACCATAACGTAGACATGACACCATAACGTAGACATGACATCATAACGTAGACATGACACCATAACGTTCTTACTACATCTTAAGGTAGACATGACACCATAACGTAGACATGACACCATAACGTAGACATGACAACATAATATAGACATGACAACATAACGTAAACATGACATCATGTGTACCCGAAGACTGGTGTCATTGAGTCAGTTTATGTCGAAAAGTTAACGCTCTACAGTAAACAAAGTGCAGTGAATCAATAATTGCATAAGAAAGGTCTAGCACCCAAGGATATCCATACTGATATGGAAGCAACACCAGAGAATAGTGCCCCTTATAGAATAGGTGGGTGGCAGAATTAAGCGTGGCATGCAGAGCCTTGGGGATGACGCCCGTCCTGGAAGGCCTGTAAATGTTGCAACACCAGAAATGGTCAATAAAGTCCATGATATTGTTATGGCTGATAGACAAGTTTCAGACAGATATATAGCCAGTACAGCTGGGAATTCACAGGAATGAGTACATTTCATACTTAAAGATTTCGCATTGAGAAAGCTCTCAGCCCGTTGGGTAACAAGACTTCTTGCAGTTGATCAAAAGCACACCAGGCAGACTTTGTTTAGTACTCTGGTTCACCTCCGTCAAAGAAGGCGAAGGGACTGTTCCATCAGTTGGAAAAGTTATGGCTTCGGTTTTCTAATATGCTGATATTAATCTGATTGTAGACTTCAAAAGGGACAAAACAATCAATAACATATATTTTACATCACTTGTCAGACAGTTAAGGGAAAACATCAAACTTAAGCACAGCAGAAAATTCAGTAAAAGCGTGTTGTTCCGCCAGGATAATGCCCCTGTGCACAACTCTATCATTGTTATTGCTGTCATTAACGATTGTGGCTTTGAATTGATAGAGCATCCGCCTTATTTGCCTAATATCGCTCTAGCAGACTTCCATCTATTTCAAGAATTGAAAAAAGGCCATTTGCGGTACCCACTTTCAGATGATGACGTCATATATGCAACAGAGGACTTTCTGAACGGTCAAGAAAGGGACTTCTTTAAAAGTGAAAATGAGGCCCTTAAACATCGCAGGCAAAATATATAGATCCTGAAGGGGATTATGTTGAAAACTATATGCAATATGTCCGCCTTGCAAAGTCGTTAATTTTCACTTTCAGATATATTGATGACATCTGGTCTTTAAATAACAAGAAATCTATTGACCGTGTAAATCGTTTATATATATGTGCCCACCAAAATTGGAAATCAAGAATACGACACACTTTTCTATATCAACCGCTTATGAAGATCTTTTCATACAAAGAAACCAACTTAGACAACTTTCCACCAAGCTGTATGATAAGCGTGCTGATTCCATTTTTATTATGGTGAATTTTCCATTTCGTGATAGCAACCACCCTGCATCACCTATGCTATTTACATGTCGCATTTGATTCGGTATTCAAAGAACTGTGCAAGAAGTCGTCATCTGGTGGACAACCTCGACACACAGGATTTCAAACTATGCAGGTTGATGAAAAACATGGGGAAATTTGACGGTCGTTTCAGTGATCTCATTGCGAAATATTCTGTTTTGTTTGCTCGTTAGTTTGCCTGTTGATTCTAATGTTTTAATCTTTGTTCTCATTTGAGAACGTTAAACTACTAACTCGGATTGACCAAGATTTATATAGCGGGTGTCAACGATGAAGCAGAAGATGCTTACTCTTCCTGAACACTAGACCTTAATCTCCTTGTACTTTTTCATGTGTCTCCGTGTAAATCTTTTTGCTGTTCACAGTTTGCCTTGGTGTTATTGAAGTTGAGTTCGGATTATGATTATTTTGACATGTTGGTATTTTCTCGTTGTTTTTTCGATAACATATGTGATATCTTACGTGTTTTATAATATCGCTTAAAAATGTTGTTTTCGCTATCTGCTGAATTATCCTAAGTCTGTGGTTCCAAGTTGCGGATCTTGTACTCAGAATTGTGAACTTTTCTGGTGTTCACTGAATGGTCCACAAATCTAGATCTCCATCATAAGATGCGTTTCTCTAATGAGGTTTCATAGATGTTAGAATGCCATGACCGGGGTATTTTCTCTGCATGAATTCCGTTTAGGGAATGACTACTTGTTCCTTCTTTCTTTCTTTGCATTGGCTGTTCACTCTTCTCTTCGCCTTTTCTTTCCTTTTTTCGTGTTTTTTTACCATCTGAATTGCTCAATCAGGATATCCACCTGTTGCCAATGCACCATGGATGTGATTCTTATTTTTTGTTCTGCTTATTCGTGACAATTGCATCACATCCTTAGGTCAAAATTCGCAGAATGTCCAACTGCTGGTGTTGTGGGTGGTGTGACTGGTGACTGAGGCTCTGTTTGTGCAAATCAAATCTTTCTGTGACCAGTTATTGGCCATCTCCAATATGTCGGCAACATACCGTTACCAAAGGCCAACCTTTATGTTCTATAAACATGCTGGCAACCTTTAGAGATACTGGATTGCTGATGACTGTGTTAAATCGTCGCTGACAGATCGTGTTGCGGAAAGTTAAAAATATTGTTTTGGATATTATTTTCCTTCGCCACTGTAAGGGGGGGGGGTTTCGAGAAGCAGCATACAGACAAATCAAATGCGTTTGTAGTAATAAATAAGTTTATTTCGGCTCCAGTCAAAACACTTAACAGTTCTTATATATATACTTTATTACTAGACTACCAATAACGGACAATGAGTATTCTTTAACGTGTGTTTAGATTTAATTGAGTTTTGGATACTTTTACAATTGAGAACTGTGTTAAAAGGGAAAACACCGCTATTGGTGCCACTACAGGCTACTCTTATTTCTACAAACTAATTGTTAGATGTAATCCACCGCCATTGGTAATTTCTTGTTGTTTTTTTATTTTAATCTCACTAGGCAATTGCTTATTTGGGTATTCTCCTGTCGTATAATAAAAGTGACTGCCAACACTACACATCTTGCTCTTACAGATACCAAAGGGAACATGACGTATTTGCCAGCAGCTTGGAGAATTTACCAGATCCGATACTGCAAAACAGTCTTATATCATACCTTAGCCAGTGATGTCACGCTTGTGAAAGCAGACTTTAAAGTCGCTGGGACAGTAAGTGATATTCAAGGCTCCACGAACTTGTTCTGTGTCGCCACGACACACCGTGTAGTGCTGCATTAGGGAGGTCAGGAACAGCATCAGGTTCGTCCGAGCGATCTGCTCACCGATACACAATCGTTTTCCTGTAAAAAATAAACAACTTTTCATGAGAATTCAACCTCAAACATATTAACATATCTTGAAATTGGTCAGTGCCAAAGTCTTTTCATAATGAAGTTTACCTGATAATCTGTTTACTTATGACAGGTATGAGGACTGCGGCCTTTATCCTTGTATATGTGGCACTTGTTACAATTTTTGTTGCAAATGAAGATTATTTTTGGAAAAAAGGTCACATGTTTAGTGAAAACGATACCGGAATTGGTTTATCAGAAGTTTGCAGTAATGAGAAACCTACCGAAGAAGAATGGAATAAAAGTCTCCGGTTTGAAAACTTTCCCTTCTGCATCTATAAAACGTTCTGGTTTGAATTCGTGGGGATTTTCGAAATTGTCTGGGTCTTTTAGTACAGAGTCAATGTTTGGAATAATAGTTGTTCCTTTTGGTATAAAGTATCCGTCAAGATATGTATCACAGTTAGCTGAATGAAGAAGTCCGATCGGCGCAACATCCGAATGTCGGAGAAGTTCCATAACGAATGCCTCCACGTATGGCATTGCCTGCTTGTCCGCCATGGATGGAACAGTCCCTGGTGGTAGAGCATGGTCTACCTCCTGCTGTAGACGTGACTGGATATCCGGGTACTGGGTGAGATAAACCAAAGCCCAGCGGAGGGTGCTTACTGTAGTCTCAAGTCCTGCTGCGAACATGTCAGACACAGTCTGGATTACCTGTTCCTCTGTAAAGCAAAAACAATGGCCGACAATTATCATCGGTACAGTAGCTTAGGTGTTAATCGGTAATCAATCGGAATAGTATCAATGAAATATCAGTTTGGAGACAAAAAGTGAAGATGCTATTATCAAAAACAGGCGTGTAGCAAATACAATGTATTCGACCCCATTGTTTAGCAAAAACTACGGCAAATGAAAAAAATGGGGGGAGGGGGGGGGGTGATGAAAAATTCAGAAAAAAACCCCACAAATATTGAAAACTAGAGTCGATATACCAAAATCCCACAAACACAGTAATGCCATCCTCCCCTTCACAACAAAGGAATTGATAACAGAGAGCCAAAACCATCGAGCCTCCTAAACAGATCGGGTATCGTGTCCCGAGGTAAAACCAAAGGTATTGCGTACCGTCTGGTTCAGAGCTATTTTTTCTTAGGTATGCCTCCATGAGATCCCGTGGCTCCCCTTCTCCCAGACCCAACTGTAGCCTCACTTTAATCATTCTCCGTACAAAGGACGTTGTTTTGTGGTACAAATCTTCTACTGTAGCATGTCTGACCAGATCCACTGGGAGGTATCGTAGGAACGGGAAGAAGTCCAGGATAACGGCTTTCGCAGTTGAATGGACGATATCGTTGTGATCATCTACATAGTTTTTGAACTCGACAGAATCTGCATCCAATACTTTCCCTAACATGACCTCTCCTACCACGCTGGAAATGGCCTCATTCAGAAGTTGTTTGGGATCCACAGCGTTACCATCAAGCGCAGCAATGTTGTCATGGAAACGGCGGATTTGTTTATGGATGATATTCTCTAATATTGTCGTTCTCGCACAGAAATATCTGAAGTTTTTCAGAATCATTTGTCTTTGCTCCTTCCATTTTTGTCCGTTCAGAAGAATTACGCCTGAAAATACGGAACTCCATTTAGTGTGAGTTAGAAAAACATGTATCTCAATCAAAAACGAAAATTCAGTACTTTATAAAACATGATCGGATATAAAAAACGGAAATAACCCTATCATTACCCAACAACCATGTACACGTGGTGATGTTAAAATGACCATATCATTACACCACAACCATGTACACAGGATGATGTTAAAATGACCATATCATTACCCCACAACCATGTACACAGAGTGATGTTAAAATGACCATAATATTACACCACAACCATGTACACAGGGTGATGTTAAAATGACCATATCATTACACCACAACCATGTACACAGGGTGATGTTAAAATGACCATATCATTACCCCACAACCATGTACACAGGATGATGTTAAAATGACCATATCATAACCCCACAACCATGCACACATGGTGATGTTAAAATGACCATATCATAACCCCACAACCATGTACACAAGGTGGTGTTAAAATGACCATATTATTACCCCACAACCATGTACACAGAATGATGTTAAAATGACCATATCATTACCCCACAACCATGTACACAAGGTGATGTTAAAATGACCATATCATTATCCCACAACCATGTACACAGAGTGATGTTAAAATGACACAGAACCCCACAACCATTACACGATGTTAAAATGACCATATCATTACCCCACAACCATGTACACAAGGTGGTGTTAAAATGTTAAAATGTACACAGAATGATGTTAAAATGACCATATCATTACCCCACAACCATGTACACATGGTGATGTTAAAATGACCATATCATTACCCCACAACCATGTACACAGAGTGATGTTAAAATGACCATATCATTACACCACAACCATGTACACATGGTGATGTTAAAATGACCATATCATTACCCCACAACCATATACACATGGTGATGTTAAAATGACCATATCATTACCCCACAACCATGTACACAGAATGATGTTAAAATGGCCATATCATTACCCCACAACCAGGTACACAGGGTGATGTTAAAATGACCATATCATTACCCCACAACCATATACACAGGGTGATGTTAAAATGACCATATCATAACCCCACAACCATGTACACAGGATGATGTTAAAATGACCATATCATTACCCCACAACCATATACACAGGGTGATGTTAAAATGACCATATCATTACCCCACAACCATGTACACAGGGTGATGGTGATGTTAAAATGACCATATCATTACCCTACAACCATGTACACATGGTGATGTTAAAATGACCATATCATAACCCCACAACCATTACACGAGGTGATGTTAAAATGACCATATCATTACCCCACAACCATGTACACAAGGTGGTGTTAAAATGACCATATCATAACCCCACAACCATTACACGTGGTGATGTTAAAATGACCATATCATTACCCCACAACCATGTACACAGGGTGATGTTAAAATGACCATATTATTACCCCACAACCATGTACACAGAATGATGTTAAAATGACCATATCATTACCCGACAACCATGTACACATGGTGATGTTAAAATGACCATATCATTACCCCACAACCATGTACACATGGTGATGTTAAAATGACCATATCATAACCCCACAACCATTACACAGGGTGATGTTAAAATGACCATATTATTACCCCACAACCATGTACACAGAATGATGTTAAAATGACCATATCATTACCCCACAACCATGTACACATGGTGATGTTAAAATGACCATATCATAACCCCACAACCATTACACAGGGTGATGTTAAAATGACCATATTATTACCCCACAACCATGTACACATGGTGATGTTAAAATGACCATATCATAACCCCACAACCATTACACAGGGTGATGTTAAAATGACCATATTATTACCCCACAACCATGTACACAGAATGATGTTAAAATGACCATATTATTACCCCACAACCATGTACACAGGGTGATGTTAAAATGACCATATCATTACCCCACAACCATGTACACGTGGTGATGTTAAAATGACCATATCATTACCCCACAACCATGTACACATGGTGATGTTAAAATGACCATATCATTATCCCACAACCATGTACACATGGTGATGTTAAAATGACCATATCATATCCCCACAACCATTACACAGGGTGATGTTAAAATGACCATATTATTACCCCACAACCATGTACACATGGTGATGTTAAAATGACCATATCATTACCCCACAACCATGTACACATGGTGATGTTAAAATGACCATATCATTACCCCACAACCATGTACACATGGTGATGTTAAAATGACCATATCATAACCCCACAACCATTACACAGGGTGATGTTAAAATGACCATATTATTACCCCACAACCATGTACACATGGTGATGTTAAAATGACCATATCATAACCCCACAACCATTACACAGGGTGATGTTAAAATGACCATATCATTACCCCACAACCATGTACACGTGGTGATGTTAAAATGACCATATCATTACCCCACAACCATGTACACATGGTGATGTTAAAATGACCATATCATTATCCCACAACCATGTACACATGGTGATGTTAAAATGACCATATCATATCCCCACAACCATTACACAGGGTGATGTTAAAATGACCATATTATTACCCCACAACCATGTACACATGGTGATGTTAAAATGACCATATCATTACCACAACCATGTACACAGGTGATGTTAAAATGACCATATTAGTACCCCACAACCATTACACAGGGTGATGTTAAAATGACCATATTATTACCCCACAACCATGTACACAGGGTGATGTTTAAATGACCATATCATTACCCCACAACCATGTACACGTGGTGATGTTAAAATGACCATATCATTACCCCACAACCATGTACACATGGTGATGTTAAAATGACCATATCATTACCCCACAACCATGTACACAGGGTGATGTTAAAATGACCATATCATTACCCCACAATGTTAACTTACCTTATATGAGCAAAGCTAAAATTAATCATGATACCAATGCTTAAATTAAATCAAAAATATAAAAACTCTAGTAAAAGTTTCATATAAGGTATAATTGAAATTGCAATAAGTACCGTATATGACGTCATCGGTTCTGTCACTGATTGATTTGCATAAAATTGAATATTATTATCGTTCTCTTTATTGCCTCCAAAATGAAGAGTACAGAGAGTATAGAACATGGTACAAAACATTTGGTAACATAAATACATTATAAATAGTATATACATGTATATATAGTTACACATGCACGTGAAACATCAAATTAATAGAATATCATAGAGTATATGTGGAAGAGTTTACATATACATAGTAAGTTATAGTTTTAATTCCACATGTCAAGTGTATGTCATATGAATTAGGATTCACTTTGAGGCTTATAATATGGGTAGCATAATGGTAAATAAGTATTAATATACTTGTGTAATACAATAATGTGTAAGGTATGCACTAGGATACATTTGTAGGTCCGTATCACACAGGGGTTGGGGAGCCCCCTACCAGCAAGGTGGATAGAGACAGCCATACATTAACGCACTACATATGATTGGGTTTGACTACCTGTAACGAGTGTTAACTCGGGCAGGAAGTGGCCTCATTATCATTATAATCTAGAATCTTTAAAAGCACTTCAGGTGAGTTTTTTTCTTATTGTATGATGTTATCATGTCTAACATATTCCAATTTTAATGATGTGCTAGGTTAGAATATTTTCTCTCAAACTAACAATGTACCTGGCAAATAATTAAATCAATAAATCAATATATTAATGGTTTATCGAACATCCAACAGTGGCGTGCTTTATTCTAAACAAGAATCGATAACGTAACCTATTGACGAAAGTATTACAACATGCTTTGTCTCTGAAGTGTCAAGTCTGCTGTTCACCTAAGCTTGTAACAGTTAGTTAGACTAAACAAGTTTTAATAAAAATGTTTCTGGAAAACGAAAGTAGAGTATAGACCTCTTACCGTTGTCTTTACATAATTCCAGGAAGACTGTGTGTGGACGATCTGAGAAGATGTTGGCGTTCTTGATGAAGGCAGCATGTAACAGACGATAACTACTGATAACAACTACCGTGGTGCTCCCGATTTCCAGGCGGTAGATGTCTCCGAGTTTTTGTCTTTGTAACGTCAGCGTCTCCAACAAGTCTCTCTTGGCCAGTAATGGCAGATGACCAACGATTGGCAGAGAGAAGGATGGACAAGGTGGCAGCTTCTTCGACTGATCGGATTGTTTTCTGGATAGCTTATAAACCAACAGAAAGACCATAATAAACACTAGGCCCGTGGTGACGTCCATGTTTGTAATACTGATTGCATTGACCGCCATTATGATTCGTTTTACATAAGCATTTTAGAGTATGTGTAACATGCTATACACATGTATGTGTCCGGGTCGACATTAAGCTATAATAAGTGTACACACGTGTGCCTACCGACTGTTATTGACCCAGGGTAGTCAAGAGGAATTCAGTCGGGCATGGTACTACACTATATAAGTAGGCCTACATACACAAATTGCTTTTCATATTGGTGCCAACTCACTGCTTACTAAATAAGTCTGAAATACAGCCCGTAAGTTATGTCAAGAGCTTGCCCTCCCATCCTGTAAAAAATCACCATCACCAGATTGTTGTTAATTTTTGTAAACTTAACATATTTTAGAGGCACGAACAAGTCTGGATTATTATGTATTTACACTGGTTCAGAATGATATCATCCTTTGGACAGGACCATGAAAAAGACATGCAGTGTTTAAAATTCGAGGAAACAATGCACAGAGTACACAAAAAAAAAACATAGGGCACGACGATTTCTTCGACCGAAACGTTCTGGAAGGTTTACTTTTAAGAATTAAATCTAGATAATTTCCTTATCATAATTAGATTGGTGACCATTGATTACAGAAATAATATTGCCGTCACAAGGGACAATCTAATGCTGTTTTATGTTAAATGTGTGTTGAGAAGTATAGAAGTAGTAACAACCATGAGAATCGACATTCAGCATACTCTCTGTGACGTTGTTAATGACAGAGGTAAACAAGGAATGTATACCATTTTTCTGTAGAGGTAAGATCAAAGAAATTTTACATGTGGTTATTTTCTGTAACAAATTTTACAGGCTGTATAGTCCCCATTATAGCAGATTTGATTATAACAAACTGATCGATTGCAATCTTGACTGGAATACAGAACCAACATCAATACACCAATATGAAATGGAAAATCGTTGTATTACGCCATCGGCCAACAGTACTCAGGTCTCTGGTTAACAGCCAAAAACAAACACAATATCATTATCATACATGTACCGTCCCCGCATTCATTATCATACATGTACCGTTCCCGCATTCATTATCATACATGTACCGTTCCCGCATTCATTATCATACATGTACCGTCCCCGCATTCATTATCATACATGTACTGTCCCCGCATTCATTATCATACATGTACTGTTCCCGCATTCATTATCATACATGTACTGTTCCCGCATTCATTATCATACATGTACTGTCCCCGCATTCATTATCATACATGTACCGTTCCCGCATTCATTATAATACATGTACCGTCCCCGCATTCATTATCATACATGTACTGTCCCCGCATTCATTATCATACATGTACCGTTCCCGCATTCATTATCATACATGTACTGTCCCCGCATTCATTATAATACATGTACTGTTCCCGCATTCATTATCATACATGTACTGTCCCCGCATTCATTATAATACATGTACTGTTCCCGCATTCATTATCATACATGTACTGTCCCCGCATTCATTATCATACATGTACTGTCCCCGCATTCATTATAATACATGTACTGTTCCCGCATTCATTATCATACATGTACTGTCCCCGCATTCATTATAATACATGTACTGTTCCCGCATTCATTATCATACATGTACTGTCCCCGCATTCATTATCATACATGTACTGTCCCCGCATTCATTATAATACATGTACTGTTCCCGCATTCATTATAATACATGTACTGTTCCTGCATTCATTATAATACATGTACCGTCCCCGCATTCATTATCATACATGTACTGTCCCCGCATTCATTATCATACATGTACCGTCCCCGCATTCATTATCATACATGTACCGTCCCCGCATTCATTATCATACATGTACTGTACTGTCCCCGCATTCATTATCATACATGTACCGTCCCCGCATTCATTATCATACATGTACCGTCCCCGCATTCATTATCATACATGTACTGTCCCCGCATTCATTATCATACATGTACCGTCCCCGCATTCATTATCATACATGTACCGTCCCCGCATTCATTATCATACATGTACCGTCCCCGCATTCATTATCATACATGTACCGCATTCATTATCATACATGTCCCCCCGCATTCATTATCATACATGTACTGTCCCCGCATTCATTATCATACATGTACTGTCCCCGCATTCATTATCATACATGTACTGTCCCCGCATTCATTATCATACATGTACTGTCCCCGCATTCATTATCATACATGTACCGTCCCCGCATTCATTATAATACGTGTACTGTCCCCGTATTCATTATAATACATGTACTGTCCCCGCATTCATTACAATACATGAGCAGGATACTTAGGTTGAGAGTATTGGTCCCCCCATAGTCACCTCTGCTGCTCTATATAAAGGTTGAGAGTATTGTCCCCCATAGTCACCTCTGCTGGTCTATATAAAGATTGAGAGTATTGTCCCCCCATAGTCACCTCTGCTGGTCTATATAAAGGTTGAGAGTATTGGTCCCCCCATAGTCACCTCTGCTGCTCTATATAAAGATTGAGAGTATTAGTCCCTCATTGTCACCTCTGCTGGTCTATATAAAGGTTGAGAGTATTGGTCCCCCCATAGTCACCTCTGCTGCTCTATATAAAGGTTGAGAGTATTGGTGCTCTATATAAAGGTTGAGAGTATTTCCCCCATTGTCACCTCTGCTGGTCTATATAAAGGTTGAGAGTATTGTCCCCCCATAGTCACCTCTGCTGCTCTATATAAAGGTTGAGAGTATTGTCCCCCCATAGTCACCTCTGCTGCTCTATATAAAGGTTGAGAGTATTGGTCCCCCCATTGTCACCTCTGCTGCTCTATATAAAGGTTGAGAGTATTGTCCCCCCCATAGTCACCTCTGCTGCTCTATATAAAGGTTGAGAGTATTGTCCCCCCATAGTCACCTCTGCTGCTCTATATAAAGGTTGAGAGTATATAAAGGTCCCCCCATAGTCACCTCTGCTGCTCTATATAAAGGTTGAGAGTATTGGTCCCCCCATAGTCACCTCTGCTGGTCTATATAAAGGTTGAGAGTATTGGTCCCCCCATAGTCACCTCTGCTGCTCTATATAAAGATTGAGAGTATTGTCCCCCATAGTCACCTCTGCTGCTCTATATAAAGGTTGAGAGTATTGTCCCCCCATTGTCACCTCTGCTGCTCTATATAAAGGTTGAGAGTATTGTCCCCCCATAGTCACCTCTGCTGCTCTATATAAAGGTTGAGAGTATTGTCCCCCCATAGTCACCTCTGCTGCTCTATATAAAGGTTGAGAGTATTGTCCCCCCCATAGTCACCTCTGCTGCTCTATATAAAGGTTGAGAGTATTGTCCCCCCATAGTCACCTCTGCTGCTCTATATAAAGGTTGAGAGTATTGTCCCCCCATAGTCACCTCTGCTGCTCTATATAAAGGTTGAGAGTATTGTCCCCCATAGTCACCTCTGCTGCTCTATATAAAGGTTGAGAGTATTGTCCCCCATAGTCACCTCTGCTGCTCTATATAAAGGTTGAGAGTATTGGTCCCCCCATAGTCTCTATATAAAGGTTGAGAGTATTGGTCCACCTCTGCTGCTCTATATAAAGGTTGAGAGTATTGTCCCCCCATAGTCACCTCTGCTGGTCTATATAAAGGTTGAGAGTATTGGTCCCCCCATAGTCACCTCTGCTGCTCTATATAAAGATTGAGAGTATTGTCCCCCCCATAGTCACCTCTGCTGCTCTATATAAAGGTTGAGAGTATTGTCCCCCCATAGTCACCTCTGCTGCTCTATATAAAGATTGAGAGTATTGTCCCCCATAGTCACCTCTGCTGCTCTATATAAAGGTTGAGAGTATTAGTCCCTCATTGTCACCTCTGCTGGTCTATATAAAGGTTGAGAGTATTGTCCCCCATAGTCACCTCTGCTGCTCTATATAAAGGTTGAGAGTATTGGTCCCCCCATAGTCACCTCTGCTGCTCTATATAAAGGTTGAGAGTATTGTCCCCCCATAGTCACCTCTGCTGCTCTATATAAAGGTTGAGAGTATTGTCCCCCATTGTCACCTCTGCTGGTCTATATAAAGGTTGAGAGTATTGGTCCCCCCATAGTCACCTCTGCTGCTCTATATAAAGGTTGAGAGTATTGGTCCCCCCATAGTCACCTCTGCTGCTCTATATAAAGGTTGAGAGTATTGGTCCCCCCATAGTCACCTCTGCTGCTCTATATAAAGGTTGAGAGTATTGGTCCCCCCATAGTCACCTCTGCTGCTCTATATAAAGGTTGAGAGTATTGTCCCCCATAGTCACCACTGCTGCTCTATGTAAAGATTGAGAGTATTGGTCCCCACATAGTCACCTCTGCTGCTCTATATAAAGGTTGAGAATATTGTCACCTCTGCTCCCCCCCCATAGTCACCTCTGCTGCTCTATATAAAGGTTGAGAGTATTGGTCCCCCCATAGTCACCTCTGCTGCTCTATATAAAGATTGAGAGTATTGTCCCCCCATTGTCACCTCTGCTGCTCTATATAAAGGTTGAGAGTATTGTCCCCCATAGTCACCTCTGCTGCTCTATATAAAGATTGAGAGTATTGTCCCCCATAGTCACCTCTGCTGCTCTATATAAAGATTGAGAGTTTTGGTCCCCCCATAGTCACCTCTGCTGCTCTATATAAAGATTGAGAGTATTGGTCCCCCCATAGTCACCTCTGCTGCTCTATATAAAGATTGAGAGTATTGTCCCCCCATAGTCACCTCTGCTGCTCTATATAAAGGTTGAGAGTATTGTCCCCCCATAGTCACCTCTGCTGCTCTATATAAAGGTTGAGAGTATTGGTCCCCCCATAGTCACCTCTGCTGCTCTATATAAAGGTTGAGAGTATTGGTCCCCCCATAGTCACCTCTGCTGCTCTATATAAAGGTTGAGAGTATTGGTCCCCCCATAGTCACCTCTGCTGCTCTATATAAAGGTTGAGAGTATTGGTCCCCCCATAGTCACCTCTGCTGGTCTATATAAAGGTTGAGAGTATTGGTCCCCCCATAGTCACCTCTGCTGCTCTATATAAAGGTTGAGAGTATTGGTCCCCCCATAGTCACCTCTGCTGCTCTATATAAAGGTTGAGAGTATTGTCCCCCCATAGTCACCTCTGCTGCTCTATATAAAGATTGTTTGAGAGTATTGGTCCCCCCATAGTCACCTCTGCTGCTCTATATAAAGATTGAGAGTATTGGTCCCCCCATAGTCACCTCTGCTGCTCTATATAAAGGTTGAGAGTATTGGTCCCCCCATAGTCACCTCTGCTGCTCTATATAAAGGTTGAGAGTATTGGTCCCCCCATAGTCACCTCTGCTGCTCTATATAATGGTTGAGAGTATTGGTCCCCCCATAGTCACCTCTGCTGCTCTATGTAAAGATTGAGAGTATTGTCCCCCCATAGTCACCTCTGCTGCTCTATATAAAGGTTGAGAGTATTGGTCCCCCCATAGTCACCTCTGCTGCTCTATATAAAGGTTGAGAGTATTGTCCCCCCATTGTCACCTCTGCTGGTCTATATAAAGGTTGAGAGTATTGGTCCCCCCATAGTCACCTCTGCTGCTCTATATAAAGGTTGAGAGTATTGGTCACCTCTGCCATAGTCACCTCTGCTGCTCTATGTAAAGATTGAGAGTATTGGTCCCCCCATAGTCACCTCTGCTGGTTGAGAGTATTGGTCCACCCATATACCTCTGCTGCTCTATATAAAGATTGAGAGTATTGGTCCCCCCATAGTCACCTCTGCTGCTCTATATAAAGATTGAGAGTATTGGTCCCCCCATAGTCACCTCTGCTGCTCTATATAAAGATTGAGAGTATTGGTCCCCCCATAGTCACCTCTGCTGCTCTATATAAAGATTGAGAGTATTGTCTATATAAAGGTTGAGAGTATTGTCCCCCCATTGTCACCTCTGCTGCTCTATATAAAGGTTGAGAGTATTGTCCCCCATAGTCACCTCTGCTGGTCTATGTAAAGATTGAGAGTATTAGTCCCCCCATAGTCACCTCTGCTGGTCTATATAAAGGTTGAGAGTATTGTCCCCCCATAGTCACCTCTGCTGCTCTATATAAAGGTTGAGAGTATTGGTCCCCCCATAGTCACCTCTGCTGCTCTATATAAAGGTTGAGAGTATTGTCCCCCCATAGTCACCTCTGCTTGTCTATATAAAGGTTGAGAGTATTTCCCCCCATTGTCACCTCTGCTGCTCTATATAAAGATTGAGAGTATTGTCCCCCATAGTCACCTCTGCTTCTAGTCCCCCCATAGTCACCTCTGCTGCTCTATATAAAGATTGATAGAGCTGCTCTATATAAAGTCCCCCCATAGTCACCTCTGCTGCTCTATATAAAGATTGAGAGTATTGGCCCCCCCATAGTCACCTCTGCTGCTCTATATAAAGATTGAGAGTATTGTCCCCCATAGTCACCTCTGCTGCTCTATATAAAGGTTGAGAGTATTGTCCCCCCATAGTCACCTCTGCTGCTCTATATAAAGGTTGAGAGTATTGTCCCCCATAGTCACCTCTGCTGCTCTATATAAAGGTTGAGAGTATTGTCCCCCCATAGTCACCTCTGCTGCTCTATATAAAGATTGAGAGTATTGTCCCCCATAGTCACCTCTGCTGCTCTATATAAAGATTGAGAGTATTGTAGTCACCCTGCTGCTCTATATAAAGATTGAGAGTATTGTATATAAAGATTGAGAGTATTGTCGCCCATTGTCCCCCATAGTCACCTCTGCTGCTCTATATAAAGATTGAGAGTATTGTCCCCCATAGTCACCTCTGCTGCTCTATATAAAGATTGAGAGTATTGTCCCCCATAGTCACCTCTGCTGCTCTATATAAAGATTGAGAGTATTGGTCCCCCCATAGTCACCTCTGCTGCTCTATATAAAGATTGAGAGTATTGGTCCCCCCATAGTCACCTCTGCTGGTCTATATAAAGGTTGAGAGTATTGGTCCCCCCATAGTCACCTCTGCTGGTCTATATAAAGATTGAGAGTATTGGTCCCCCCATAGTCACCTCTGCTGGTCTATATAAAGGTTGAGAGTATTGGTCCCCCCATAGTCACCTCTGCTGGTCTATATAAAGGTTGAGAGTATTGGTCCCCCCATAGTCACCTCTGCTGGTCTATATAAAGGTTGAGAGTATTGTCCCCCCATAGTCACCTCTGCTAGCCTATGTAAAGTATCTTCCGATGTGCGGACCTCCGAAATCCCTCCGATTGTAAGCTAGTAACCTGGACACTGGATGGGCTCTCTCCAGTTACAGTTTGTACCGTAACAATACCTTGCTTATTTGTGATATGGAAGAGATTGGTCCCACATGGTCATCCCTCAACCTGATATCGCGCTAGCACGTGCACTGTATACGAAACGTCATACATGTTAAGGGATTTAGAGCACGCAATCCTAAATGTAAAGAGATGGAATGGAAAGATCACGGCTAGTAACGAAAGGTCCGAAACTAACCTTAATTTTATTTAACATTTTGGTCAAAGTCTCCGTTTTGATGTTGACGATTAAATTCATAAAATGCAAACCTGTGTCTGAAAACAGAAATTTTCACATAAAGTAAAGGTGAGATTAGGGTTCGTTCGTAAAACCGTTTTAAGGTTATGCCCAACTCTTTCTCCAATGAAAAAGTACTTAAAACTAATCAAGCTTTTTGAGGATTGGCTGAGCTGTTTTGGGGAAAATACTAATGTTGGGAGATTTTTGCACATCACCCGATTTTCAATCATTGCTTAACGCCCACCTTGCACAAACAAACCAAAAGAAGACAGGTATCCCTTCTGAATGTGATAACTCTATATCGCTTACATTGCTTAAATATTATAGATACTCACCAAAATACTAATTGTTTATTTTTGTTTGCTATGTTCTTTATATTCAAATATCAGTGCAAAAAGCAAGCAAACATACATAAAAATTATGGCAATGATAATATTGATAAATTGTTTTTTGCCCACCAGAATTTTTCGGGTAGAAGCAGGAAACACAGATATGTTTTTGTCGAATTTGTCATCCGCTTTAAGACATATATATACGGTATATCAGAACCTCGAATCTTTCTTAATCATAATCACCAATTTACCAATAAACTTTCATGGTTTTGTTATAACACACGCCCACTCCTAAGTCAGTCCAGTACATTGCACTAGATGTTATTATGTCGATCCTTATCTCTGTGACCCTCAGTCTTGTATATAAACATGCAGTCGGCTTCGCCGCCAACACTCCGTCAACAACCTACCACAATGTTGAAGGAAATAGCTGTCATCCTTGGATTGTGTCTGGTCCTTGTGTCTGCAAGGGTAATAATCAGTCCTCGCTAACCTTATATCTAAATGTATACGTTATGTGACAGTTTCTCTTACTGTGTTTACCGTGATAACAGTATTTAGCTAAAGGGTATATTTGGTTATTGTTTGGTAGTTCTCCCAGTAAATGATGGCCTACATCATGTAGTATCGTTTACCAAGACATGCTGAAAGAGATAAACTAGTGAAAATATTTTGTATTTTGTGGTTTTAGACAAGCTGCAAAAGAGATGACGAATGTGGAAGTGGGGAGTGTTGTTACTACCACGAGGGACCAATGATCATGAGCCGTAAAAGACAGCAGCTCAACCAGATAGCACTACCACAAGATCTGATGAATCTGCACCAGGGAGGTTGGTTATTGAGAATTATACGTACCTCAGTCCTCAAATGGTCCATCTTTGTTTTTGTCACTATTAAGTGTGTTTGAAACACACCATGACAGACACTTGGGACTATTTATCACTCATTTGTCTTCTTTCTCTAACTCAGAGGTGTCGAGTCCTACATGGACCCTTAGGAGAAGTTTGAAACTTGCCATGAGATAAATATTTCTTTCGTTTGTTTGGTTTTGTAACAATCAGAATATTTCTTGTTGAACAATTCACTTCGACAGGAGATATTTTCAACAAAACAGTATAAGTGTTTTGATTCTTTCTGTATTGTCAAGCTCGTCAGGAGAAAGAAACCCGGTGGTACACGTGGCACCAATATCTCTCTAGAACTTTTTGTTTACTGTCATGAAAAACCGCCTTCCAAATTTTCATGAAAATATGTTATGTGGATGGAGTGTTCGGGAGAACGTATTACGTGCCTTCTAATACTTACATACATTTCGTTTTTGTTGCAGTATAACTTAAATAAAACATTTTCGTTGCCAGGCTATTGTGAGCGGTACAAGCTTGAGAACGAGAGTTGTAACATGTTTGGTAAAATGAATGGTCACTGTGAATGCGGGCCAGGACTGTCCTGTCAGTTCGTGTCATCCGGGCCGGCTTTATTGGGTCCCGACTCTATTGTCGCCAGCAAGAGAAGCATGGTGTACCAGGGACCCGGCAGATACTTGTGTGTTCAGCACTGAATAAAGATATGATTTAAATAAGATATGGCCGTTGTAATTGTGATTTCACAGAGTTATAGGTGAAAAATTAGTTAAGATTCTGGAGTATTTTGATTTGGAGATTATTCAACTTTAGGCACTAATTTCGTAAAAAGTGCGTATCTTTAATTGTTTTTATTTACCTATTTTACTTTGGAGAAAACCCTCAACTGCTTCCGCTGAAAAAGCTTCATCTTACATTTGCATATTTCAGAATAAACAAAATAGGTCACTCTTATTTTCTCAGTTTTGTAGTTATTATAGATTCTTGACTTTAAAGGCTTATTATAATTATTTTCAAAGTTTAAACTATGGAATTTCAACCCCTTTTCTGCTTCATCTCTCACCAGTCCTCCACGAGGGTGGGGCGGGGATGACTTTAATTGGTGTCTAATGCTAATATTCTGGAATTTTTACATACTCGGAAGAGATGACATTTTAGTGGGTTTCCCACTCCGTATCTCAATATCCCGTCCTTCCCTCTAGAAAGGATCATTATTGATAAGGGTAGTCCTGATCATTAAGGGATGATGTATGCATGTGTGAACCCGCAAAGCAACGGTCTGTGAAAATCTTGAAGATTTAGTAATGTTTGATTGGTCATTCTCTGATCATTCCTCTGACGGTTCTCGACAAATATCCACTTGAGTTCCGCTGTGCACTGCGGTGTGTATATAGGCTATTTATATCCACAAGACTTGAATTATTAATTGTCCGTCGTGTTTAAGTCTAGAGTTATAACAGTATTTACTCGGCAATGTACCTGCATGTGTACGTGATTACCTTAGTGACAGTGCCCGTACATTTTCAAAGCGCGTTTTATAAGCCAGAATCCACCTGTTTTGTATATTCCACGATACTGTACACTTTAATTAATGTATAAATGGTTTCCACTATCTATTTAAAAACACATTTAAAACACACACAAAAACAAACAGGAGCTGGAAAACAGGGTATTACTTTATTACTTAAATTTGTTCTTTGTTTTTTTTTTTATTCCGCCCACAGTATTTCAATGCCGATTAAAGTTTACATGGATCCAGTCCCCCTAAGTTCCAGGTATTTCGAAAATGAAAAAATGAAACCTCCCAAATAACATATTCTGAAGACAGAACTCTGTAAACCGTTTATATCTAGTAATCCATGTAAATACTAAGCGGTGACATAAACATGTCATTGGATCGGTTTAGTTTTGAAGAAGTCATTACTGTGACGAAGAAATTACTGACATGTGAAGAGAATACGAATTCAAACTAAAATTCGATGAAACTAAGGCAAAATATGACAAAAGAAATATATATAAAGAGTTCCGAAAGGGCAAGAGTCTGCTTCATATACCCGCCCAGCGAGTCCGAAGAGGACAAGGTAAATAACATAACAACCAGGCATAAAAACGAGCATCAAATACATCCAACTTGATATCCCACATAGAAATGTATTTCCCAATGAGATCGTTATGAAGACCTCAAATCTTCTCCGTCGTTTTCATCAACAGCGTTCGAAACCCTGTATTGTGAGTTTATCTGTCAGTTGTCGACATTTTCCATACTAATCATGATTTTGGGACCAAGATCTTTAATTTCAAAACAATTCTTTATTCGCAAACATCCTAGTCCGTAGAAGCAGGTGAGTTGCTATGACTCCACGTTACTTCCATCACGTCTCCATAAAAGTTGAGAGTACTGATTCCTACGTTAGCTGGTGACAATGTACCAGGTTTTTTCACATTGTATGCCTGGAGTAAAATACGTTTACGTTGAAACCAAGAACACTGTACGATTTAATTGTTAGTTTCAACCATGCGAATCTAAACCTTCTCCGTATGATCCATGTTCAACAGATATTTTTTTTCTTGCGTTCCAATTTTCCTGTGGTCTAGTTCATTGTCGATAACAAACCCACGTGAACTGTATATCTGGTTCGTAAATTTACTGATAAGCAATGGAACTAAGTAGAAACGGAGCGATGAAAAATCATTTTATTACAAGACATCCCAGTTCACGCCGTCTTCTCATTTACCTCTTCAATAAGTAAGAACCACGCGTGCCATTCTGTTTGTTACTTTTAATTGTCCTATATATATGCCTGTTAATGTCATAATAACCTTGAGAGTTATCGCCTCTCGTGAGAGTTTTAGTTGTCCTATATATATCCCTATTAAAACCACAATAATCTCGTGAGCAGGTGTAGATAAGTATGTCATTAATTTACGTCTTTCTCTTACAACCTTACGACATCATTCTCTCAAACAATGATAATAAATAGACGTCCACAAAGACGGAATAGGTTACGATTGGGTTATGTACTGAGCGTTAAAGATTGGATGGTAGTTATTTTGAGGACTGTTTAAGATTTGTATGTGTTACCGAACTCGAAGTAAACCCATCACAACTCGATCATCGTAAACGTGACGAGAGTCCTACACTGTAGGTGTCCAGTGACGTGACGAGAATCCTACACTGTAGGTGCCCAGTGACGTGACGAGTCCTACACTGTAGGTGTCCAGTGACGTGACTAGAGTCCTACACTGTAGGTGTCCAGTGACGTGTCCAGTGACGTGACGAGAGTCCTACACTGTAGGTGTCCAGTGACGTGACCAGAGTCCTACACTGTAGGTGTCCAATTACGTGCTCTACATCATGCCGATCCCTAGAAAAGCTTATCTCAGTGACCTTCAGTCTTGTATATAATCACGACTTCGCCGCCAACACTACGTCTTTTGTAGCAACCAAACACAATGTTCAAGGAAATAGCTGTTATCCTTGGAGTTTGCCTGGTCCTTGTGTCTGCAAGGGTAAGCTGTATACATGTTCGTTGTTATTACTGATCAATATGTAACAATATCTAGCTAGAGAAAATAGATGCATATGGTTAATGCCCCTTAACCATCAACAAAAACTGTTTTATTACAAAAGACACGTTTCATCAAGGACGGTGGGGGTCAGAAGGTATGGACTTTTAAAATGTTTACTTATTTTTTACACTGACTTCTGAAGTAAAGGCATTGACCAACATACATTGAAAGATTTACAACAAAGTAGAAATTTGGTCAATATCTGTCAAAGCAATGCAGTTTATCACATTCAGAAATGATGCATACTCGTCTGGAACACCTGATCTCTCCTCAGCTTCTTGCGGAAGTTCAGGATGTTTTCAAACATGCATTTCATTCCTTTTCCAAACCGCTGTTGGTATGACGACCATTTTCTTACCAGGTAATATGACATAGGCCAGTGTATGTAAAGTATTAAATTTGACTCCGGGGAAAAGTGCTGATTTGGATCGCTAGCAAACAAACATCAGCAAAATAAGAGTGTTTTTATAGTGTTTTTATAGTGTTTTTAAAAATAGGGACGGGTCGTGAACTGATTGCTGAGAATGCTAACGTCATATTTGTAGTGCGTACGTGATAAATTCTATGGTTTTAGACAAGCTGTAAAAGAGATGACGAATGTGGAAGTGGGGAGTGTTGTTACTACCACGAGGGACCAATGATCATGAGCCGTAAAAGACAGCAGCTCAACCAGATAGCACTACCACAAGATCTGATGAATCTTCACCAAGGAGGTTTGTTACCCGGAATCCCAAGGATTTTTTTATCCTCACAAGTCTTTGGGATGCCATTCGTCCATGGTCACTCTCTCCTAAAACAATTTTTAAATGTTTAGGGAATACTGAATAGGTCTTTCTAGCGTTCATTATTTAAATTCTACTTTGTTCAAGTTTACCAGACCTAAATCTAAATTGACCGACATGATTTTGGCAATTTGGTTTGTTTATCGTTTCTCTTTTTCCGAGATGACTGCATGGATTTTCAAAATTCCTGCTAGGTGTATAAAATGGACCCTATCTGTGTATGTTTAGTCATGGCGCTGATTGGGAAGCCGCTATTTCTGGAATTTCTTTTGATGTTTCCAGCGGTAATCCCGAGTTTTGCATGTTCACTTTTGTCACTCAAGTAATTATGAAAAGACTTCACCCCATTCTAAAAATTTGGCACAAGGAATCATCAAATGTTCACACTCGGAACTTGTACACGAAACAATGGTTGCGTTTCGTATTTGTTGAATTGTAAATAAGTTATTTCTCGCGACAGGTTATTGTGAGCGCTATAAGCTTCAGAACGAGACATGTAGCGTGTTTGGCAAGATGAATGGCCATTGTGAATGCAGTCCTGGACTGTCCTGTAAGTTCGTGTCGTCTGGACCGACTTTATTGAATCCTGACTCTCTTGCGGTTAGCAAGAGGGGTATGGTTTACCAAGGGCCCGGAAGTTACTTGTGTGTATCACCGTAATTAAAGATATGATAAAACCAATAACTGTTTGTTTTGATTCCTTAATTTCTAGATGTAAAAGTCGATTCAAAATCTTGAGTGAGAGTTTTGTGAGAGGGCGAATGTATTCGTGCGCATGATTTCGACCCAGCATCACTTTTTCGATAGTTTGCATTAATGTTAGCCCCCATTCATTTATCCGACACAAGGTGTTTGTACGTTTGTTTGAAGGAATCATTCAAATGTTCACAAGCTAATAATCAATCATTCAATTACTTTGTTTAGGGACTTTAAATCTCGCCGCTCCCACCAATATTACACGTTGTAACCATGAAAATACTGTAGAGAATTCCGGTGTGTGTGTTCACACTGGAACCTCTAGGATTACTTGTCAGCTTCTTACTAATAATTGATACAGCGAGGTTTACTCACATTTTGGAGATACGTCTTCTTAATTGGATAGTCAAGAGTCAAATGCGCGCTGTCGTTTCACGAGAGTTAAAACCAAGGGAGATAACTCCCATGGATTTCACTACACTCCTCCCCGTTTTATCAAGGCCCCCTCTTGAGTTCCTGTATTGGGGACAACTTCTGGAGGACAATTAACTTGCTCCGAGCGGTGACTGGCAAGGGATAAGGGATGCATCAGTGTTGCAGGGTGCTTAGGTAGTTAGCACACTTGTGATGAGACACATTTAAGTTTACCCGGAGACTTGTTCCTATGCCTATCCTATTCTACTAAAGGACCTAATCAATTCAATTGTCTATGGCTTTCAACCCCATGGCTGGAACCTTAACCATCATCCTGTATATTTGTACCAACAATTCTATTATTCAAGCAAAATAAACTGTATCATAGGGATTCTAGGATTTTTAAGGGCTACTCCCCCTCCCTCTTTCTGGAGAGCTAAATCTATATATATGCTTCTCCCATCAGGTTCCATAGTCTTGAACCTTGGTGGTTCCCTCCATAGGTTTTAATACCAAGACAAGGTCCTTAAGGGAAAGGTATCCAGCAATGGCGAAAGGGAATCCAACCTAGGTAGGCTAGCCCTGTCGTGACATGTGCTCAGATTATGTTAATCCCTCTAAGGTTCACAGTTGTAAAACAGAGACCTTTATAAAGGGATACAACAAGATAATATTGACACTCTCCCAGGTTTTGATTTTAAAACAGGATCTTTTACGAAAGGGGGAAACAGTGACGTACTTATCCTACTGAAGGGAGAAGAGACAGAGCTAACCAGAAACGCCATGGATCTACTCCTCTCAAGGAAATTAGCTTTTGCAAAGTATACCTATATAGCTGTTACACTTGCAGTGGAGAAAGGTCCTAGTCTTATAGCTGGGAACTTTTCCTGCTGTGTTGACTTCGTCCTCTGAGGAAGCCTTGCCAGACACTTCCGTGATTAACCTTGTTAGGGTTCAGCCAGCACAGTGGAAACCACAAGGAATGTATTCAAAGGAGCTTGGTATCATACGTGGGACAAAGAATTAAAGATTCTCTTGAGAGGGTTATAAACTTCTCTGTTCCTACATGTCTGATACAGTGTAAACTCTTCATACTTTTTGTAATGAAGGTGTGGGACATATTGCTACTCAGTTAGTGCTGGTTAGCGAGCTAGTCAGAACTTTGATTTTTAAAAAAATCTAAGGTCTGAAGTTCTAACAGCTAAGATAAGCCTACACTATCCTACCTTCACTGTCTGGGCCCGTTCCTTTATGGGTTCCCTTGTTCCTTCTTACTGAAGGACATCATTGCCAAGTTTCCGGGAAGCCCCGGCGGGTGTTGGTTTCATGAACTTGTGAACCTTCATCAGAACTCACTTTAATTTCACCGAATTGACACTCGAGCGGGTGGTCGGGGACCACAAAAATTCGACGTAACCACAGAGGGAATTGATCCACCAATATAATGTTCAGTCTATCGTGGTAGCAGTATTTTGAGCCTTTGCAGTTACTGATCTTGTACATGGGGTGCCTGGTTTCTACAACCAGGAACGGAAAAGAGGCTTCAGTTTGGAGCTTTTCCACTCTTTGGTGAACGAATCCCTTTTGTAGACCACATCTCCTACATCGAACAAAATGTCGGTAGCCCTGACGTCATAGTCTCGTTTCTGACGTCTCTGATACTTCCCAACATGTTGCCTAGCAATAACGTGAATTCTGCAAGAGAATCCTGGAGGTGTTTGACCCATTTGTGAGGTTCCATTGCTCCTGGAGTATTTGATGCCCCTAGTATCAAGTCCAGCGACTGTAGTGTTTCTCTACCCAACATCATCATGTTGGGGTAAACCATGTACCTATAGGTGTTCAGTGGTATTACAGTCAGGTAATAGTCCCACATATCATATTTACCATTGATGCATCAGATCATTTGTAGCACTGTTCGGTTTAGCCGTTCAACTTTTCCACTTGAGGAAGGATTGTGCAGGTTTTGGTGATCTCAAGAATCTCTCATGACTCTCAGAAAAGTTGACTCCTGAAGTCAGTTTCCCGATCCGTGTGGATCTGTAGAAGGGAACCAAACATGGACAGAATGTTTTTCACTAGGCTGTAAGCAACAGTTTCCCAGATTGTGTGGGAAGTGCCTCTAATTCTACCAACTTTGTGAATTGATCCACCATCATGAAAATGTGTTTGTTACCCATCTTGCTGGATGCAAATGGATGCAATTGTAGAATGATTTCAGTTCAGCCTTGGAACAAGGTGACGTTTTGTTCCGAGCACAGGTATCACAAGACTTGACATGGAGCTTGGTGTTCACTCTCATGGTGACCATCATATGTGGTGTTTTAGCTTAGTGTATGTTTTGTGCTGTCCTGATTGTCCTCACACATGGTTAGTATGGGCACAGGGGAAAGGCTTTTTCCTTGAAGAAATGGGAAGTACAGTACAACTGGAGGCCACTTGTGGCCTTGCAGGATATGATACAACACGTCCTCTTAGAGGGCCAGATATTGTTTCATTAACCACAAGACATTCACATCACGACGATGTGTAAACAGGTCCTCTTGGAAGGAGCCTCTTCCTCCCTGTACCCATGTTTTCACTGGTTCCACATTGGGATCCTCACTTTGCTGGTTCATAAGGTTATTCTCCTTATACACACATTTGTTCATATTTTACACTCGTTAAGAGTACTTTCAGTCAGGTAATAATTACTGTAGGCCAATGGCTGTCACAGTGATTGGTCCCTTGAAGACAGATCGCTGACATTGCATCATGGGCAGTGGTGTAAAGAAATAAACAATAAAACATCTAGCGCTTTTGTTTGTTTTATTATTAACATGATAAACTATAAAGTGTAACCATTACCCAGAGGGAATTAAAGACTAACGGAATACTTGAGTGAGCAAAGCGTAATATAGTACTACAACCTAGAACTGCTACAACAGAAAACAAACACAAACAAATATAGTCATCATTATGCTTCTACTATTGCTATGTTGAACCCAGTTTCCAAGCAATTAAAAAAAGAAAATTCATATTATCATAAACTTATCGCTATTTTTCATCAATGTTTTGATGATATCAGGAAGACATTTAAAAACTCGACATATTTGGAGTGGGTTCATGTATGAGGCGCCATGTGTGTGATCATACAGTGGTTCTTGTATAGACAATAAGTTCACAAAACAGAGAAAATTACTGAACTAAATTTAGTATTAGATTATATTGGTAAACCTATTATTCACCAGCCAAATCAAGATTGGAATGTTTACTAGCTGCTATTACTAACTTTTCTATTCCCTAAAAAGGTTAAACTATGTTTACTACTGCCCATTCTTATAAACTGGCATTTTAAATCAATTTAACAATAGCAAAAGAAAATCAGATATAAAGAATAATAAAATTCCTCACAGGTCAGGATTGCTCACCTGGTATTCAACGTTTTTAACATCTACAATAACAATTTACACTATTGACATAAAAAAATCTTGGTTAAATAAGGAATCCTGTGAAGGTTTTAAATTTGACCCCTCAGGCCCTGAGTATAGGTCAATGTCAGTGTAATTTCTTTTTGAAAACTAAGTTCAGCATCACCTTGGTAATCTTCCAGCTGTATTATATGATTCCATGGCTTTTGGTTTTTATTTGAAAAGAAGTCCTTTAAACATTTTAACCTAGAATTTCCGTAAAGGTCAACTATTTTTGAAAAAATTGTCAGGCTTCATCCCTGGAACCTATTTGCCAAATTGATTCCAATCTTTTGGTTATCGAGAAGAAGTTGTATAAATAACTAGACAAACTTGACCCATTTGACCTTAATATGGGTCAAGTTCATTACTTTTCAGAATCTTTGCTGGCCTTCCTCCAAGGAAACTTTTAGTAAAATATTGTGTGTCAAGGCCTATCGGTTATTGAAAAGAAGTCATTTAAAAGGAACTTTCATGCTGGGAGCTGAGGATGCTGTACCGAAGCTAGGTGAGCTTAAAACTGTAAGTGTTTGATTCAGCTCTTTTAACAAGATATTAAAAATAATGTACACTAAAGGTGCACTGATGTTTAAATTTCCTTTCATTATGAGAAAGTTTTCAATACAACTTTTGTATCTGCATTAATCCAATATAACATACAATGTACACAAAATATATGGACACCTTCAACAAGTATTGACATTCAAAATAGGTACATATGTAAATTGTGTTGAGAATTATTATGCATTCACAATACTACATCATATATGACCATTACTGAAATAGATGTCTGTAAATGAAACAGAGCACAATGCATAACATACACAAATTGTGGAAGTGAATTCATTTACTTGTTACACCTTACCATTACAATTTATCTTTAATAATGAATAGTTTGTCACTTTCTTTATAACAAACTATTATCTTAACTGTAAACTGACACCTAAGTGACAGTGTAATACATTGTAGTGAGAAAATTGTGTACAACTATATATGACTAGTGAGACATGAAAGTTTAAGATAAATTGGTCTCAAACAAGTATAAGGAATGATTCAAGTCACAACCATTAATATATATACAAGCTGACCCCTTTCCACTGA